AAATCAGAAGTTGCTGATATTGGACATTCTCTGGTATCTTAACAATTTGTTTTGAATGCAGAAAAATCATGACCCTTCACCCACTTAAAGAAATAACACATTACAACAGAAGGGGGGGGTGGAGAGACACAATATTGAGCACATTTCCAAGAATCCACCACGAAGATTGTACATACTTGTCAGACACCCTGGCTGATTCACTTGTAGCTTACCTCTTTACTTTTGTTTTTAATCCTAGTTAATCCCCACTCCCACAGTAGGATTGAACCCTGGGAAGCTATACTGTACCAGAAAGGCAAGAAAAATCAGAGACTAGTAGAGACAACATTCTAGGTGTGAATATCTGCCCTGGGCTATTAAACTGATTGGCCTTCTAGAAGGCCATTGGCATGGCTCTCTAACATGAAATAACTTTGAACAGTGGGTGAGAGGGTTACAAATTTTGGCATTACCTAGAACTCATTCCACAATTGGGTGTGTTCATATAGTTATTTTTTTAAAAAAGCAGGAGATTTTCTGGAATAATCTCAAGGAAGGTGTCTGTGTACAAGAGACTTCACCCACCCCATGCATTTGAAGCACATTAAGTGCACACTTGAAGCACACAGCTTCCCTCAAAAGAATCCTATGAACTATAGTTTGTTAAGGGCCTGGGAACTGTAAACTCTGTGAGGGGTAAACTATGACTCCCAGGATTTTTTTGGGGGGGAAGTCATGTGCTTTAAATGTATGGTGTGGATGTGAACAGTGTCCCAATAGATGCTCAGTGTAGACCAGTGTGGGGAACCTGTGGCTGTCTAGCTGTTGCTGTATTATAACTCACATCACCACTGACCTTTAGCCACACTGGCTGAGGTTGATGAGAATTATAGTTCAATAACCTCTGGAGGGTCACTGGTTCCCCACCAATGTAGATTTATCGGACTTGATCTTAGAAGCCTGCCAAACTCTTGTGGGCTTACAATTCTGAACATACGTTGTTTCACAGAGCAGGGACCCATGTGCTACCTACCGTGAGAGGATTGCAAAAAGCTAGCCAGCAGTGCAAAAGGAGTTTGCGTGAATCTACTTTCAAGAATGGCCACGTGTGAAATCCTACTAGTTAGTTTAATGAGGTTTTTCTATTCTAAGCAAATCACTTAAACACAACAGAAACTCTGAAGAAACCATAGGAATGTACTTTAGGCCAGATTAGATTGTTCATCTGGTGAAGCATTGTCCCGCTTGAGAAATTCAACACAAATAAGGTGGCAAATTTTGAGTCCATTCATGCAAATAGAAACTAATACCAACATAAAAAGAAACTTTCTCTGAATGTGAATACTGTACACACATTCTTGTGTTTGTGAACAGTACAGGGAAGGAGGAATCTCTAACATGGTTCATCTTTATTCCCACCAATACAGTCTGCTTTTTTGTGCGTATTAAGGTGTTTCATATCTATATATCTTTAAAAAGTGTTGCCTAAACTACCTTATTTAAAATGATCACTGCCGCCATCAAAAAGAGCTTCCACTCCAGTAAGGGAACAAAAATGTTGTTTTATCACCTTCCATAGAAAACATTAAAGCAGAAAAAAAATTACTGCTTCAGGTCTTATTATTTGTTTTCCCTGGATCTTTTTCAAAGTTTTGATTCCTAGGTAATGCAAGTTAATGTGCACACAACTCGTGCCTTTTTTTGCAGTGTTCTAGTGGTGTTATGTAGAAAAACATCTCTGTCTCCCATCCTAGAGAATCAAAGGCATGAAGCAGCTTTGCAAGCTGAATCAGTATCAAAGTCAGCACATGGAACTCACATTAATAAGGGAAGATAAATAGATTACAAGCTTGTTCATTAAAGAAAGTTCAGATTATACTCCCTCACCCTAAACAGTTAGGTTAGGAGTGTGGACTCATCCAAACTTCCACTTGTCCTGTGCCTAAAAAGTACAGGTCCATGCGGTTTCCCCTTTGCCCTGTGCCACTTTCTGCTGGAAAACCCTCCTTTTAGCAATAAATTGGAATGAATGGCAATTCATGGGAAACCCTATTGAAGTTTGTTCTGATACAGCGCTAAAGATTGGGTTTCCTGGAGGGAAAGTGCAGGGCGAACAGAGGTGTGGCTAAGTCCTGAGTCGTCATCATCATTATAATTTATTATTTATACCCCGCCCATCTGACTGGGTTTCCCCAGCCACTCTGGGCATCTCCCAACAGAATATTAAAAATAGAATCAAACATTAAAAACTTCCCTAAACAGAGCTGCCTTCAGATGTTTTCTAAAAGTCAGGCAGTTGTAAATTTTCTTGACATCTGATGGGAGGGCCTTCCACAGGGCGGGCGCCACTACCGAGAAGGCCCTCTTCCTGGTTCCCTGTAACCTCACTTCTCGCAGTGAGGGAATCGTCAGAAGGCCCCCGGCGCTGGACCTCAGTGTCCAGGCTGAGCAATGGGGGTGGAGATGCTTCTTCAGGTATACTGGGCCAAGATCTAGCCTGTCTCCCGCTTAATATAAGCTGTGAGCCACATTTATTTGAACATGGATTCCCCAAACCCTGTGATCCAAATTCTGCTTTCAAATAGGAACTCGATGGGGAACATGTGGTCAGGGAGATATTGCATTCAGACAAATACACCATCTCCGTGTTCAAAACCACTCTTATTTATATCAATTATTGGGCAAGTTATTTTGTTCTAAAATGGAGTCAACTTACTCCATGTTTTACTTTAAAATCTCTTTGACAACTAGTGGGATAACACAGCTCTTATCTTTGTTTTGTGATTGACTCTACTCATGGCCAGGTCACGGACCAAGCTATACTTGGAAGTCCTGAGACTACTTAGACTTTGGTCGTAGACCAAGTGAGTTACATACTTAACCAGATGTCACCTGTTGAGGTCTGAAACAGTTTCATAAGACCTGGTGATTTTATTCTGGGTTTAAAAACCTTTATGTGAGTTGGAATAAATTAAGCAGGATAGTGAAATAATGAGTTTTAGTCTTGTGCTTCACTATCAGTATCAGCCTACTAGAATCTCAAAGGAATCCCCCTCCTAAGATTTAGCCATGTTTTCAACCTCCTGTGAGGCTTCACTAGAAGTGGAGGCATGGGTGGATGGACATACAGCTTAGAGCAGTTTGGTGGGTTGTTCCCCCATCCCGTGCAAGACTTTATTTTTTATTTTTTTGTGGCCAGGTCTTAAGATCGGAAGACAAAAGTGTGTAAGAATGCAAGAAGAGTTCTATTGGATCAGATCAAAGTGTCAAGTGATACACATTGGGGGGAAAACTTCAAATTTCACACATAGGCGCATGAGTCTGAACTGGCGTGACAGACGAAACCTTGGAGTCTTAGCTCAGTGAAGATGCTGACGCAGTGTGCGGCAGCTATGAAGAAAACAAATGCCCTGCTAGGGTACATTAGGAAAGGGATTGAAAGCAAAAGTTGCAATCTCATAATGCCTTTATACAAATCTATGGTATGACTGCACTTGGAATATTGTATATTCTTCTGGTCGTCCCACCTCAAAAGGGATATTGTACGGATGGAAAAGTTCCAGAAAGAGCAACCAATGATCAAAGGGTTGGAGCAACCTCCCAATGAGGAGAGATTACAATTTTAGGAGCTTTTTAGTTAAAAGAAAAAGTGAGTAAAGGGAGACAGGATGGTGGTGTATACAATTATACATTGTGTGCAGAAAGTGGACAGAGAGATGTTCTCTCTCTCTCTTATAATTCTAGAACTTGGGGACATCCAATGAAGCTGAATGTTAGAAGATTCAGAATAGAAAAAAGGAAATACATCTTCATTCAGCGCATTGGTAAACGATGGAATTTGCTCCCACAAGAGATGGCGATAGCCACCAACTAAGATGGCTTAAAAAGAGGATAAGACAAATTCATGAAGCATACAGCCAGGATGGCTATGTTCAGCTTCTGTTCAGAGCAATATGCCTCTGAATACCAGTTGCTGGGAATTGTAAGTGAGGAGAGTGTTGTACACCCAGGTCCTGCTTGCGGGCTTTCTGGTAGGTGACTATGAGAATTAGTTGTTGGCTAAGAACAGGGTTCTTATGCCTAATAGCCATTGATAGACTAACCTCCATGAATTTGTCCAATATCCTTTTAAAGTCATTCTAAACCAATGGCCATCGCCATCATGACTGTGAATTCCATAGGTCCAGGATGAGTTGCCATATCAGATGAGAAATCTGATTAAGAAATACTTTTGTCACTTCTGAATCCACCACCAATCAATTTCACTGGGTGACCCTGAGAGTGCTTCTGGACAGTTGCTGTTTTCCAGTGGGATTCAATCACATACCTCCAAGGGCAGCTTGGGCAATTAAAGAGAATTTGGTGCTCTTGCATAACACTCCTTCCCCCTGCCATTGCATATTTTGCAAGAAGAAAAATTATGGGGAAACACACTGGAAAGTGTGGGTTGACAATTGCTTGACACAATGCTGTATAAATCTCCCAGAGACACATCAGAATGAATGGAATAGTCAGTGCTGTCTAACCACCCTGTGAACTTTGTGCAAACAAATCAGGATGAAAGCATAATAAGTGGGTCCTGTGGAAGTGGCCTGAGTTCTTATGGGAGAAGAAGAAATTCTCTCTATCGACCCTTTACAACCCAGCTTGATGGGTGGGGTATAAATAATAAAATAATAGAAATTATTATTATTATTATTATTATTTCTAACCCTCCATCATGTTTTCACCTTAGCTGGCCTCCCCCTTGCATTACGGCCCTGTGAGCAAATCAGTGAATGCTAGAAAGCTTGAATATAATCTAACCTTTGCGTAAACTTTGTGCAAGCAAAACTGGTCGACCGCTCACTCAGTGCACAGGTCCTTTGGACCTGCCTACACTATCGAATTCCCTGTGCAACCTGTCCCCTCTTGTTGACGGGCTGCACCCTCCCTGTACCTGTCCATAACTTGCAATATGCCATAACCACGTGGTTTAAATGTATAAACAAATAACTTAAGATGCCCTGGGGAAAGACGCGATGGCCCTCAGTTCTACAATCTCGTATACGCAATGCACACCCGCCAACCCAACATTCAACAAACTTTTTTATGTGCAATCGAGGGAAGCGATCCAAGGGGGCTTCTGTTAGCGGTGCTACCTTTCCAGGACAAGGGGAGGTAACTTGTTTTGTAGGAGCCGCATCTCGGCAACCTCGTGGGTCTCTCCCCCTCACCCCCCAACAGCGCGGCAGATTGTTCCGAGTGATCTGCCCTCTCTCCACATCCCTGCCTAAACAGCCTGCTGTGATCAGTCTAGTGTGCTGTAAAAAATGAGCCTCCGCTATAGTTAAAGACGCTGCTCCTGACTCCCCCGCTCGCCTCGTTACACCCCCTCCCAGCACAGCACTGATGAATAGCGATCGGGAGCTTTGACGGAGGACTGCCACATACCAACTGCAGAAAGCAAAGGGGTGGTATGGAGGGAGAGGGAGGGAGGGAGAGACCCTCCTCCTTTCTTTGCAAAACTTTTCAGCCCAACTTTCCCAGCTTCCGCTTCTCTCGGATTGGCGAGGCTGTGACGGGGGTGGGGGGGTGTCGGTTTTCCTATGCGATCCCCTGTAACATCGCCTTCCCTTCTTTAAACCTCAGGTGCAAGAGGGCGATCTGCTCTCATCCCGCTCCGGACTTCTTCTGGGGGGAGAGAAGGTGATTTTTTTTAGTATACTTTCCTTTTTCTTTCCCCCCTGGCAGTTCCATTTCCCCCTTTCCCCTCCTGCGGCTCCTCCCTTTCCCCCTCCTCCTCCGCCGGGGGAGGCGGGGGCAGGACTGGGAGGCTTCGGAGCCGGGTTAGCAAAAAGAAGGGAATTGTTTGAGAGTTCAGTCATCCAAAAAACCTTCTTCCATATGGAGGCTCCGGCTGCCTCGATCCCAGTGGCTTCCTCGGCTCTCTGCAGTTTCTTCTTCCTCTTCCGCTCAGCTTTGTAGGGAAGCTGCGGACTCTTCCTAAAAGCAGCCTGCTCCCAAGTACAACAGCCTCCCTTTCTCCCTTAAACCTCCTCCATCCAGATTCTCAACATCAGCTTTATTTGGGTGAGTGCCTAGTTGAACTGCCCGGGCTGGGAGCTCCTCATTCTTGGGGTTTGGGGTTCTTTGTTGCTGTTTCTTTCCTTATCTTTAAAAACTCCCTTCTTTTCCTTTTTTCCTTTTCTTTTTCGGTAACCGCTCTCCCTTCAGCATCATCTTGGGTGAGGGAAGCAGCAGCAGCAGCAGCAATAACAACAAAACAACCCCAGAGTTTGATTTTAAACAAAATCAAACAAAACCGAGGAGCAAAATAAAGTCATAGGCTTCCCCGTGTAACAGTAATTTGTGGTGTTGGGAATTTGGGAGGATGGAACCGGGATGTTTGATTTTTTTCCTTTTTTGCGGGGAGATGTAGGATGAGTTTGATAGTTTATAAGAAGTCAAGATTTCCCCATGGTTCTTTTAACTTTCTCTGGTTTGTGCAGGTTTGTTTTTCACTGGGCAGGTGAGATTTGCAGCCTGGCTGTTTCGCTTTTTTGCCATCATCTTGGCAGTAATGGAGGAACTGGCAATTGCTCTTTACAATTCAGCTCCAGCTCTTGCCAAAAGTCCACCAGAGATTGCAATGTGTTTGTTTTGTTTTTTTAAAAAAAGGAAAGAAATGGGGGAGAAATAAACTTTCTTTATCATCTTAGTTCAGGCTTGTAAGGCAATCTAGGAAATGCCTTGTAGCAAGCCTGCAGCGGTAGGGTAGATTTATTTAAAAGTTTTTTAGAAACTTGAAAAGATGGGGGGGGAGCATGTAAATGGGGCAGCATCTTTTGCTTGTGACAATGCAGGCTGCTGCAACATAGAGAATGCATGAATGAGTTTGCTCAGAGTAAACAAGTTTGTTGTCTGCATTTGCCTGTTCAACTGCTTATTTTTGTAAACTTTTTGTTTCCATCTTTAAATGAAAAAGAAATTGGCGGTAGTAGGTGGAAAAGTATTTTAGAGGATTTTAGATCTTAGATGCCTTGTTTTGGTTGTAAGATTTTGTCCGAGACTTGTGATTGAGAGGTAAAAGTTATTTGCAGGAACTCCCCAGTTCAGCTTTTCAAAAGGATGTTTAACACTTGCTAATAAAGTGGGGAGAATCCTCAAGTAGCAAAACTTATGTAAACACCTTGGGCATAATCCAGCTGCCGTTAAGCCCTTTTAAGATTTAGGGATTTCATTGGAAGAGAGTTCTGCACCTGCTTAATTCTCCAATTGGTTTCAGTAGGTCAAAAAGGTGCTTACTGTTGGCTGGGTTGTGACCTTGGTGTTCTTGAGAAATATTTCCAAGAGCCCTCATTTCTGAAATACTTCAGTTAATTAAAAACTCTTACTAACATTTTAGTTTTTTAAAAATTGGATGCCCATATATTGTAATTGCATATAGCAAAACTATATTGATATTGTGCTTATGTTAAACTTGTAAAAGTTCTAGGTAAACTGGGATTTTCCTGTGAATTATGGTATGATAAATCTAATTTTGAAAAACTTCCCTGTGTTTTTTTATGATCCCATCTCCATTACTTTTAAGACTACAAACCAGCAGCTCATCCTATATGTGTGTAAAACTCCCTATGAGTTTTTGGAAATTAAATATATATATTATAGTTTGTTTAAGCAAAGGAAAAATAAGATAATATTTATGTGAAAGATGCATAGCTGGAAGCCAAGAGCTGTTCACCACTCTCTTGTTTAGCTCTTCAGGCTTCCCAACCACTTTCTTAATGAAACCTGTAGAAGATGGTTATGTCCAGGCACAATGTCCTTGCTTGTAGCTAAAGAGTAAAGTTTAAATTGCATGTGGCTGTTTCTAACAAGGATTCAGATATTATGACAGCTATCCAGGAGATTTGTGTCTATTTAGGTATGGATTTACCTCACTGTGTGTTGTGTAATGGAACTGAACTGTCCTATATCAATGCACCACATGTTCTGTTGGGGTTTATTGTGCAAAATTTGGTCATTGTTTTTAATAATCAAATGTTTCCCCAGCTATTTTTATTGATGTCTGTGTCTGTGTCTTTGTTGATAACTGATTTTTAGAACATCACTGGCTTAGTCTGAACGAATGAGAGTCACAAAATAGAGAGAGTTTTTATTGGTCCTGCATCTGTTGTTGAACTGGTACATACTTGGCGAATAAACCTCAGAGGCACAACCCTTTTTACAGTAGAGTTGACCCATAAAGAATACCACCCTAACTACTTTTAACCAATGAAGAATATTATATATATCTATTGTCTTCCTTTTCAACCTAATTCCCTCTCTCACACACATGTTGCTTCCTGTTAATAATAAACCCTCCCAGACCCTTTCTGTAATGTCTTCTGTAAAGTTTGCCACTTAGAAATGTAGATTCTGCTCCTATTAATTCTCCACTAGCTGCGGAGTGCAGGTTCCAGCTTTTACTATTTGCATTTAAGTCTTCAGTTTGTAGTTTGTTTCCAGTCCAGCGGTTCCACTGCAGTGACTAATGAAGGTCCACAATGTGAGAATGTGGCAGTTTCAAACAGACCCTAGCTCTTTCTTTCAGAGATTGTATAGGGAAGGCATAGACAGTTGGGAGTTTGAGGTAGGAGTGGTATACATTCCTGTGTACAAAGCACAAGATCTGGAAAGTCTATTCCTTGCTCAAGCTGACTTGTATGATTCTTTTCTAACCCACAAACCTGTGATAACATATATCTAACTCATGAATGCAAATCATTATAGCATTCATCACAACTTGCAATAATAAATAACTGCAGCCACAATCATGTGAAAGAGAAGTTGTTAAACCAGTCGCTTCTGTTGGTAAAGAAAGGTTAGTAGTATTGAGATGCTGAAAATTTAGCTACAGCAAAAGAGTGAGTCAGTTTTCTGATTGATTTACACCCATCTTTAATTCCTAGAAAGGAGGAATAACCAAAACACTTTCTTTATATAGGCTGGCAGAGGAAACAAGCACAACCCATATATATATTTAAAACACTCTCTACCTTTATAGCTTAAGGGCTGGTTTGTGGTGAGTAGCTTAAGGCCATGCCTATAACAGCCATATGGATAGGCAAGACACAAGAACTACTGTTGGTATAGGGGGGTAGACTTGGGGAAGCTCATGATCTTGGCCTGTTTTGGCTCCCAAAGGTGATGAGAGACTTGTGCCATTGACTTCAGTAGGAGTCATAGTAAGTTGGTATGAATCTGGAAATCTCCCTGTTAGTGATGGTGTTGGTGAGTTCAGCTTGTGAACTTTTTAATGATTGGTTCTTCATACTGAATAGCCTTCCTTGATACTCATTTTACAGGCTAATCTGATCTTGGAGGATTGCTTTATCAATCTTTTGCATGGCGGTAAATTGAACTCTGCAATGTTGCAGAATGGAACTTTCTAGACAAAAACAATTAAGCACATTAAAAGTTCAATGCATAATAATCCTATCTTAGCAACAGGTGTTGGCTGTTTCTGATGAAAAGCTCTGAGACTCCTTAACTTATCTACACTTTCAAGGGGTCAGACAAAAATCCAGTATTCAATACATTCATAGTATAAATACAAATACATGTTTAATGTTAGGTCTGAATGAGGTCACTGTGACAGACATTGCTAAATGTGTTCTAGTTGTGATCTTGGTATGGGTGTTGGCTTTGGTCACATTACCTTCTGACGACAGTATGGTGTATGGGTGGGGAGCTTGTGGCCCAACAGATGTTGCTGGCCTACGACTCACATCATATCTGACCATTGGCCATGCTAACTGAGGCTTATGGGAGTTGAAGTCCAGCAACATCTGGAGGGCCACAGGTTCCCCACCATGAACTTCTTAGTTGTGGCGCCTGAGTTGGAACTTCCTGCTTAAGACATTTCATCTTTCAGTTTCCTTGCTGACTTTCAGGAAGACTTTATTTCAAAGAGCTTTAGTCTGAACTTTTCCAGTTGAAAAGCTGATGATGATGCCTGTGTATATTTTGATAGATTTTACTTATTGTTTGATTTCTTAATGTTGAAAACCAGTTTTGCTGCAGATTGGTGCAGAACTTTAATGATAACTTTTAGCTCATTGAGCTTCCATCTACAAACACCAAAATTCCCAAAGTTGATAGCATTCATATGACCATATACTGTGTTAATGTGTTATTGCAAGTGATGATTCAGCAAACTGGGGAAATTTCGTGAAGCAAATAAAGCTTCATCTTGCTTAATAATTTTGTATTATGTGAAAGGAACAGATCTTCATATTGCCTTGCATCTTTCTGCAAAGAGTAGTCTGGCAATAGAGTTTGTTTCTGCAGGTTTTACTGAGTCATGTTTTAAGGTACATAGAGTTAACATTTTAAATACTACATCTTACAATAATATTAGGAGTTTATTTTCTATCACAGCATCATATTGCAGCGGTCCAGTTCCATCATAACAGTGGAACCATGGTTAAGCATTCAAGAGTAGGCCACAAAACCATGCAGACCTTCCTGCTGTAATGCAGTTATTCCCAATCTTGGTTAAAATTAACATAGTCTGCTTGTAAATTAATGTTGAGAACCCATTTTTAGTCCCCTTCTGCGATGCCAGTCAGATGGAGAAGACAGATATGGTTAGATTATTTGCATACATTCCCTAGTGACATTGGAATGCACTATGGTTACTGTGCTGTGTGTGTGTGTGTGTGTGTGTGTGTGTGTGTGTGTGTGAAGAGAGCTGTCTTTAGTGCAGGGATGAAGTGCCTGTGATTCTGCAGATGATGCTGGACTACAATTTCCATTATCCCTAACCATTGGCCAGACCAAAAGCTAATCTAATCCAGCATTTTGTTCTCTGTGACCAACCAGATGTCTATGGCAAGCCAACAAGGTCATGAGTGCAACAGCACGCTACCATATGCTTTTAAACTATAATTATCATCCCTTCTGACCACTGGCCATGTGGGCTGCAGCTGATGGGAACTGTAGTCTAACACCTGTAGCAGGCTACCCCTGTGTTATGTATGGTCATGCTACATACATGATGATTGGGCTCGCATGATCCCCTCTTCTCCTCTGATGCAATTCTGAGGGGAAGATTGGAAGTACCTGTTTCTTCAAAACTTACCAGAATTCCTTGTTAATGTCTGAACTTTGGGATCTCCGGTTATTTTGAACTATGGTTAGTGAACTAGCCAGGATCCTAAACAACAGTTTAATCCTGGCTTGTTGGAACTAAGTAGAGTTGCACAAGTGTGAACATAATGGGGATCTCTTTGCTTATTTAAAAGTAATTCCCATGTGGAGAGGAGGAGAGGGAATGAATAGTGTGTGAGCCTTAGGTTCACGGGCAACGATCGAAAGAGAGATGGTGCCATTGTAGGTGTTCTGGGAAGGTGTCTTTGTGCTTTGTGGGTTGGCAGCATGTCAGCCCTGTCGTGTACTTCGACAAATGGAGATTCAAACTATTAATGCCTGAGTTTGTATAGTCTTCTCAGAGGACTCAGTTTTCATGTAGGAAACCACTTGTTTGAAACAAGCCAAAATGTATCACTTCAAAGAGAAGGCTTGCTTTCATGTCTTCTTTCAGATGTGGTACATTATGGTGTGCGGGTGTGATTTTCACAAGTGTGGGTATAAAACAAGTGACTTCCCACCTGAAAACTGAGATTATACTAAAGCATGAGAGGATTATGCATAGCTGAATTGGCCCTGAAGATGGTCAACTGATGATCTTGAGCAGGTAGGCAACTGACCTAGACTTTTAGCCAATAGCTGTACAGAGAGACTGTCGTAATCTTCAATCACGCCCTTCCCCCTACCCCGGATGACTGACTCCTACATCTTCTCTCTGTTAAACCATTCCTTCAAATTCCCCACTCCAAAAAGCAAAGTTGGCTTTATCTTTAGAGAAACTTTTGGATGCCAACATTTGAGGGTGGGAGCAGGAAAGGGCAATGCCATCAAATCCATTAGTCAACTTTTAGCACAGTTGCCAAAGAAAATGTTTTTTAACATACTTGGGGGGGGGGAATTGTGTGAAGGATCCAACTGTAGATGAAATAAATGTAGGCTATTCATTTACAGAGTGATCAGAGTGGGAATATTCTGGCAGAATTATGCAACAGTTTCTTTCCAATTTTCCACTAACTTGGAAGCCTCTGGGTTATTAATAATTATTGTACATTTATGCAGTCTTTGTGTCTACCCCAAAATGAATAATGCATAGATCTAACCAACTCTCTCCACAACAAAACACTTTGAACTGGTCTATATGTTAACTTGCACCACAGACCAGTAGACCTGTGGCAAATTGTCCATACAGCCCAACTGTATTGTTAAGTCAGACTCATTGTATGACTTGAGGGTGTCACGTTGTGAATTTCTCTTTTCCCATTCATCATGAGTGGCAACCATGGTGGAGCACAAAAATACATAGTTTGGTGCACAAACAACCCCCTTAATGGATAGTCAGATTCCATAACGTCAGCGCTGTTTCTTGCCAAGTTCTGGAGCTCTTGCAAGCAGGCTTAGATAGGGTGTTACAAATGAAAAACAAATAATGATGTTACATTAAAAAAAAAAATCTTAGCTGGTCAACCCTGCTTTATGATTTTGGGGTACTAAAGACCATGAAAAGCACCTTAAGTTTAGGCTGAGAAAGTTTAGAAGGGGAGAAAAGGTAACTGAAGTACCCATGTAAATAATTCTTGGTAAAAAAAGGGTTTTGGTTTTTTTTAAAAAAAAACACCTTGAGGAAAGGCTTGAGGAAAGAGAAGGTGGAGTTTGGGCAAACATCAAAAATGAAAACCATCTTTCAAGGGGGATAGAATTTCTTGACCAAATCCCCAGTGCAAGAACTGTAGCGATCAAAGGAATAGTTTCACCCTTCATCTTTGAGTTAGATTCCTCCTCTGCAGAACTGATGGTGAGAAGACCCCATTGACCTTCTTCCCCAGCCCTTTTGGGTGGGATCTTTGCTGCTCCCAAAGTGTTTCCCCTTACAGTGACTCCTCCTTGGATACTTCCTTTTTTCCAGTGTGATGTGCATAACAGCTGTCTGGATCACAAACAATTGCTGTTTCACTGTTCTGTTTCTCTAGGGTTGACATTAGAGAAACAAGGTGAGAACTATGCAGCATTTTACTCATTTAAAATCTGTAGGAATTATTTTTTAATGTTCAAATGCTCTCAATTTCAACATGGAGAACATGAATCACTCATCCTATTAATATAGTAGAAGGTCCTAGGTGGTACCTTAGGCTGCAGTTAGTGTGATTGTTTTCACCCTTTCTAGCCCTGGGATCCATCTCTTAACACCAATCTGTAACATGAAGTCCACTTTCAATGTTTTATCTTGTTTGTTACTCTTCCTTTTATTCTATCTGACTGTTTACATTTGTGCTGCTTGATTTCTTACACTCACTGATTCATCCAAAGGAGGTTGTGGTACTGCAGATACAACTTACCTTAATGCCAACCACTTGAAGACTAATGTACAGAATATTCAAGGAATGAGAATGCACAGCCACACGTCACTAATTCTCAAAGACAGCCTTGACTGAGATTGATAAGAAAAGTACATGACAAATGGAGACTGTAGATGGCTTGCCTCAATTTAGTTGTTCTTGTTATTCTTGTTATTATTATTTATTTCATTATTATACCGCTTTATATTTTAAAGAAAAAAACTCTAAGCGGTTTAAAGCATCAAATGAAACAATCCAGAGTAAAACTTGGCAGAAGAAAGTCAGATATAAAGAATGCATTCAAAGAAACATAATTAACAGGAAATTAAACTTTTATCTTGAAAGATTTCAACACAAAACATTACAAAGAATATCAAGCACAGGATGTGCATTTAAGGCAGCAAGAACAAATTATCTTAACATTTTGAGATAAAACATTACTCAAGGAATGCAAATGTAAAATGCACATTTGAAACAGCATTATCAGCAAGAGTATTATCTTAAGCAGAGGACGTATCTGCTGCTGTTACTGCCAATCCTGTCAATGGTGGTTCATGGCAGCCAGCGGCTGTGGAAGCTCAGGCTCGAGGACCTGGGTCTGCACTAAGAGACAGCCAAGAGACAGTTCTGCCTGCGAGCAGCATGTTTTGCCTGTGAAGTGCCTCTAATTCTGCTGCTTGGAGAGGGGAGAAGAGTACCCGGAGAGTTGGCTTCTTCTGATGACTCCTGATTCATCCTGGGTTTGTGGGAAACTCAACCCTCTTGTTTTCAGCCACAGGAATGATCCTCTGAGACAGTTGTCTGTGTTCCTGGCTCTTGGGTGTGGGGCAGGATGTGTGCCAGTTCTGCTCTGTTCTTGGATGACAGTGGCTAGAAGTAGGATGCAAATAAGGAGAAGCAGAACAGAGGCGGGATGGTGGTGGAGTGAGAATTGTAAGCTGCTGAGTTCTAGCTGTAGGGGAAGGAAGGATCATATGGGCAACGGCTGGTCTCTTGTGGCCTCTTTGATCCTGGCTTCAAGACAATCTGAGATCTTCTGAGCAAAATCTCTCCTCTCTGTTATTTCCAACTTCTTTCTATAGGATATTCAGCATACAGTAACCTCTTCTCCTTCCTTTGTTTCCCCTCCCCTCTCTTCTCTCCACATACAAGCTTCTTCTCCCCTCCCTCCCTTTAAATCTTCTTGGCAGAAGTTGAAACACACAATGAGCTTGGACCAAGATGAAACTAGTTGTGGAGTGTGTTGGGCAATGAGATTCATTTGTTCTGAACCTTGAGGAGAGAAGGCGGGTGAAGGAAAAGGAGGAGAGAGAGATGACCCTCCCCAGATTGGGCACAGTGCCAAAAATGTGTTTTACTTGGAAAAAGAAAGTTTTGACGTTATCCTGGAGTTAACTCTTTCGCCACCCATAATACAAGGACCATTTGACAGAGCAGCAGACATCTTACTGCCCTCCTAAGGTCCCTATAATAAACCCTGACTTAACTGTTGTACCACATTAGTTAAGATTGCCATACTTATTTTGATAGGCCAAAACCTTTAGGAGTACTTAGCAACTAGCAGCCATCATCAAGGATACTGACAGCAAGTGGCATTCTCGACTGAAGAGAAATGTGCATTTCTTTTTCAGAGAAACAGTTATGATTGTCAGGATCTTTAAAAAGTCAGAGTTCTTCAATTAGAGATGGAATATCTGTTCTATGTTCCCTTCTTTACCACAGGCACCATGTTATTATGATCGCCCTTTAAATCAGTTCCTTTTCACTGCAATACCTCTAACCCTCCTCATTTGCACCATGAGGAAAATGTTATGCCTTGCTTCACAGAATGTAGGAAGTTTGAGCTGACTATTGCTGTTTAGACAGATATTTTCATACCGTGACATGAACGGGATTGACAAGAGCCTTGCTTTTTCACTGCCAAGTAGCTGTTTTAATTGAAAAAGGGGACTGCGGGGGTGAGGTGAGAGGAAAGAGGAAGAAAGATGATTAACACAGAAATGTTGTTGCTTGCAGCAACTGAATAATCGCAGCAGCTGGCATTGGATTATGGCTTGCAATGTGTATACTTTGAGTCATCACAAGGGCTTGATAAATTTTCTCCAGATGAGAGGAAAATGAATGTGGTGAAAGAGATGGTGGTGAGGACATCCATTTTCTCAGGAAAAAAGTCTATAGGAAGACAGCCTCATATCTGGATTCTAGGCCTCGTAGAGCTACCCAAAGCCAGCCTATTTCTTATTAGTCATTCACATTAGCCTGGTGCGCACATCACATTAAGCCATAGTTACAATAAACCAAGGTTTAACGTGAACAAAAGGTATGCTGGTGCATGCTTTTGAAATTGGGGGCCTTCTGAAATTCCCCACCCTGATCCTGCAGCATGGTCTGGCTTGCTGTCTTCCCCAAACCCAGGCTCCTTGCTTGTGTCTCTCCGCACTATGAGCAGTAAGCCAAAAACAAACCTTGGCTTCTGTGAGTGGTTTGTTTGAAGAGAAACAAACCACAAATCCAGGTTTAGATAACATGACAAGACAGACCATAGCTTGTTTCCTGGCAATGTGGCCGCAGCAGGAGCCAAAGTGGAGCAAAGTGCCTACAATTTCAACTCATTCATGTTAAACCATAGTTTATTTTAACAGTGATTTAATGTGACATGTGAACCAGGCCATTGTGTTGAGGGAATAACGTGGCAAAGTGCATAAGTACAGCACTGGATTGTTGTTTTAATTCATGCATATTGACTAGGTGGTAGCAGTTGGGTGATAGGCTTTTGCTTTGAGCCCCACCTCCTGAGTTGGGTCATTGGCTTAAGATAAATTTGACAAGCATAGCGACACATGAGTTTCTCCTAAGTACTGTTATAGCACCTGCATCAGCAGGATTTCCAGGTAATGGGAGTTAATCACACAAACAATGCTCTGTATTTTGTTGGCCACCAGATATCTTGTTTGTCTCCATTTGTTTTTTTCAGTTTTTTGCCATTACTGTACTATTTTACAGTAGGTAGACAACACTGATGCCTGAGGGCTCATTTTATGTCAGTATTATGTCACAGTTGGTCTTCATTACAAGATATGTAGTTCAGTTGCACTGCTATAACTAGATTAGATTCCCTGCTGGCACAATAAATGCCAAGACCTCAATCCTCAAAATTTGATAGCATATTCCACTGAAATCAACAGGACATGATCATGGAGTGAATGTGCTTCGGGATGGTGTTTAAATTTAAACTAGGCCTCTTGTTCGTTTGACAAACATTTTCTATTGGGTCTGTGATTTTGAGCTGGTTTATCCCTGTAAAATTATCCTGCTGTTTTTGTCTATACCAGCCTCTCACCACACTGCTTTGGTATGGTTGCTCCTTCCCTTAACCACAGTATTTTGTGTACACTGTAAATTGCTTTGTTTCCATTGTAAAAAGTAAGCTGATCTGTCCTCCATCTCTTTGGTGCTATTGGACCTTCAGAGTGCTAACACTTTGAATTCTGGAGATTAGCCAGTTGATTTTTTATTTTTATTTTATTTTATTTTTGAGAGAGAGAAAATATAATTAAGTGTTTTTACAAATAGTAAATCTGTAACAGCACAGTCCTGTACATATCTACTCAGAAGCAAGGCCCATTGAGTTTAATGGGGCTTACTCCCAGGTAAGTAGGGATACAGGATTGCATCCTGTCTTGGAAGTAGTTAATTCTTTAGTCTGCTTGTTAGCATCCACTATAATATAGATATGGATATAGATATGGTAGGAATTATTGTCACTGATTAATGTCACCAATTCAACAAGACTATGTGTGAAATTCAGGTTGTCTTCTCCTCTGTTCTGAGAAATAATGTACCAGGTTGATTTTTTACATTATGACTCTCTTCTTTCTTAACCGTAATCTTATTTTGTAAACTAAGTATAACTCTTAGGGTTCCAGAATCATACCAGGACTTGGATCACTCTTGATCCACAGTGCAGTTATTTTAATCTAAAACATCACTTCTAGTTTTGAAACCCATAGAGGTATGAAGCTATTCATGAGAGGGTTTTTGGTGTATATGCTGGCGATTTCCCCGAAAATAATACTTGGGTAGATGTTCTAGCAGAGAAGAATTTTTTATACTAAGCCTAAGATTAGGTAGAACTAATCTGGTTTTGCAGCTATCCGAAAACACATCTGCAAATCTTTTGAGGAAGATTGGTCAGAATTATGGTTAGGGGTAGAAACCACATGGAACCAAGCCACCCCACAATGTTTCTACCCTGAACCTTGCAAAATACATTGGAATGGGGGAAGGTGGAGTTCAGAGGGAGTGCAAGTTGACACATAGATTTTTTATTTTTTTTTTTACGGTTGGAGACCCTTCTGGATCAGAATTACCACTTCTCTGACTCTTCTTTCTGTGCTCTGCTTTCTGAAAGCTGCATATATAATGTTTCAGACATATAGGAAAGGCAGGCTATATTGCAGTCAACAATGGCCTTTGCGGTGAGGAATAGCTTTGGACTGCTTGGGAAAACTTGATTCTGGCCTTGAAGATAAAAAGTAGATAATTGTGTTTTTAAATTAAGATGTGGGCATCAACTGAAACAGTAAAATGACTTGGACGCAGGACAAAGGATTTGAGTTCATTGGGAGCTGAATGCATTGTTCTTTCTATTTTATACATATGTTTTTTTCTGACTGGTGTATAATTCCAACTGTCTTCCTTGCTCTCTTTTCTTCCTATTCCTTATTCCTTTTGTAAACAGAGCATACCAAATCCAGCTTCATTGCTGGCTATGCTCCACGTGTTTGTTTTCTGTACACGTGCTGCTCTTGCCAACTCTGTTGGGCTTTGGAGAGGAGGAAGGCAGGATGGAGGGGTGGCAGAGTGACATGAGAGCAGACTGCTGCTTTACAAATTCATATTTGTTTAAAGCTTAAAGGCTGCTTGAGAGAACTCTTGGAGTGAGGAGAAAGTAGTAGGGTGGGAATGGGGAAGAGGAGAATGTAAACTGTGTCAGCAGTAGCAAACTTTCCAGCTGGGGCCTGCTCCTGTTGCCTGCGTGAAGACAAGTACTTTTAAAGATCTTAAATCTCAGATAAAGCACAAGTGGGGACTGCAACAAAATGTTGCAGTATGTCCTTGCCTACAATACAGCTGTTTAAGGTATTAGCCAACTATTTTGCCTAAGCAGGGCATCGCCTGCCCCTCCCCATATATGCACACCCACCCACACCAATTTCCTGTTTTTCTTTTCCAACTGATACTCGGCATTCAGTGGTTTCTGTACATGCTCAGAAATGTTAACATGGTCAGAAAGCTTACGTCTCATTTTGAAAGGCCTGGGATACCCAGCACTCTGTTCTTGGACAACGGGCCACAATACGCCTCAGGAGAATTCAGAGTTATGCATTACATAGGAATTCCAGCGCAAGGCACTATTCTATGGATAGTCACAGAACAATGGGAAAGCAGAATCAGCAGTAAAGACAGCCAAAGCAAACAAGACTGCAGGGGATCCTTACCTGGCTTGATTGGAATCACAGAAACACACCCTTGCAAGGAATGAACAGTAGCCCAGTTCAAAGACTGATGGGAAGGAGGATGGAGACATTGCTGCCCTTGGGGGACTCTTTGCTACAACTCCAGGGGAAATGGTGAGACAGTACACTTGGATTCCACAGAAGGAAAGAGCTAAACAAGCAAAGTACAATGCACAAAACAAAGACAATGTATCACCTGGAACAATTGCACAGGCATGAAGCGAGAAGCTGGTATGACAACCGGCTCACCTGGATGACTGTGGACCAGTGGTGAAGGCTCCACTGTGGTGTATTTGCTAGCAGTAACCTGTTGGCCAAACCAACTGATTAAGTTAATTGTCTGCTTTAACAAAGATGTAACTACATGTATAGAGTTCAGAAGTAAAGCTAGCTATAGCAGAGGGAGGAGTCTGAAGAAGAAACCGGAAGTGGGGAAGTACATGGCAAGGAGAGAGCATCATGCCCTGTAACTGTTCTGTATGAAACTATTTTAATGAAGTACACTGTTATGTGGGGAGTTGCCCCTTTGATTGCACAGTGTCACCTTAAGAAGCTCTAACTTGTTCTAGATGCTCTATAAATATATGGGGATTTAGTTTTCTTTCACCAGAAGGTGAAATGTTAAATTAACTGTCTCCACTGCTCAGTGGCCAAGAGATTATGGGCTATTATGAGATTTCAGGGAAACAGAGGAGCCAACCTGTTACAACTTGCTCTTAAGGTTTTCTGAGCTAAAACAACTACTCAGCTTGTTTATGGTGCTCAGGTTTGGGAACTGGCTGTACTTCTTCAACAGACAGTATCCAGAATAAATATTTAAGATCACGTTTGTGCTGCTTTCTCTCCCAGCGTCGTTTCTGAGACTAGAAAACAGGTTTAAGTTCCTTGAAAAGTAAAATCCAGAGGCTGCTACTTAATTATTGGCTTAGGCTCACCAGAATGAATATTTCTAATGTAGCACATTTATGTTTTAGGGGATAGCCAATTAGGAACCAGCGCATAAATCCTTGAGATCTGTGACAGAGGAGCATATTCAGTAGGGTGGGGTTTTCTTACTCTTATTCATTATGGCCTCAGTTGGAGCTCACATTACAGTTAGATTGGCTGGTAGATATAGAACATCAACATTATTTGCCTTATGTTGAGGGATACCAAGATTTCCCATTGGTATATGAAGATGTTTAGTTGTGCTTGACATAACTTAGTAGAGCATGAGACTCTTAATCTCAGGGTCATGAGTTTGAGCCCCATATTGGGCAAAAGATTCCTGCATTGCAGGGGGTTGAATTAGATGATCCTTGGGGTCCCTTCCAACTCTACAGTTCTATGATTCTATGATGTCCTGTGATCTAATTACTAGGTGTTGTACTGGCCAATGGCTAAGTAATAAATTTGAATCTGACCAGGGCCCATAGAGGTTCATAGTTTGTAAGCAGAAAGGCTGAAAGGCTGCTCTCAGGTAGATTTGAGCAAAGCAGATGATTTCATCCTGGAGCATAGGGTGGTCAGGTCAAAAAGCAAGGCAGTAATTGAAGAGATGCTTAAGTGGAGATTAACAATAAGACTTCCAGGCCAGGCAGGAAAAGTTAGAGATTCAGAGAGGGCCTGAATCTCGGTTCAGCAAAGTTTAAAGTTCACGCAAGACTGAAAGCTGTGAAGATCCAAGTCGCTAAATGGTGAGGAGAGGCATATTGTTAAACTCGATGGATCACTGGATGTTCGCATCTCTGTCTCCAAGTGCAGTTTTTGGTTTGATTGGAGTATGTGTACGTTCCTACTCTAACCAGCTTTCATGGCAGCACAGGAAGTAGAGAGCTTATGCTTGTTCCCCAAAGACCAGGGTTTGAAGCCTACAACATCTGATGTTATGCTGATTCTATAAATAGCAACATTTGTCCACTCCAATGAACTAAGCCCCACATTAAAATGAACGTGCACTTAGTGTGATTACAGTCTCAATTAATTTGCAAATTATAGTCTCAATTAATTTGATATTCCCACATGTTCTTTCTTGCAATTGCACATAATTAAGCAATACACTTGCCTTATAGCTCAAGATTGCATTTGAGATTGGCTTTGCAGGAAAAATCCTATAGAGTATCTAACATAATTAAAATGAAGGTACTTGTCCCTTAAATTTTTTTATTTTAGGGAGTGCTTAATTTCATCATCACCATTTTATTTGTATGCAACCTTTCCATGGTTAAAACTATGCACAAAGTGACTTACAATATGGAAAAGGTACATAATTAAAAAATAGCTATAGACAATAAGTAAAACACATCAAAAAGTACACAAAATTGAACAATTTCCACATAAATCCTAAGAGCTTAATAACAGCAACATCCCTTGTTAAACAATGCCCAAGCCCAGTTTTTGAAGCTGGATTTAGTCAGGGCCCTGCCCTCGCAGGCCAGGTGGGAAAAGGCTAGCAAGGCAGGGAGCAAGTCATTCAGAACTCACAGCCAAGATGGTCAAAGCTTACACCAAAGTCTATTGAAATTACAATAACTTGAAAGAATAACTTAAATTGTATGTCAAGAGTAAAGTTCCTCCAGATGTAATAACCATGAAAAAACCCCTGCTTTATATAAAGACATTTTGTTTTAGGAGCATATTGTGATGTCTCACAATGCCACAAAACTAGCGATGCTAAAAATAGCAATTACAGTTGCCCGTTCGAATTCCCAGGCAGTCATTATGTGTGCAAAAGTTATGGAGGTTTTGCCAAGGATTAATGAAGTCATGGAACTTGAGATAGCTGGAAGTAATTTCTGCAATATTTCATCCAAATGTTATAGGAATTTTAATTTAATAAAGAAAAAATAGAATAGGCTATTAAGATCCAATTATAGTGTGATTATTTTTTTTAAAAAAATCCTTTTTCACAGCAACAGAATTCCATATTAGCTAGCAAGTTATGGCTCAGTATTCAGAGGGTCACTTTGACAATTTGGTTGCCCATAGGTGGGATCTGCCACAACTTGTTGTAGTGTGGAGTGCTCCTGTTCATTGTTCCAGTCATCCTGATACTCCATTCCCTTCTGTATGGTTTTCCATCCCGTTTCCAGCAGTCTTTCAGTATTTCCTTACCACTGAGCATACTCTGCCATCACTGGGCAGTTGTGGGGTTGTTTCCCCTTATACTTCTGCAGACCTCAGGTTTTCCTCCAACTACTATTGATACCGCTCTTGTACATGGAAGATGCCATTTTGGATTCATAAAGATCCACACTCAAGAGATTGAGTTCTCCGTAAGTACATACAGGGTATTAGTATATAACCCAAGCTAAGTGATGCTACTATTGTACCAAGTCCATGATAAGAAAAACTAAACTGAATAATGAAAATGTCAGTATAAACAAACTATGGACACAGTCTACCCACTTGCAGCCAATACATGGAAAGATTGGCAGTGTTTGTCCTCTGAATGTGCATAGGCTTATCTGAAGCATTTTGAACACAAGAAGAGCCTGGTGGGTCAGAACAAAGGCTTGTCAAGTCCATTATCCTGTTCTCACAGTGGCCAACCAGATGTCTGTGGAAAACCAGCAAGCAAGATGTGAGCACAGAATATTCTTCCTTCCTGTATTGGGAACAGACAGGCCGTATTTCCCATATCTCTTTCAGCCCTTCCTCTTGCACATGTACACCAGTGGAGGTTAAGGGGACATGACACCTCTATTTGTCTTGTGAAATGCCATCTTTGATGTATTTCCACAATCCATTTTGTTTTGTATCTAATGCATAGAGGTTACTATTAGTAAGCCACTCCTAGCTGATAGAGGAGGTCAACGTTGGAGAGAAGTTGATTTCTGAAAGTGAAAAAGCCTTGGTGGACATACTAGACTGAGGAAACAAGAATAGATAGCAATTACAAATATGACAGATATTCATTGTCTGTAGAAATGAGGAGATATTAATTGCTGAAACACAGAAGGTAATTAGAACTACTGTCTGCATTGTATTTGTGTCAGCAACATAAACATTCCTGACAGGTGGTATTATATAAGAAAAATTGAACTTATCAAAACAATCCCAAACGAGGAAACAGATTGATTCCCGTCGTAGAGAAGTCCTCCTTTGTTGCTGACATGATTGTAATGGTAGGGACTGGACAGCATAGGAGGTGTGCTAGCATACGTTGCTAAACTCATGAAATGCAAAAGCACCATAAATAGCAATCTTGGGGTGTTGGAATTCATCTACTTCACTGGCCAAAGGAGGAATAAACTTGAGCTTGGTACTCGCTGATATATAGGCAGGCTATTTATGAACAAGTAACCAGTACACCCACACACAGAGTGACCTGGTTGACAGGTAGGCTTTATTACCAGTTTATGTAATCAGCAGCAGCAAAGCTTTGCTGGGACATTATCACGTCAGGCTTCCAAGTGTGGCATGTATATGGGATCTTTGTAAAAGCTCACTGTACCTAGAAAAATGCATGTAAGGGGGAAGGCTAGGCTGCATGGTTTGATTATCTGCATGGTTTGATGAACTGTCTGCTATTCTAATCACCTCATAAACACCATAGTATGCAATAGAAGAAACTGAAACAGAAGAATTGCAATTTGGCTTTGATGGTTCCTCCAGCGCTGAAGCTGTGTGAATTGAGGGCCATAATGTTTCCATTGTGCAGTGAAAACCTAAGCATGCTGAATCAGAAGTAAGCTCTGTTTTTGTTTTTATTACGTATTTTGTTTTGTTTTTTATTGCAATTTTATGCTGTGAACTGCAGCATACGGGTATAGGGTGGTATACAAATTGTGATGATGATAATAATAAGTGGTGCTTACTTCTTAGTACTACTTACTACTTAGTAAGTTTGTAGTACTTATTACTACTTAGTGTTACTTACTACACAGTAAGTTTACTTAGGATTGCAGCTTTCATGCTGAATAGTACTAAATTTTGTAATTAATTAGATTTTTAAATTAATACATACAAAATTTTCCTAAATCTACACACAAACACAGCTATACAGTGGTACCTCAGGTTACATACGCTTCAGGTTACAGACTCCGCTAACCCAGAAATAGTGCTTCAGGTTAAGAACTTTGCTTCAGGATGAGAACAGAAATCGGGCTTCAGCGGCACGGCAGCAGCAGGAGGCCCCATTAGCTAAAGTGGTGCTTCAGGTTAAGAACAGTTTCAGGTTAAGAATGGACCTCCGGAACGAATTAAGTACTTAACCTGAGGTACCACTGTACACATATGTATGTCATACCTGCTAAGAGAGAGTATGGCTCAATGATAGAGCACATGCTTTGTATTTAGAATCCCTTATTTCAATCCCTTGTGTTAGGGAAGGCAAAACTCCAAGAGACACTGCTAGTAGAGCAGACCATACTGGGCTAGATGGGCAAACAGTCTGATGGTGTTAGGCAACTTCCTAGATTCCTATCCAGCCACAAAAGTTTTTAGATATACTGTACTGTACTTGCTGGCATTTGTAACCAAAAATACATTGAGACATAGAAACATTAATACATTGAGACATAGAAACACTTAACAATAGTGAGAGAGACCTGGTCCTTCCTCTGGCATGCACAGAGGGTTGGGGGCAGGAGGGTTCAGTGCAACTACAAATAATTGCCATCAAATAAGCCAGGACAAATTTGTGGACCTCTGTCTTCAGGTCATGTTTTCATGCAGTCAGGAATCACATCCAAACTACAACAAATACAGTATCTCTCTTTATAATATTTAGTCAACACATGCTGGGATTTGGTTGGTGATCTGACACCCCCTTTGGTTTCCTGAGCCACTTTCGATACAGGTGTGGTGATAGTAAAACTAGTTGTCTTGGGAGCTAAAGTAACTCCCAGACTATCCCAGGACGTTCTATAATCTCTGGATGTTGGAGGGATGAAATGAAGACACAGCAAAAGCGAGGAAGGATGCAGATGTTTAACTTTCCACCAGGGGTCCTCCTGGCTGGAATGGTTTGTTTACATGTAGAAAGGTTTAAAGTCCTCTTAAATTCCTTCCTTTCTAGATGATGCTACCTATTTTTACAAAGTCCTACATTTACTTGTATTTAATTTTAATCCCACCTTTCCTCAAAATTTTTACCTTCATCTTAGATTTATGGCTAACGAAAATCCTTTCAGGCTAGATATGCAGAAATGAGACTTAAACTTCATACAGAAGACTAGTAATGAAGGTGTTTTCATGCTATTGTATTATGAAAACTGATAATCCACTTCTGTTTGTATACTGTAGATCACTAAATGTTGCACTGGAGGCACAATGTTGTCATTTTTGTTGTTGCTGCTATGGAATGACTTCATTGTAGCTTGAAAGAACTGACATTTTACCATGCTAAAAGGGATGTGTGAATTGGCCTTCTAATTTATTAGTACTGATATTATGCAGCGTTCCCTTAGTGCTTGATACCACACATTCCATGCTTGGAACACAGGGTGAATATTGTCTTACCTTATTTACAATATTCTGGTTGTTTAAACACTCTCTTTACAATAAAAGAACAAAAATCTTGAGTTTGCAAATAGGAAAATAACAGTGATTTACTGTTTTAGGGGATTAGTGTTCTCAGTTTTATTGAAAGTTACTGTGGACATAGAAGGCCCGCTTTTGTTAAGCTGCTGCTGGAAATCTGGTAAGAGTTAAAGAGCTAAGAATTACAAGATATGACAGCATTATGTAATTATTTTTAGTTTATCATCCCTTATGTAAGTGCTTGCGGGCTATGTATTCTCACTTGTGTCATTAACATGTTCATTAGTTAGAGGTGGAAAGAGTGAGAGAGCCATTAGAGAAGAATTGTAGTTAAGATTTCATTTGCGGTATGGAGCTGTGGCAGGAAGTGCTTGGGTTGCAGAAAGCATTATTAATAAAAAGAAACATATTTGGCATTTTATTGCAAATCCAGTCCCTTTGAGCGGAGAGAGAAAAGGTTAGCCATCTTCTTCAGCTCTGAATTGGTTTGCAGTGCCTGCTTCTGATAGCTTTTATCTTCTGGAGTAATTTCCTTGACCATTCTAGTTCCCGGCACAGTTTACCTTTATCATGGATATATACCACAGTCTTAATTTGTAAGCTCATTATAACATCCTTCCATGTGGCAAGGAGAGTTTTACCACATCCTTGGGCTTCACCAGAAAGCAAGGGCTTCAGAGAACTGATAAAATCCTGCTCACCATTTGACTGGATACTGTGGCATTTCCTGTGGATTTGTACCTAATTCTAGTAAACTACCACTCGCTAAATGGTAATCTGTATTCACCTTCCACCCAAGTCATCCAAGTTTGCAACATTCCTGCAAAGGGCAAGGATTCCTATGGTGAAAAGGGACTCCCGCCGCCTTTGCGCACAGGTATTTGCACGAAGAGGAGGCATTGTGGACATCTTGACAGCTGGCCCACGGCATGCTTATTAGTTGCTCCTTTACTGTCCACTCCACTTCCTCATCTTCCCAGCCATCTTTCTTCCCTTCTGCAAGCGCCAAACCCTGTCCCTTCACTGAGCCCCAGCCTCTCCAGATTAGAGCTCTCCAGGGACCTTGTCTTTTGAAAAGAGGAAAGAAAGGGAAAAAAGGGAGGGAAAAAGAAAGAAAGAGAGGGAACAGAAGAATGAAAACAGACCCAAGGGGCAATAGTCCCTCGAGCCATCTCACTGCATTACAATGAATATGGACTCTATTAAGCTCCGTTCTGCCTGTTAGCGTTTCCCAGGGCAACACAGCTCCCATATGGCAAGCATGCAGCAGATTAGCGTAGGCCTCTAGGCCTCATTGAAGACCTGAGGCTTGACTGGCAGTTGAACTCCCTCCCCCCTTCTCCTCACACTTGACACTGCCTGTGTTTATCTAAAGCGGGGTGGGGGGGTGCATTTGGAAGGTTATTGTCCGGGGCAATGAGAGATAGGAGAGGGAATAACTGAGCCAAGCTGGGAAGGAAGAAGGAACATGGGAGGGAGTGGGGCTGGCTGGCCAAAGGAGGGAAAGAGGGAGGTGAGAAGGGAGCAAAAGGAGATAGGAAGGAGGGAAGGTTGGGAGGGGGATGGCAAAACACTTCATAAATATTCAGGAAGGATGCTGAATAGGGAGAGGAGAAATAAAGCAGATGGAATTCATGTTAAAGAACAGCCACAATCACCCTCCAAAAACAAGAAAAGAAAAGAGAACTGCTTTAAAGGAGCATAGGGAACGACGTTTATCCAATTAGCAGGGTTGTCAAATTGAATTTATACAGAATTGAAGGGGGGGGAGAGGAGTGAAAATTAAGTGTGTGGGGTTGGGTGGGGGGAGAAATATATAGAAGAAAGGAAGTGCATCTCCCCCCCCCCTTCCCACTCTAGTAAGGAGATTTTATCCTTTATAGGGCTAAGGCAGTTTCCAGAGTGTGTGGAAGGCGGGCAACGCAAGGCGTAAACTGACTATTCCACTTTACTGTGATGTTCTCACTTTGGATAAGAGGGTAGAAAGAAGTAACAGAAATGAAGCATGATGCAAGAACGCCAGCATTGCTTTTGATTAAGGCCGCTTTGTACCTGAGAACGCTATGAATTTGGGACTGGGATATTAAGTATATTAGATTATCAGCGGAAGTCCCCTATCATACACAATTGTGATAGGCAATTGTCACTTTAGCTGGTGACATTGGTTTCTGGGTTGCAAGAGAGAGTTCACGTGCCATAATTACTTCAGTCCTTAGTCTATAAGCAAGGGTCTCAGTGGTAGAGTTGCATGATGGTTCTAAATGCTTTCAGTGGCAGTTCACTGATAACTGTCTAATTTTCTTGTAGACCATCAAAACAGCTAGAGAAGATTTGATTATATGAATATATGTGTGTTAATACAGATCCACTGACTAACATTGAAACATAATTTTTCTGCTTTTTATCACTTGGTCAAATGGGCAACCTAATCTGTAAATTTCCAGGGCTGTGGGTAGCCACATTAATCTGTTGCAACAAAATCAACAAAGACCCTTGTGACATGTTAAAGACTAACAAATGTCATCATTGCATAAGCATTTGTAGGCTTCATCATGAAAGCTAATGCCTTAATAAAATGTGTTAAGCCTTTAAAGTGCTACAAAACTCTTGGCTGTTTATTCTCATAGAAATGTATGTCTTTGATTTGTGATTGTGCAATACAGTACAGTAGGTGTGAAGACCTGGGAAAAATAAGAGTTTCCACCTGTTGTTGTTTTTTAACACCTGAGCTTTCACATCTCATTCTTCCCCTCCTTCATCGTTACTTTTTACATTTTGTCCTACAATACCCACCAAATTCAAGAATTGTTAACAATAGCAGTATGCATTCATGGTCTATCTATAAAGCACAGAAAACCCCAAAATTATATTTTTATTCAAAAGTCAGTTATGTGAAAGAATACAGCAATACCTATTCATTGAACAGCTGTTGTCAAAAGCCCTATTTTGGGTGTTCTTCGTCATGCAATTATAGTTCCGTGAGGAGTGTCAGTGGGCCACACTAGATGGCTCTGACCCTACTGTTGTGTCCCCTTCATCACCTTCCACACATTGGAGGGTGGGGGAAACTGAATTGGGGAGGCTGCTCTATGTGTTTAGGCTCACTCCATGATTCAGAACTCTGCTTGGGCAGATGCCCTACACCAGACCTTCCCACTTCAGTGTGTGGAAGGTGGTGAGGGGATCATGATGGAGGGGCAGGGCCAACAAATGTTGTCCCACTTTTCCTCTCACTCAGCAGTAATTGCAGAAGGGAGAACACCTGAATAGGGCTTAAGTTTCAGGGAGTTCTCTAAATGTCATAAACCTTGAGCTTTCACTAAGAAGGATTCACATTGTACTACTCACAAGCTGTGCACACACCATGCCTTTAAAGCACATTTAAGGCATGTTTCCCCTCCCCCAAAGAATCATGGGAACTATAATTTGTTAAGGGTGCTGGAAACTATAACTCTATGTAGCGTAAACTACAATTCTCAGGATTCTCATGGGGGGCGGGGGCAAAATGTGCTTCAAAGGTATTGTGTGTATGCAGCCACGGTCTCACCTCTATGGGAGAAACCATAAGTAGCAATTCAACAGCTAGTCTTAATGTGGTCAGTTAATGAGCTATTCCATAAGTATTTGTGTCACTATTCTGTGTGGGTTTACTTGACCTATGGTCATGACTTATTGTCCTTAACATATATGAAAATGTATGTGTTACTGAGATCGATGAGCTAATTTTTTTTCAAATATTGTACATTATTTTGTTCTTTTAAAAAATTGCCCCCTGCTTTCTCCCTTCACAAATGAGTTGCTTTTCTATTTAGAGTTCATAGAGTTCATAGAAGAAAGCATAAAAGTAATAGTGATCTAACCATTAAAACAAAAAATGAAATTAAGCCTGTAATCTGAGTTGACTTGCAAGTGACCTACTGTAAATCTTGTCTTGCCGGTAATTGCTTATCTTAATTACAATGAGCAATGATGCAGACTAATTGTTTTGTATACCTGTAGACAAAACTAATTCATGCAAACAAAAAATAATTAGAGATTACTATATTCAGATCAAGAGGAAAGCCTAAAATGTCCATTTTATGAGGTCTGATGTTCACAACATTTAAATTGTGTATTTAGCTTGGCTTTCCTGTTTCTAAAATCAGCCTTCAAGAGTGGCGTATCTAGGGCTGATGTTATAAACTGGTCTGCCACCTCAGATTCCTTGTAAATGTCACCAAAGTGGAGAAGATTAATGGATTGGTTTACATCCTTGGCCTGCACTTTTTTAAAAGCTTTCTTCTCTATCATTTTTCAGCCCTCAGAAATGGGCTGAGAGCACATGACTAATTGTGGGCATGCCTTCTCTGCAGGATCCTGCTGCTGATTGGCCTCTATGACAAGAATGGGACATCATTTCTGGTTGGGTTTTTTTTATCAATCCAGCCCAATACATGGTCAATATGGAACATAGTTCAACTTCGTAAATAGATTCTCTTTGGTACCTGACAACAGGAGCAAAAGTGGCAGAGTCAAGACTATCTTGTTTGGCAGCCCTTTTAAAACCTAGACTTTCCTAATAGAAGTGTTGCAATGTCTGCTTATTTTCCTGCACAATAAAATACATAACTCATGCACATCTTACATCTTTTCTCAGCTTAAGTAGTGCAAAGGTGAGCAAGATATTAACAGTTAAAAGGAGTAGTCATTCTTCTTCCCCCATGCCATAGCCTTGAAGTGTTTCTTTATTTGTTTCCATCTAAATTGTACCTATGACTAAGCAGGGGCAAAAACTGAAAAGTACAGACTCTTGGTTGTGTTTTATACAGTGGGATCATATCCTTATTTACTCATAAATTCAGTGGGAATTACTACCAAATCACTTCTCATAGCATCACAGGCCAGTTCACTCAGCTTGTAGAACTTTGATACGTCAATCCCTTTGACTGAAGACCTGGCAGAATTGCAGTTGCCCTTAGACAGGAAACCACCTTACAGGCTTTGACAATTCTGCCTGCCTGCCTGAGTTCCCTTTTCATTTCTCCTTTCCCCAAACACCTTCTCCCTTCCCCCATTGTCCTTCATCCATTCCTCAAGTTGCAGCAAAAGGCTTGCTCATGCCCAGCAGCTGAAACACGGGCTGTTTTTCATTTAGGACCCTCCTCATAAATTTCAGATGGTGTGGTAGTAACAAGAATTGCTTGGCTGGCCCTTATTTAAGCAGCAGGGGGTCTGGAGCTGCAGGCAGCATTTCCTCAATAAAACCTTCAGATTCTAATCAACAAACACCTCTGTATCTGCCAATGTTACTATTATAGGACTCCCTCAATCTTCCTTTGTCTCTTCCTCCATCCCTCTTCTTGTTCTCCGCAGTGTATACAGATTTTTTCCACATATACACACTTTTGAGCAGCATGGGGATAGGTAACACTGATGATATTAGCTTTTACACCTCATGCATCTGATTCTCCCCCTCCTTAATCTCTGCCAATAGTGTAGTCGTTGATTTAATGAAAGTGACTTCCATGCCCCCAGTCCACGGACAGGAAATTGTTTTTAACCTGAAGGGAAATAATTTATAAAAACAAAGTTCTTACTTTTCATTTCCTCTAATCCATTGTCCCTGTTGCACCTTTACTGGTGGGATAATGAAGGATGCAGTCCAGTCAAAGTTGAGAATTTTAAATTGATTGAATTCCATTGATTGAATGGAAGAGTGAAGCATGGGCTTATATCTCTTCCCTTGGAGTTAAAAATGACTTTAAAATGCTTTACTTTGACAGTACCATGCTCAAAGTAAAGTCTAAATCTAATTTGACACTGCCTTTGAAGTCAGTGGGGTGAGGATTCTAGCCTGAGTCTGGATGCATTTATATTGGTCTGGTTTTATTTTATTTTAAAATTCCTTACTCCGGTATGTGAGCACTGTGTCTATATAGTATCTGGTGTATCCTTGTGTGACAGTTTTCTGTGTCTCCTTTTTTTTACCATAATTTCTCCCCAAAAAGCTTTTCTTTTCCTGTTTTTTTTCTCTGTATTGTATCTGTTTGTATTAAGAAGAGCCCAGGGGCTGAGGAAATCTATTCATTTGTCTTTCTGTTTAAACCAAAATATTTTTTATAACCACAGCCAAGTAAAGAGGTAACAGAACTTGGCAAACAAACTATTTAAGCTGCACTTGATTGGACGTGTTCTTATTTTATGTCCTAAAAATATCCGTAATAGCACATTAGTTCACTGCGATGTTTCATTTGTGGTGGATAGAGTTTATACAATGGGAGCTAAGCAGGACTGTGTTGTTCACATATTAATTTTACTACAAATGAAAGATCCACTGCAAGGGAGTGTGTGGTGGTGGTGAAAAACAGTCATATTGATCACTACCATGAGTGCAATGTGAACAGTGCTTATGTTCTTCCACTGAATGCTTAAGTACAGTTGCAGCTTGGTACATTGACAATCCATAGGCTTCTATGTGCTTAGTTTACATGAATTTGTTGTTCCAAGGGGCAATTACTGCTGCTAACTTCAAGTAACCAATAGTCCACTTGTTTAAATACTCATCATTTTTATCATACACTGCTATTTGCAGTATAATTGTGGCAGTTTTCTTGACCCTCTGGCTATGAGACCTTCTGGATCTTGTACTGAACCATTTATTGATTTGCCGACATCAGAGAAGATACATGTGCATTGTGCTGCATTCATGTTTATGACTTCCTCTTGTAAACGGTCCTTGCAAAAGAGGCGATAAGATCTGAACCACCTAGTTTCTTCACCTCAAGCTGCCTTCATGGCAAGATGGAATGCCGCCTTCACTTATTAGGGTTAAGAGGCACAACTATCCATGTTTGCCTTTAAATTTGTGATTCCATCCTCTGAGGACTAAATGCTGACTCTGGGTGTTGATGTGTGTCAAAAAAACTACCGGTATTCTCTTGACTCTTGACTAACCTACTATTTTATCTCTTATCTCCCTGTCATCCAGGGCACCTCACAAAGCTGAATTTCCACCCTTAAGTCCTCTGGGGCAGCTTATGGGAACTTCACTTGGCATCTTTTGCTCCAGACTCCTCTGCATGGGATGGCCATGATATCAGAGGGGGAAAGACCAATGACTGCTATCATCTGTTTGCTCTTGGCATCTGCTGGTTGCATTGCAAATTTGGGTGAGTGTCCGTCCCCCCCATTTCCCCCTAATAAATGTTTAGGGAAGCTTTTAATGTTTGATGTATTACAGTATTTTAATATTTTTTTGGAAGCCGCCCAGAGTGGCTGGGGAAGCCCAGCCAGATGGGCGGGGTATAAATAATAATAATAATAATAATAAGTATTATTATTATTATTATTATTATTATTAAGCTGCTTCATTTTCAAGGACTCAACTTTATTTCCATTTTGCTTATGGGATTGGTCCTACTTCTCAACTTTCAAATGCTGCCCTCCCTTTAATCTTTTTCTGTAGCCTTATTTTCAGCCACTTAGGACTGCTTTCAAATCAAGTCAACATTTGAGAATCATTGCTCAGTCATGAAATTTGCTGCTCACCTGGAGTGAGTAGCAATTGCCTATGGGTGAGCAGCCAAATGGCAAACTCACCTAATTCCAGAAGTTGTATACCTTTAACCATGAAGTGATGGGGACAAAATAACAGAGGAGGCCTTTCTTGCTTTATGAGATTTCCAGGACTACGGTATATGCCTGTTAAAAACAGAATGTTGTCCTTTGATCTGTTTCAGCAAGACAGTTTTTACATTCCACTTTGTACTGCTTTTTTACTTAGTCACCGTAGGACAGTACTTTGCTTCTCTCACTATGGAAGCAGAGTATTACAGATGTGCTCTGTGTGTACTGTCTCTCTTGAAGTAGAGGGCAGGACAGAGAGAGAGAAGGCAGCTAGAATACTGTGCGGTGGAACATGCCTTTACTTACATATAAAGCCGCACTAACAGCATGGTGCCCTTGTTGAGACTGAAGATCTATATCCCTAAGGTGAAGTCTCAACAGTTGAATGTGATGTATTCTTATGATCTTAGTAATAAGTAACCAACCACTAAATGCCAATAGCCTTCAACCTGTGGTATCACCTTGTTCCATTTTTATTGAATTCTGCTCAGAATGGTTAATGCATGACAAGCCTAAACAATGTGAATGTGATTATAATGTAGATAGCTGGTACCTCCAGTTTAGTAGATCTACCTCCGTTTTGTAAACCAGTGTTCATGAGGATTTCTCAACTGTCCTCCTTTTTCAGGTCAATCTCGTCAGGTCACCGTGCAGCCTGCTTCTGTGGTCCAGAAGTATGGTGGCTTGGTCAGCTTGAGGTGTGTGGTCGAGCCCTTGACTGTAAATGTGTCCTGGAGACTAAACGGAAAGGAGCTGCTTCACTCAGATGACATCCTGGGGATCCATATTGATCAGAGGTTGCTTACCGTGGCTTCCTTAAACAACGACACAGTGGGCCGGTACCAGTGCATAGCCCGTGTGCCTGAAGGTGTTGTTGCCAGTGTTCCAGCCATGGTAACATTAGCTAGTGAGTAGCTTTGCTTCTTTTCCTCAATGTACAACACATTGTCTTTAGTTGCCTGATTCAGTGTTAATCAGATGATCTAAGCATCCTTCATTCTCAGACATAGGATATATTTTGGATGTGAATGCTGGCCTCATGCTGGGTTAGCACTGTTACACATATGCTTCGCAACAAGCCTCAAGAGCACCTTGTCTGACCTCAAATAGGCACTCCCACAAATAGGACTAAGTATTATACTCAGATTGGGATGCTGGCATTGTTTAAGAGTCAAGAGTTCTAACATGGCAAGCCCACAAGGTAAATGCTATTATGTGTATGAGTCATAGGACAGAACTGCCTAGTAACCTGTCTTGACTAGTATCAGGAGGGTTCCCTCTTCAGGGCACCACAGGGCGTGGAGGGAAATAGAGAAAGGAGATAATGCCTCTAAAAGATTGAAGGAGATACATTTGTGCAAAACAGGGGCTGGTTTTGTTTCAAAGCCAAGAATTATTGGCTTGTCATCAAGATATTAATCAGAAGTGAAATGTTTAGGTTGGGCCGGGTTAGAAAAGGAGAATGGAACAGCAGCTCCAAGGCTCCATGGGAGGGGTCTGCCATTGGGTTGAAGCCTTTTGGGGATTTGGAGTGAGCTCTGCAGTTAGATTAAGTTTCGGAGAGTGCATTCCAGAGCAGAATGGGGGCTGTGTTTTGCTTGTGGGCTCATAGAGGAGGGGAGTGAAAAGGTGGATGAGATTACTCAGAGCATGGTTTGCATTTAACAGGGACTGGGAAAGTGCTGCTTGCTCAGCCTCTTAGCACAGTTGTTTTGCTTATGGGCCTTTCTAGTGTTCCCTCAAATGTTTTTTATTTGGACAAAGCAGTCATTGTTCAGCCTACCTGGCTGATGGCTATCCATTCCAGCCTCAGTGAATGAGGGGAGTCAGGCTTCCACAGCAGAGCTTCTAGTAAATCTCCTTGAATGTCCATAAAATCTGGTCCACAGATCCAGCTTGCTTTTGTAAACTGTTGCTGTTGAAATAAAACAGTTTTAATTAAAACTAAGAAGACAGCGACGTTAGCTAGTGATGTTACATCACAAAAAGGCCATTTACAATATTCACTTTCAGAAGTAGCTATAGTTGGGAATAATATTTGATTATTAAATAATCTTGTATGCAAAAACTAAATGAGGCTGGTATATTTCAGCACAATGTATGCTGTTTGCTAATAATAAATGTAGACTGTGAAAATAATATGGAAAAAGACCCAGAACGCATATTTTCCTAGATTCCATGTGAAATAGTTAAATTAGGAATGTGTGCTATTAGAGAAAAATGGAGAAAAGTAACAACCAAGAACGTGATGTCAGATGTCCAGATTCAAAGTTTCCAGTGTACACAGATGAGGAAGTAACACCTGTTTTTCTAGAGCTTATGTGAATTGGAAACACATAAAATTTTCCACCAAGTCACTTTGAATTTGAGCCCATTGATACAGGCTAAACTTCCATACATATTTACTGGAAAACTCCAAGACTTGCCAATCCAGCTTGCATGCCACATTTATGGGAAACAAACCACAAACCTGGGTTCAGACATCACCACAAGCCATATTCTAGTTGTTTCCCAGTATTGGGCAGCAATACTACCAGGAGAGGAGTGGAGTGAGAATTTTTCAGCAGTGTGCACCATCATAACATGGGCACCGAAGGAACCCCTACTAAAATTAGGCTAGAGGCTTTGATAACTGTCTGAAATAACACTAAGGACAGAGTCACATTAACTTGTTGGTGGACTTGTAGGGCCAACTGGATTTCCCCCTTCTCTTCAGCCTGCTTAAATTTGCACATTGTTAGATCATGTGCCATTTCAAACCAGGTTGACAGGAAAGAGTTGATTCACTGTGTAACCATATTGCCAGTATGCTTATGTTGAGTTGTTAGTGAAGATTCTGTATGTTACAGGTTTTGAATTACTGCCTTTAAAACAATAGTTTAATGTTATCCTGAGTGTTTGTTCATTTGTTGTTTTGCATAATACAAAATTTGCTTAAATAAAAGATAATCGCAATATTTTCTCTTTTGTGTATGAAAGGAAGAGGCACAACTGGTAATTTTATTCCCTACATATATGAAGTGAACACTGACAGACTGAATACGATAAGCTACATAATATGCAAGAAGATCTATTATGTCTTATCATTTGTAAACACAGAGATATTCAAAAGATCTCTGTTCAAAAGATGCCCATCCAATTTCTGTTGTATGCTAGTTGCTGAACATTTGCTCCACGTGCTGTTGAGAGAAGGCCATGAACACAAATAGGCAAAATGCCTCTTAGATATTGAGAGAGCTGGACAGGTAGGCAGCAGAAAGGTGGGCTTATGTGATGCAAGGTTTAGTGGCAAAGTACATGCTTTGCATGCAAAAGGTTGCATATTCAGTCTCTGGTATCTTTAATTAGGGCTTGGAAAGAATCCAGTCAGAATCCTGGAGAGCCACTGTCACTGTAGACAATTCTGAGATAGATGGACCAACAATCTGACTTGGTATAAGACAACTTCTTGTGTTCGTTCTTTCGGGGAAGGATGCTCGAGTCATTGAGACTAAAGGTGTAAAGGGAAAGAGCACTGGCCTCTGGCCTCAGCCCTCCAAGGGAAAGTGACACCTTGGAAAGGACAAGACTAGCCTAGCCCCAGCCATCAACCAGAGAATGAGTAGCTGCAAGAACCTGCTCTCCTGCACCAGGAGAAGGAAGCCTGCCATGTCCCTTGGGATTACACAAGTGAGGGAAAAGTCACCCTTATCTCTGCCACTGGCCAGAGCAACAAGGGCTTGGTTTTGTTGCAAGCTGCCTTGGAAACTGTTAGTTTGAAAGGTGAAGTATACGTCTGGATGCAGAAGATAGGCAAGGAGGGCAGTACCTTACAGGAACCCTGAGGATGCCCTAGAACAGTATGTGGTGGAGAAGTTTCAAAAAAATTGAGGAGTCTGTTGGGGTTTAGCTGAGAAAGAAGTTGCAATTCAAGCCCAATGGAGGTATTCAGAGTAGGCATCTGGGCCCATTGTGGAAAGAGAAGCAGAGGGACACATAAAAAGAGAAAAGGGATGTGGGCAGACATCCCTGGTTGTCAAACAAAGATGGATCCAAGAGAATCCTTATTCAGGATTCCTCCCCTCCTTTTAAAAAAAAAAAAAACCTCCTTTGGTTCTTGGAAGGTATGTTAGAAACTATATCTCCGTCTCTTTGGTGACAGTTAAGGTTTCTTACGAGGTTTACACATCGCCCTTCCTGTTTCCCAAAGGCACCATGTCTGAATGGGATTATCCCTGCCAATATTTTTGACATGTTGGCAGCTGAACTTTAGCCTTGGGATATGCCTGCCTTTAGTGCAGAGATGCTGATTGACACCCTTGAGCTGGTCCCTGCTCAGGCTACTTTGGAGAACTAGTTGAGACTAGCAGTTAATTCCTTTAGCAGATTTTTTTAAACGTAGAGATAAATTGACTATTGTTATATAGTCCTTGACAGAGGGAAGGAAATGTGGAAATGGTAGACTTGTTAAAGCAACAATAGAGTTGCAGTTGCTCGTATTAGCCAGTGAATGTGCGCAGCCGCTCCCAAGCAAAGATAAATACAGGAAAATAATCTTCACACATGGCAGTGTACATCTTTTATTTGTTGCAGTTATATTATTCACGAAGGGAAAATGTTGCACGTGAACTGGCATTCTCCGATAAATGCTACCTGTTTCTGACTCTGATGGTTGCATAGGAAATCCTGTGCACAAGGATAGGGATGCTTGAGAAATTCATTCGCTTCATATTCCATAGTGAACTGACCTAATCTGTACCCTCCTGACTAATGCAACACTCTACATTTGTTGTATTCAGTGTTGCTTGAATCCTAGTTGTTTTCTGCCTTTGAGCAAAAATTGGAATAAAAGACCCCCAAACTAAACACACAAATGGAATGCTAGAAGGGTTCGTTGTAGCCAAAGTACAGAAGGATTCTCTCCAACAGTATTTTCAGTGCAATGTCCCTCCTTCCGAAATGGATCTTTTGCTACCTCCAGGTAGCTAGATTGGGAAGAACCCTGTTTAAAACTGGCCAGATTCACGTAACAAACCCTGTCAGCAGAAGCCCTGTGCAAGGACTTCCACTTGCACAGTGCGGGGGTCCAGCAAACTGCAATGTTTGTGTGAATGGAACGTTCAACACAGCACAATGTTGAATTTCAGCATATAATTCTTATCAGCAGACACCTCTCAAAACTGAAATTGTGGCAAGATGAGGCAAGAAAAAATATGATAAAAAATGTGGAATTCAGTAAATATGTAACTAGCATATTTGCTAATATAATGAAAGAGGACCAGTTTCAGCATAAACAAGAACAGCTGGCTGTTCTAATTAACACCAGGTGAACTTAGCATTGTATATGAAGAATTCAAAGAAGAAGAAGAGGCAGTCTGCTTTGTAAACAAAATTCTCTTGCGTATTAACTAAAAAATCTACAGTTTTGTGAAGCATCCTTCGTTTTCATTTGTATGCTCCATTCTGAATATTAAGCTATCAAAGCAGTCTTCAGCTGGAGCTGGACACCTGGGTGTTAGCTTTTTGCAAAGTGGCAGTGGGCAGTGACCCTTGCACAGAGGCATCTTTGGGGACCTGGGGGCATTTGCAGCTGTCTTTTCAACAACAAAAAACCTCATTTTTCATTTTGCTTCTGTCAGGGCCTCTAATCTGATAAGTCCCTTGATACAGCTGTTGGCTCCATGTTGAAAAGCCATTTTCACCCTCTAAGAACTTCCAGGGTAGAATTACAGCGAGGGAGAGAAGGAAATGAAAACATAGGACTGTTCCTGGATTTATATAATGGTGATAGTAGACGTGTGAGGAGATAAATGGAATATGTGATACACAAGTTTGGAAGGCTGGATAGGATATGTATATATGCAAGGTAGGGAAGGATGTCTGAAAGATGTGTGGCGGCTATGCACATCTTTGCATATGGGGATGTTGGTTTACAGTAGAGAGCGGGGGAGAGGCTGCATATATACAAGTACACGTAAAGTACATTTGTGACAGTGGCACAGGAACACAGCAGCTGAGAACAGAAGAAGGATATATTTTAGGTATGTAAGAAAGGTGGAGATAATGGAACTGTGAACTTACACAGGGTGGAATTCAACATCTTGCTAAGGTGATCATCCCATCAGTGCAAGCATTTCTGTTTGCCAAATGGGAAGATCTCCCCTCTCCTCCCTGACATGCTGTTCTGGGAGTCTTCTTACAGATTTGAGGAGGGCTCAGAGAAGGGGTGGAAGTCTTGTTGCAGTAGAGCAGGACTGTCCAACTTCCAAGAGACTGCGATCTACAACCACTATAAAAAAAACTTAGGGAAACCAAGGTTGTTCAGCTTTTTTTAGGGAAGCCAAAGTTGTTCAGCTTTTTTTCTTTTTGGGGGCGGAGGAGGATCCCACGATTGACCAGGGGCATCTCGCAATCGACCAGTAGATCACCATCAACCTGTTGGACAGCCCTGCACTAGAGGGTCTCTGTGATCACTTCCATTGCATAATGACTTAGCAGAATCTGGCCCATGATGTTTTGTGGGCGTATCAAGAGTCCCAGTCTCCTAGTTCAAGGCACCAGTCTCTGTGCTGGTTGCTGCTGGGCTATATGGACTTGTAGGACCAGCATGATTGCACAACCGCTGTCACACCAAAACAGCAACAGTCAGTTTAAACATCTGCAGTAGGACGTGGCTCTTCTCTCAGATATTCTTTGTTCTACAGTATTATAACCATTTCAACTCAAAGAGGTTTGCTTACGTTGTATATGAAGTGAGTTAGCAATGCAGCCAGAGTTTAATGGAAGCCAGGCAAAGTGCTCCACCATTCTGTATTCCTGTATCTTAAATGTGGATTACCAGTGAAACATATCATTTTCTGCTTTGCATTAAAAGAGGCTTTTAGTCATTTTCTTTTCCTGAACTTGCATCTTTCCACAGTAATCCTTTGCTGAATTTGATGTAATAATATATTTGGAGATTTGGTGATTTTATTTATTTTTAATTTATTTCCCCCCAGGAGCACTTCTTTCTGTCTAGTACATTTTCTTCTGCCTAATGTTATCCATCGTAGGATTTGAGTCCTTCAGAAACTGGGGACAAACTTACGGGGGATTTGCAAAAATCACCAAATTTGGGCAAGATGGATGGCAACTAACTAAGTAAAGAACAGTGCCAGTTTAAAGCAATATGTTATCTGGGACCGAAGGCAAACTTGACAGCAGATGTTCTTAATTTTACATTTCAGTTCAGTTTAAGAGCTCCTTGGCTTCTTATATATAGAACACAGATTTCAAGTTCCAAGCAACATCAGTGTAGTGGCTGGCAGTTTTTCTTTACGATTGCTCTGTTTTACTCCAAAGCTCGTAATAACACACTAGGCCTTTTTGTTGTATATCTGTTTTCTTCACTTTGGCTTCTCCCCCTCCTCCTCCTCCTCCTCCTCCTCCTCCTCTTCTTCTTCTTCTTCTTCTTCTTCTTTGCAAAACCAAACAAAAATCCTGAAGCTGAGTTGTAAAGTCTCTTGCCAATATGCAGTAGTAATTACAGGCAGTTTTATCTTCTAGCTAAAGTGTGGGAAACTGGGTATGGCAGGTGGGCAAGATATTGATCTACCCCCCCCCAACCCCCACAAACTATTTTGATAGGTAGGCCACCTATCCAGCACCTAACATCCCCTAGATGCAAGGTAAAATGTTTTTCTTCAGCCTATATAGTTTGGAATTGTATTGGGCAAAGGCTCAGGATTTTTTGGGGTTTTCTATCTTAAAATTACAGGTGCAGTGAAGGCTAGACTCCGTCATACAACTCTTCCAAAAAAAAAGTGGAGCTGTTGCTATAATTTACTGTGACCCTGTTTGCACGGCACATTAGATCATAGTTTGTTTTTTATGTATAGTTCAATATGAATCCAGAGTGGGCTAGTGCATACTGCTGGAACGTTCTTCCTCTGCTCCCCTGCTACTGTGCTGTATGTAAATAAGCCAGAGTCTGGCTTGTTGTGACGTCCAAACCCATGCTTGTGTTTTGTTTTTCTCCAAACAAACTATGAATAGTAACCAAGCTTTGTTCTTGACTTACTGCTTGTAGTCTGTTTAGGAGATATAAACCATGATACTGGGTTTGGCCACTTCGACAAGCCAGACAGTGGCTTGTTTTCCCTCTTGTGCTGCAATGTGCAGAGCAGAGTCCACTTAAAGCATTCATGTTGCTGTGTGTACACATTAAGCCATAATTTTCTCTCAACTTTGGTTTTAAGTGTGAACCAGGCCTATACAATTACAACTTGCTTTCTCAAGAGACAGTTGAAGGCCAAGAGGACAGAGCGTTAGACATAGACCTGTGCTTGTTTCGTACATTACAAACTCTGCATGATGTAGCTGGCAAATCTTGAATGTGTGAATATCCCTGTTACGCCATATTACTGTTTAAAGATGCAGGCATACTCTACCAAGTTGCACTAGTACAGTAGTAGCTCAGGTTAAGAACTTAATTCGTTCCGGATGTCCGTTCTTAACCTGAAACTGTTCTTTATCTGAGGTACCACTTTAGCTAATGGGGCCTCTCGCTGCCGCCGTGCCACCAGCACGCAATTTCTGTTCTCATCCTGAAGCAAAGTTCTTAACCCGAGGTACTATTTCTGGGTTAGCGGAGTCTGTAACCTGAAGTGTCTGTAACCCGAGGTACCACTGTATTATAAAAGTGACAGAATATTGATGAGGAAATCTGATCTTCCTATAGATCAGAGATTAATTTTCTCTGTTTTCCTGTTGGGGAATTTGAGGGCATGGTGAAAATAAAGTGACATAAGTAAAAAAGGTAGCAAAGATGTAAATGCATTTCAGAAGATAAGTCATGGTTCTTTTTTATTATGAAAAAGCCATTCTTACCCTTGTGAAACTGAGCTTGGGTTGCTTCTTCCTTCTACAAGCAAACCTTGTAAAAGCAGAAAATGTTTTATATTCCATCTGCAAAGAAAGTTGTTCCCCAGTGGCTTGGCTTGCAGAAGTGTTGGGCTGTTCTTTCTCTGCTCATTGGCTGAGACGACTTTGGCTGTTTTTTGTTTAAAGCTCTGGATCTGCTTTTGTGCACACATATCCTTTGCCAGTAATTTTGGAGCCTTTGCCTTGGCTCTGGGATTCAAAAATGGCTGTGATGAATTTGGACCACCAGGATGCACATTAATTTTTCCTGATTCTATTTGTATTTTGTTGATCAGATAAATGTGTGATGTCAGCAGCCAAGCTTTCAAATCTCTTTTCTCCCACCACTGTTTTCTGTGTCTCCTAACATTTTGTCCCATGAGAAAGAGAAATGGGAAAATAAAGTCGGCACCACTCTCTCCTTAATTTTTGTCCCATCGATATCTTGGGAGTGAAGAATTAACCTCCCATCTGTCTGCAATACCCTGTGGAAACATGGCTCTCCCTCCCCAGCCTGCCTTCAAAGAATTAATCACTTTTCTGAAGTTCACTCCTTTACACCTTCTTTTTACTTTTATTATTATTATTTTAGTTGCATGATGCCAAGACATTCCTGAAGCATTAAACATGTTTGCTGCAAATCATTTTTATGTCTTTGTTAAGTCTCTCCCCTCCCTCCCTTCTTGAATCCAGGCACTAGCACGGAAATATTCTCCTGACAGCTAATACGTTTTTCATTTGGGGAGGCTTTTTGCCGTGCTGCCAAGGGAGCTGTTTTTTATTTAAAAATGTTTTTGAAGCAATCTTGCTTTAATTAGCCTGTTTGAGAAATTTCATGTCACTTTTCCATAAGCGTGGGTGGGAGAACCTTGGAGCCAGAGCTGTCTTTTGCTGTTGGAGAGCTGGTATAAATCCCAGAGAAAGAAAACATATTTTTCCACTCTTCCAGTCTGCCAATAGAGACTTGGCCATAGTTTTCAGTTCACAGGCTGTTCTAGTTTTTGCTGTCCCGGCTGCCTGAATACTTGCATTGATCCAGTCCAACTGTAGACAGCACACCCTCTCACTAGCACGGGTCATATGAAAAGAAGTCAGGAATCCTAGGCTACCAAATCACAAACTTTGCAGGCAAAAATCCCAGACTCCAGTCTATGAAAATGAAGGGCTTATTTGTAGTTTTCAGGTGAAGGTTAAAATTAAGAACTGGTGCAGTAAGGGGTATTGGTGTAGCTTTTCTTATCGTAGCGCTTCAGTGAAGGAATACTTGATATCTATATCTTGTGATATTTTCCCTTCAGTTTAACTAATTTCTTGATGTTAAGGAGTCCTTTTAGCCTTTGGACCTAGCAAATGTGTTTTTAGAGCAGGGAATGATGCAGCACAGAGCTGTTTCTTTCTGTTTACTACATTGTTTCTCAAAATTCTTGAATTCGTATCGCCTTCCAAACTTACAGCCTCTAGATCAGAACCAGTCCTTTATTCCTCAGATGAATGTGCAGAGAGGTCCTTGCTCACAGTTGTGTGCATACACCCTGCTGCTGCACTAGGGTAGTACCATATATACTTGAGTATAAGCTGACTTTTTCAGCACATTTTTTTATGCTGAAAAAGCCCCCCTCAGCTTATACTTGAGTGAGGCGGGTGGCAGCGGCAGTGGCGGAGAGACAAGTGGCCCAAAAGGAGCCCTTTCTCGCCACTGGTCCCACTGCCGCCGCCCACCTCTAGCAAGGGCGGGCATAGGAGCCGTGGTTGGGAGAGGCATTGCACTGTGCTGTGCCTCTCCCAATCATGGCTCCTATGCCTGCTCTTGTGAGCAGCAGAGGCAGCGGCGGAGGGACGAGTGGCCCGAAAGGAGCCCTTTCAGGCTGCTCCTTCCTCCTCTTCCTTTGCTGCTGTCAGCGGAGGAGGAACGAGCAGCCTGAAAGCAGCCCTTTTGGGCTGCTTGTTCTTCCTCCGCCGCTGCCGCCACCACCAGGTTTGTGGTGTGGTGAACCGGCTTATACTCGAGTCAATAAGTTTTCCCAATTTTTTGTGCTAAAATTAGGTGCCTCAGCTTATATTCGGGTCGGCTTATACTCGAGTATATATGGTAATTCCACACAAGCTTTAAGGAAGGAATAGAACAGGAGATGTCTGACACCCTACTGAAGCCACAGATGGATAGTCATAAGCATCTCCTTCTGAGCTCTTATTTTCCCATATCATAGTGGGATGATGGGGTAGAAAGGATGCTGTCAATCTCACAAACCCAATGTGGATCAGTGAGGTTCCACTGCTAAGAGAGGGCATTTGTTTTAACTCAGGGCTTGGCAGTTGGAGGAAGATAGCACTACAAGAAACCATGAGGACTAGGTGTGAGTTCTTTAATTAAAGCCAGATTAACAGGATCCCACATAGCTACTGGGTTGAAGCATATGTTTGCCACAACAATCATGCTACACTAAAGGCATTCCAAGAAGGTGTGCTGTGGGCAAAGGCTTCAGTAGTTCATATTGATATTTCCAAACATAATAGTTATTTTGTGCATGTGTTATCATTAGGAAATGTAATATGTATCAAACAAAGGCCCTTTGGATTTCATATGGGCTTAGAAAATTATTCCTATTTCTGGAATAACCTGGACTTCGAAATAGTGATCAAGACATTTGATCAAGAAGTTCACTGGCAGTGGTCTATGTCTGTGACTCACTTGATAATTGTAATCCCATACCCAGAACTGGAGTCCCCTTTAACTGTTTTCTGCTTTGGAGTCCTCAGTACCTGCTAACAAACTAGCGAGCCACTCTCAAACACCCATGACATATTGGTAGATCCTGCCTCACTATTGGAAATCACAGTTCTAATACCACTCATTATATGTAGGTCACTCAGGCCCTCATTGCATTGCCCCACGGAACTTTGCATTGTAAGTCCTTGGTAAAGATGGCATTGTATCTCTGAGATACTATTATGTTTTGCTAGATAAGGAAAGGGGTTTACTAGAGCAAGAACCAGTGAAATAGAAAGTTGTTATTATATGACAACTTCATTAGAGGTTTCAGTTTTGGGCACCTGATTCTTGAAATCCTGTGCAGATGGTTAAGAAGTGTTCAGACACAGTAATAGAGAAAACAGCAGGGAAGAGAGGAAGAAGGAAGGCTGAGGTTGTTGGGGTTTTTTTGGCTGGTTGTGGTGAGAACTTGTGCAAACATTCCCTCCTAATGGATTTCTCAAATGTACTGGCAGGCAGGCAAGCAAAGGCAGGTGTCACGTCAAATACCTTCTCCGATGAAACTTGATCCATCCCTCTTGATCTGGTATACTCATTCTCACTTTTAAAGGACCTCTTTGTTGGTTGTTTTGCTCCTAAGAGCCCAGAGAATAGTGCAGCCAACTAGTTTAGCAGACAAAGTAGACCTCAATAAGAAACCTTTCTCTCTCTCTCTCTCTTGCTCTCTAATGTTAATTTTGCAAGTATATCTGAAAACCCATTATATTTCTCTTTTTCTCAAGGTTCATAACAGTAGAACATTAGGACAAGTATTCTCAACAATTACAATTTGATTACAAACATACAAAGCTGAATAACTGTTCCCTGTTGGTATGGGTTTCTGTTTTGAACAACAATGAAGTTTTAAGCTTGTTTATTATGGTTATGGTAATACACTTTGAAACTGACTCCTCCTTCATAAACGTCTCAGTTTGTTTTGAGAACTAATTATCTGTTGCGGGGGGTTTGCGGGAGTGGGCTAAGTTTTTATGGAATATCCTAGATTGTTTCCCACACTAGCAGTTTAGGGCAGAATCAAACCGCCTGATTTGCCTTGTTGCGGGGTAGGTTGTAAGGAATGGAGGTCTCTCACTGCCCAGGCCAGAACAGTTGTGTCAGCCTCCACCTATGGAGTGACACTAGCATCACTCTGCCAGCACATAGCTCCCCATTGCAAATTGATTGTTTGTGTATGTGTGTTTGGGTGCTAAAAGCGCTTCACCAGATAATAAATGCTTTACCTTGCAAAGCAATGTGATAGGTATTTGGAAATCATATGGTCATAATGGATAATTTCAAGAATTCTGCTGACCTTATTAAAAAAGAGATCAGCTCTAGTCTACACTCCTATTTGATGTGGCAGAGAAATTAGATAGTTATAAGAATAAAGAAAACAGAAGATGACAAGTGAAAAATCAGTTGGGCTGTTCAATCTGTTTCAATTAAAAGTCAATCAATCAATCAATCAATCAATCCAGAGGCATTATGATTTGCTTAGTGGCATACTGCCTTTGCCCAGCAACTGCATACGTACATCCATTGTACACCATGAAAACAGGACCATGCCTACAGGAAACTCCCCAAATGACTCCTGGAGACACAAAGGCTGCACTCTCAAGCACACTTGCATGTAAATCCTATTGATATCAGTGAACTAGGTGTCACATTGGCAAAAGCGTCGTCCTACCCACATATTGTCAAGGTGATGGGAATATTGGAGCTATTTGCAAAGGGGAGATTGGAAGACAGATGGCAGGGTGGCGTAACTCCTCCTGTGCATCCAATTTCTATCCTGAAAACATCCCACCCAGGCCATGTTTCTCCTGCCTAGGCTTGTTGTGGAGCCCAGCTGAAGAAAAATATTTATAACTTGACATTTTGTAGGGGAAATTGCTGGACTGAATGTGGAAGGTGGGAGTGGAGAGAGCGAAGATTAAGTTCCCTCCTCTTGTCTTCCTGCACTTCTTACAAGTGAGCAGTCCACAATAGTACAGTATTGCAAAGGAAATGGAGAGCTTAGAACCCCATATTACCTTCCAGCATGCAGGTTGTTCTTTATTTCTAGGTTTAGGATTAGGAGGTTAGGAAAGAACGAGCACTTGGGGCATAAGAAATGGTCATATTTGAGACACCTGCATATGCTATGGTTCTTGGAGTTTTTCAACAGTACATGAGATTGTGATATAATCTAATGGAAAGGATATAAGCTTCCTCAGTTTGTAATAAATGCAAATCCTTGAGACCCCCCCTCCCTTGTGATTCTTTTTAATCTACTTACATTGTCCACCACTTTTACTTTTCTCCCATGTGTAAAGCCCAGCAGTTCAGCTTTTAACAGATCCTGTTGTTATCCTCTTAAACAGATCTCAAAGACTTCAAATACGATGGCCAGCATGTGATAGAAGTTGATGAGGGAAATACAGCCGTAATTGCCTGTGATCTTCCTGAAAGCCACCCAAAGGCTCAGGTTCGCTACAGTGTGAAACATGAGTGGCTGGAGGTCTCCAGAGGTGAGTTGTGACTGACTTACGAAGGAAGAGAAACTGGAATTGGTGTCTGCTTTATATCTCACTTACCTTCTAGTCAATTTTTACCCCTCCTTACACCTTCTGACTGTGCCTTTTGGGCTGATCTGTACAATCATTTTTCTGAGTTCTCTTAAGGGCTATGGCTTTCTGTATAGTAGACATAGTCTTTCATGACTCCACATTTCGGTCCTCACCCAGGAGCAATTTCTTGACTGTCCTGTAACTTTCTTGAAGCACTAAAAATATACCTGTGAAAGAAATATTTGAAAGCTGGGAAGTGCTGGGAGGATGAGTGAATCCCTTATTTTAATAATAAAACCAAATGGTGTCCTAATTATCATACCAGGTTTGCCATGAGAATTAAAGCTGATTTTTTTTTTTTTACTCAATCTTTTTATTCCATTCTTCCAACCACTCACCATTTTCTTTCTCTCAATCTTAGCTGGAAATTTCTTCTTTTCTTCTGCTCCTCTTATTATTACTCAATAATGTTCCTTTTGTGTTTACAGTATACTAGAAATTGTATAATACGAATGTTCCCTGCCTTAGGAATCTCTTGCTCCTTTATCTTAACAGATAACTATCTGATCATGCCGTCTGGGAATCTTCAGATAGTCAATGCAAGCCAAGACGACGAGGGAACTTACAAATGTGCGGCCTACAACCCTATCACCCAGGAAGTAAAAACATCTGTGTCTAGCGAGAAACTCCGTGTGAGACGTAAGTCGCTTCTTCCAAATATTTGGGTTCACTGGCTTCAGGTTGTCTTAAGGTGGTGGTCCCATTTTGCTGGTGCCACCAAATGCAGTCCTTTTAAGCTGCATGTTTTACACAAGCCCTTCATATTTGAGAGCTTGCTTTCTATACAGGAGTGTTAAATTCAAAGTATCCTCTTGCAGTGCAGGTAGCAGAAACTTATCTCACAAGCATAAGGCTTCATTGTACATTTTCTGTTGCTTTTGGTATTATATATGGAGTGATGAAGTTGTTGATGGCAGAGTTGGTGAAATTCCAGTTGGTGAAACTTCCTGTTTAGTGGCTTTTTCGCCCCAATAGGCTTTTCTGCTCACATAGTGCATCTTGTCCTGTTCTACAAGACTGACTTACTTTTGTTTCACTGATTTCTCTCTTGGCACTAGGTTCCACAGCTGAGGCAGCTCGCATAATTTATCCCCCAGAGGCTCAGACCATCATTGTCACTAAGGGTCAAACTCTAATCCTTGAATGCGTGGCTAGTGGGATTCCACCTCCACGTGTCACGTGGGCTAAGGATGGCTCCAATGTCTCTGGCTACAACAAGACTCGATTCCTTCTCAGCAATCTCCTAATTGATGCAATCAGTGAGGAAGATTCAGGGACCTACAGCTGTATGGCTGACAATGGCATGGGTGAGGCTGCAGCAGCATTCATTCTCTACAATGTTCAAGTGTTTGGTGAGTACAACTTCATTTTCCTCCCTCTTCTCTCCTGTTAGACCCAGCAGCTATAACCATGGTCTGGAGACTGCTCACATAGTCATATATTTCAGAACTGTTTTTGAGGTGAAATTTAATGCTCACAAGCAAAGTTCCTCCAGCTTAGATTTCACTCAGGGGCCTAACTCCTAATAACTGCCTAAGTAAGCTTTGAGGGCAGAGCCAAAGCTTTGACTTTCCAAAAAAGAGCCAGAGGATTAAAACCGAGTTATTTATTGAGGCACAGTAATTCTAGGCGCACACGCATAAATATAATCAAAAGACAGAAAATTGTATTCAGTAACTAAAAATGTTCTAAGCTAGATGGAATGTGCTGTGAAAAGCAGTCATGTGCTTTTAGCTGAACTGTAATTTAAAGATCCTTGGGTGAATTTGGTCCTTTGAGTCTCTCACAAAGAAATTAAAGAGATATCAACATATAGTACGCCAAGCTTAATGATCAGGCAAAAAGATAGAGGCATTTCCTTTTTAAAGGAAATAAATGTCTGGGCTATAAGCTAATGCAGGCTAGGAAATCCCTGGCCAATCAAGAAGGCTGCTTCATCTACCTGCATAATAAGCCCAATTTGATAGGATTACCTGGTGTGCATACATATAAAAGAAATACACAAAACAGGCAATTGTTCTTGAAGGTGTTGATTTACAGAATTCAACACATGAAGGTTTTACCTAGGTCCTTTGCTCAAGAACCTGTATCAGGGAGCTCTTGGAAGAGGTTTAATTAATGGAGAGGTCCATTAGTTTTCTGGTCTAGAGCCTGTGGTCGTAAAAGAGCATAGTGACTGCCCATCTGTCATGGATGCTTTAGCTGAGATTCCTGCATTGCAGGAGGTTGGACTAGATGACCCTTGGGTCCCTTCCAACTTGTAAGATTCTGTTATTCTATGATCTCCGAAAGATTACTTTTGAAATACGTGAAGGATCTACTTAAAGGACACTAAATGGCTGTGCACAAGAATAAATGGGCTTGGGTATTGCTGTCTTCATAACCCCGTTTATAACACAGCAACGTAGGAGGATAGCTACAAATATTTCAGTTCTGCCTGTTTCAGAGGTGAATGGTCGTTCTCACACCTGAATTGTAACTCTGTTTCCTTTTCAGAACCCCCGGAGGTTGTCATGGAACTATCTCAGCAGATCATCTCATGGGGTCAAAGTGCAAAGTTCACCTGCAAGGTTCGGGGTAACCCCCAGCCATCAGTTGTGTGGCTGCGTAATGCAGTTCCTCTCTTCTCCAGCCACCGAATGCAACTCTCTCGCAAGGCCCTACGTGTCTCCAGTGTGGGGCCTGAGGATGAAGGGATATATCAGTGCATGGCAGAGAATGAAGTTGGGAGTGCACAGGCTATGGTTCAGCTGAGGACTACTGGGCCTGGTAAGTCCAAAGTGAAGTTCAAAAGGTTGATATAGGGATAATGAAATAAGAATTGTAAAGCACTTTGAACAGCAAAAGTAAGTATAATAATGTTGTTGTTGTTTATACCCCACCCATCTGGCTGGGTTTCCCCAGCCACTCTGGGCGGCTCCCAACTTAATATTAAAAACAAAATACAGCATTAAACATTAAAAACTTCCCTAAATAGTATCTCATTGCTATTAGTATTAGGGGTGTATCTGTCTATACATTGGGCTGCTCATTCTCTGTTTATGCCAAGTCATGCAACTCAGGTTAGTTTCTGATCTGGAAAGGAACTTCCTGAGATTCCTACTTCTCAGATGTGTGGCTTTCAGAGTATTGGAGAAATGAACCTGAACACATGGAGGTTGTATCTTGAGTAGTTCCCTAGGTACTTAGGGGGAAAGTTGCTTTGCCTGCATAGCTGTTTCATGGACTGAGCTTCTTAAATCTTTATCTGTCCATTTACATATGTATTAAGTGTCTGAATTACCCTCCACACTTCAGCTGCAATAGCAACACTAAAAGCAGCTTACAAAAATCGAAATGACAAAATATTTGTAAAAATTCAGTGTTGAAGTGATAAAATAGGTGATTGTGACAAACATGACAGATGTCTCTTTTCTGACACCACTCTTTCTCTATTGTTTGTTCATTAGAAACCCCATTCTCTGTCAAAATAAAACTACACAAATTAAAATTCTCCGAGAACATAATTTGTAAAGGGACTGAGTCAGATGTACTTGGAATTTAATGAATGGTTAACATACATACATACATACATAACTTTATTTGTATGCCACTCTTCCACAGTTCAAACCATGCTCAAGGCAGGTTACAACATGAACAAAATATAAAACTACAATATAAACAATAAAAAAATTAAACAGACAGAACCAAACTGAACACTTTCCACAGAAATTGCAACAAGATCTAAAATAAAAATACAAAAAACCAACAGCAACAATTCCCCCCAAAATAAACCCCCCTAAACAGTGCCCCAGCCCAAGAGCTTTTGTAGCTGGAGTCAGTCTGGGCCCCACCCTCCCAGGCCAAGTGGGAAAAGGCCTGCAGGGCAGGGAGCAGGTCTTCCAGGACTCACAGCCAAGATGCTCTCATTGGTGTCACTGAGACAGCATTTGGATTTTGTGTAGACAAGAGTAGGCTGATGCCTAGTGCACCAAAATCCCAGGTGCTTAGAACTTCCCCTCTGGCTACCTAAAGCAGACTTTCTATCTTCTAAAGAAGCCAAAAGCCTATGAAAAAATTAGGCTTGTTAAGTTAAAAGGAAGAAGCCTAAAGCCAACTGAAGACTCACGTAGTAGTTTATAGCCGTGGGAGACACAATGCAGAAATGGAAACTTACCCGACTTGCTGGGTGTTATTCTACTGCAGTGCTAAGAAAACCCTAATAAGCTAGATTCACACACACACACACACACACACACACACACACCTTTTCCTGATAGTTGGGAGTAAGTGGGTATCAGTTTTAAGACAGTGGGTATCAGTTTTATCAGTTCAGTGCTCCAGCATTTGTTCAAATCATGTCTCTTGCCTTCTAGGAACAACTCTGAAGCCACAGCAAGGTTCTGTTGCTGATTCAGCTCAGTCTGCCTTGTCACCTACCCTGCTTAGCAATAGTGAAAAAATGCTGAAAGACAAAGCAAATTTCCTAAGACCCAGGCCCACGACACCATCCGTGTCTGTTCAATGTACTACCAAAGAGTTGGTGTCTCCAGCTGAGGCCCCAGTCATCCTTAGCTCTCCCCGGACTACTAAAACAGATTCATATGAGCTGTTGTGGAAACCACGGCATGATGGCAAAGCCCCAGTCCTCTACTATGTTGTAAAACATCGCAAGGTTAGCACATTCCTTTTTAACTGATTTCTGATAATGATGCTGAATTACAGTTTATCTGGAAAGCTCTGTATCGCTTACACTTTCTTGCCAGTTTAGGTAGCAGCAGCCCATCTTTTGGATGGGCAGGATATTTGTCCTGTGTGCGGTCTCTGAATGTCAGTGAGTGATAGCAGCATAAGGAACAGGCATAAGGAAGTGGGTGCTTTGGTGCAAGTTTGAGATCAGCATGGGAGAGAGAACTGCAGAGATGTATGTATCAGTGAACAGGGGCAAACCCAGGATGCACATAACCCTGGGATTATACATATACAGTGGTGCCTCGCAAGATGAAATTAATCCGTTCCGCGAGAGTCTTCGTCTAGCGGTTTTTTCGTCTTGCGAAGCAACCCTATTAGCGGCTTAACGGATTAGCGCTATTAGCGGTTTAGCGGCTATTAAAGGCTTAAAGGCTTAGCGGATTAGCTGCTAAAAGGCTATTAAAGGCTATTAAAGGCTTAGCAGATTAGATAAAGGGGGCGAAAAGCGGAAAAAAAATCTCAAGACTTGCAAGACATTTTCGTCTTGCGAAGCAAGCCCATAGAGAAATTCGTCCTGTGAAGCAACTCAAAAACGGAAAACCCTTTCGTCTAGCGGGTTTTCCGTCTTGCGAGGCATTCGTCTTGCGGGGCACCACTGTACTTTACTTAGTCTGGGGCATTTCTTCCCTCTCCCACTACCCTCCCTCCTCTTTTGATGAACTTATCCTTATCATAAGACAGATTCCCGTAAAGTAATGATTCCAGACCTTCATGGTATCTTAGCTTGCTGCATGTACCTTCCTTGCATTGTTCGTTGGTTGTGGTCTCTCTTTTTTCAGTTGCTTCACCTGGAAGGCTCTTGGGTCAGAGGGAGTCACCAGGGGTCACTGCACTTAGGACTAATATGTTTCCAGCACGGAGCAAATTCTCAGCTGGTGATTCTTTCTTGTATCTTAAAGGACTTTACAAGAGGAAACTGTTCCTGTTAACCCTGCTATCACTTTCATTTGCGTGGCTGGTAACCAGACAGACACCCTGAAATGGGCTTTATGTAAAGGAGATGCTGGGTTTAGCCAAATTCTGAATAAACATGATTATATCATGGCTCATTTCAATAAATCTATTCTGACATGTGTTTACTTGAGGTGTAAGTGCATTTCAGAGAGTTTTATCCAGCTAAGTCATACTCAGATATGACTTGTGGAAAACAATGGAGAGAACTAAGTAATGTTAATTTATTTCAGTGGATGTATTCTGCATTGGATACCATCCAGTTTATGGAGTGCCCACATGTACTACATGTGATAACTAAATAACCTGGACTGCTTAGAAATCTTTTAACTAAAGATAGCACTAAAAACTCGTTAACCCTGTGCAGCTTTGTTCAATACATCCACAGCACAAATTATAACATTGTGATTACATAGCCCTTGGGGGATGGGAATAGTGGTGAATGGAGAAGTGGTACCTACCTCATATGTCAATTGATTGAGGCAATTAGTAGCAGTGGGTATCAAATACCAGAATTCAGACATTTGCCAGTAGACGAGTAGTTCTGCTCATTTCAGATTGCAGGTTTGTCCACAACTATCTGTGATAAATATGGCATGGTCTCATTTTCCTATTGGAGGCAAAATAAGATGTTCCGTTTTCTTTTTTAGGACAAAATTGTAGGGTTGTTTCCAATTCAAAGAAGGCACTGTAGCCTATAAGTGCCTTTCACCAGTGGAATGTGAGGATGATAGTTTTCAGCGATTCCTCATCCTTTTCCAGTCCCCTATGTGCCCGCCCCCCCAATCTGCTCCAGACAAAGGGGGTATTTGTAAAAAAATGCCTCCCTCTTTGTCACATTCACGGAAACTTTCACTGGAGCTAAGAGCCTGCAGTGAGTGGAGGGACGCAGTTGGATACAACCTGTAACTGTTTGGTAAATGCACAGATGCACAACCTGTGTAGCTTGCAGCTGCTAAGTAGACATTGGAGTTCTCTCCCTTGAGGGTGTTGATTTGCCCCCTCTAATTCTTGATGATACAGCTCTGCAGCTGACTTTTCTTTCATTGTCATATGGTTATTTTTGGACTGGGGAATAGCTAATAATCTTCATCTTCTTCTACTCAGATATAAGGGCTGTAGTTCAGTAATCAAGTATTTGTATTGCATTCAAAAGGTTCCAGGTTCTGTAGTTCCCAGAAACCGTTATGAGCAAGATAACAGGCAGCTTCCGGTGTTACTTTATTCCTATGTTATCTCATACCAGTTCGCCAGTGATTATTTTCTATATGCAGCACACATGTTTAAAAAATTTTATTTTATAATTCTCAATTGCTATTAGCAGGAGTTTCTGTTACAACATGGAATTATAAAGGGGTTCCTCTGAGTGGCATCAATTTAATAAGATCATGCTGCAAAGTAGCTTAATGCTTCTGAGAATTTACTTGTCATAGCATTCTTGCTGTTGTCATTACTACTCAAATCCAAACTGCTCTTGTCAGTATGCATGACACTTTGCAGAATACAAGACAATCTAAAATTTACACTGGGAAAAACATAAAGGAAGGGGAGGAAAGGAGAAATGGGTTTAAAAATGAAGCAATAATGCACTTGTTTCAGTTGCATTTCCTTAGGCTTTATTTCTGCATGTGCTGTAGTGAGGAGCAGATGGGGCTTATCAGCCTGGAAAAGTAGCCCATCTAAGAGAAGGAAAACTCTGATCCTAAACCTTTGCTGCCTTGTGGGATATCTTTGGGAGAAAATGGTTAAGGAGTACACCAAACAAAAATCCAAAGTAGTTCCTAACATGGTTGGGTGGAGCCTTGTATGCCTCTTTCCAACAACTCCTGGTGCCAAGGTGGTGTCAGACATATTGCTCTGCTTTCCTTTGGACCACATCAGCAAGGCTGAGAGAGCAGGGGTCTTGTCATCTGGACAGCCCAGGACCTCCGTACTTGCTTGTGCCCTGGGGAGTTCACTTTGGTGCTGCTAACACAGCAGTTTGACTTCATCCCTGCACTCTATTGTCTCTCAAGACAAACAGATGCCAGCAACAAGTTTATTTAGATCTGGCTTTGGCTAAAAATGCTCAATAGCCCTTTTATCCGTAATAAGGTGAAGGCAATTGAATCCACTCATAGGTGTGCTTGTCCCTTGTCCTTCAACAGGTAATGAATTCTTCAGACAGCTGGACAGTCAGGGATGTCCCTGCCAACCAGCATCATCTGACTCTAATAAAACTGGACCCAGGAAGTTTGTATGAGGTGGAGATGTCTGCCTACAACTGTGCTGGAGAGGGGCAGACAGCAATGGTGACCTTCAGGACCGGTAAAGATGTAGTACTTTCCCATGAGTTGTAAATTCTCTCCTTGTCCTGATACTGAAGGATTTGTCATTTAGAAATTTGCTTTTAATAATAATAATAATAATAATAATAATAATAATGTTAATAAGACGCGGTTACATCCATGGAATGTAAGCCACCACAGAATGTTGGTGAAGTTTATCATTCAGAGCAATAAGACACTAAAAGTTTATCTCATACCATCTTTGCTATTTTTGTCTTGCTTAGGACGTCGACCCAAACCAGATATCATAGCCAGCAAAGAGCAGCAGATTCAGAAGGATGACCCTGGCACCAGCTCTCGAAGCAGCAACCAATCCGACAACACGCGCCTGTCCCGTAAGGCCATTTTCAGACTTGCGGCAGAAAGGGTTTTCTGGCTCTAGAAGTCTGATTATTCTTGGGGGAGGAGAGCTGGGAAAGATGGTGGTGTGAATGAGAAAAAGACAAGCCTGGCACAAGCAACAGGAAGGGAGTTTGCTTATCTCTGCTGCTTCTGTCCAGTCCTTATTAGGCCATGTTGCTCTTCAAAGTCTGTTTTACTGGCAACAAGCACCTATCAGACAAACGGTCTAGTAATATGATAGTGAGCGAATCATAGAATCGTGGAATTGTAGAGTTGGAAGGGACGCTGAGGGTCACCTAGTACAATCCCCTGTAATGCAGGAATCTGAACGAAAGCATTGATGACAGATGGTCATCCAGCCTCTGCTTAGAAGCCTCTAAGGAAGGAGAGTCCACCACCTTCTGAGGGAGTCTGTTCCACTGTCAAACAGTTCTTATTGTCAGAAAGTTCTTCCTGATGTTTAGTCAGAATCTCCTTCCTTGTAACTTGAAGCCATTGGTTCAGGTCCTACCCGCTGGAGCAGGAGAAAACAAGCCTGCTCCACGCTCCATGCAACACTTCAACAAATAGTGATTTGATTATGATTGTTGCGGTGGGAGGAGCCTTGAAAAAATATGCAATTTCAAGAGGACACTTTTTACCGAGTCCAACTTGTCCGTGTGCGCACCTTTAGTATTATTATTAATTAAATTTCTATACTGCCCTTCATCCAAGGATCATAGGGTGGTTTACAATATAAAAATATATACTATGGTAGCAAGAGCACCTTTTCTCTCCCCGTCTCCATTTGTCTTCTCCCTCTCTCTAGCACACTATTTCATCTTGCAAGGAAAGTTCCCTACAGCCGAGCTTTCCCAATCTAAAACTGGTTGTATCTCTGCTAATGTTATTCTTCTTTTCCTTACAGCTCCCGAGGCTCCAGATCGCCCCACCATCTCGATGGCATCTGAGACATCTGTCTATGTGACTTGGATCCCCCGTGGAAATGGAGGCTTCCCCATTCAGTCATTCCGAGTAGAATATAAGAAACTGAAGAAGATGGGGGACTGGGTGCTGGCCACAAGTGACATCCACCCTTCTCGTCTCTCTGTGGAAATTGCAGGACTAGAGAAAGGTAGGAGATCTTCTATTCCCAGCAGATAGGCTTCCTATGGTCCTTGGAAAGACTTAATAGTGACTTCATATCTTGCCTGCTGCCACAGAAACCATTATCCACGCCAAGGAGAAAAGGTCATTTCAGAGTTGGCTAGTAATTCGTGGTCCTCTTCCGGAGAAATGTGAAATTCTGCAGATGCTTTCTTTAATCCTGAAATTATTCTGCGGAGACCAAAAGCTTTGAATCACTGTATCCATGCCAAACTACATATTACCTGCAAATGTATCAAATGGCAGCCCAACAATTCTCTTTTTTCACACGGAAAGCTACCACAGATGGGTCAGTTAGGAACAGAAACGTGTGTGCATGTGAGTGGAAGTTTAACCCTTTCCCTGCTTGCTGTTTCCCCACTTCAAGTGGAACAGATTGCCTCAGGAGATGGTGGGCTCACTGCTGGAGGTATTTAAGTTGAAGCTTCCAGGGGTGGGGGCGGCGTCCTAGATTAAGCAGGGGATCCATCCCTAGTCCATGGGTGTAGCCAAAGGAGGGCGGGGAGGGGCAGCTGCCCCCCACCCAAACCAAGTAAATCAATACAAAATAACTAACTGAGGTTCTTCCCCTCTAACATAAAGCCTGGCTACGTCCATGCCCAAGTCTACAGTTTTATGGCTCTACAAAGTCACCCACTTTGTATCTTCCCTCACTGCAAGATTTCAAGCCTTTGTTTACCCTCACAAATACAGTTTTGAAGAAATGGCAGGAAGTAAAATGGTTAATTGTGTGTGTCCTTGTATCCATTTCTCCAAACATCCACCCTAAAGCAGCTTTTCATGCAAAGACAAAAGCCATAGATCAACTGTTCTTTACACTTGTTGGCATGTAGCGTGTACATTAGCACTCAGTCTCTTCTGTGCATCTGAAGTAAGGTAGCAAATGTGATCTCTTGACCATTCAGACCAGGTTAAAAAAACACCTGAACCTTTTAAAAAGCAGTCATTGTCTGGGGCGGCAAGATTAGACTTTTGCTGCTATTTTGTTTCTTAGTTCATGAGGTCAGGAAACACTGGCTCTGCAGTATGTCATTTTGCCACCTGCTAATGTGGAATGTCTGAGTTTTCAGGAAGAGATGAACAAGGAAAATACCAAGGTCAGAGGTCTGCTCACTTTTCTCCTGCATTGTTTCTCCATTCCATATTCTAGGCACATCCTACAAATTTCGAGTGCGAGCATTGAACATACTGGGGGAGAGTGAGCCAAGTGCTCCATCTAAGCCACATGTGGTATCGGGCTACAGCAACCGTGTATATGAGCGCCCTGTCACAGGGCCATACATCACCTTCACGGATGCCATCAATGAGACCACCATCATGCTGAAGTGGATGGTAAGCAGGGGAGGCAGGAGCTGGGACTAGAACTCAAAAGATAGGACAGGGTTTTTTTTTTCATCTGTAGCAAAATGTGCTCAGTAAAATTGCATAGGATTTCTTACAACATTATTCCTGTTAACACTGCTGATACTAACTAGTGCCAAATTTTAATTATCACGACCTTAAGTTTCTCTGTTGCTTCCCTTCTTCTACTCTATTGTGCTGGACACTTTTAGTGTCGCAGTTCTGTGTTTCAACACTCAAGCACACATTTGATTTTATGGACTTTGTGGCTTAGATCATTTGTGTTCATTGCATTTCAGTTAAAAGTTCCAAAATTGAGCAGTATTATTGCTCTCATATATACCCACCCATCACATGTAGCACTTTCCAGCCTCTGCAAAGTCCACATAATAGCTTTAATATCGGCATTCATTTTGAAACAGAGGTTCTCAAACTTCTACAGAGTAGTCTCCTTTAGCTAAAGAAAATTAGACAATGCACTATCTGAAACACAAATATGTGCCTTTCTTTATAGCTTGTACATTTTTTCCCCAGTTTGTAGCAATTGTGGGAAAGTTTCCCATTATTTCTCCTGTTCTCCTACTGCAATATCCTATGCCTGGGAATAGTCAGTGCAGGCATGTTTAAAAAAGTTATCAAACTGCTTATTGCTAGTAGATTCTCATGCATCAGCCCCAAATCATCTCTATTTTCCTGCCTGTGGGAAAATCCATTGCAAACAATGGATTCTGAGTGGTTAATATGAACACAACAGCAGGAAGAAGGAATGAGTAGGCAAATGATGGATACATAGAAAAGGGGAAGAGTAGAAAGAGGTCCCCTTTTCTATGTAGCTTAATGGTAGAACACTTGCCTGGTAGTTTGCATGCATATATGACAGTCTCTGGGTAAATCCCTGACATCATCCACCAATGATTTCAAGTCGCAGGGCTAGGAAATAAAACTGCTAGTGATATACTGCCGATTAGTATTGACTGTACTGGGCTTGATGTATCTCTGATCATATGCAGTACAAAATGAGTAGTGAGCTGAAGATTGACAGTGAGAAATAGTGGCCTTCTTTAAGACCATGTATCTGCCCTACAGTTTTGAGAACTCCTGCTTTAACCAAACAAGACAGCAATTAGTTGTAGGCACAAATTGCTGGATATTTCCCCCCATCTTCCACAAGAGAGACGACATACCCAGCAACTTGTCCCTAGGGCCATAACTCTCTTTTTTGTGAAAGTAGGAGTTCTATCACAGTGATAATTATAGTACTATCATATCCTATGCTATCATAATGGATTTTTTAAACTCTTTTCCTCACCTGCCAAATAACAGTGTTCAAGGCTATATATATAGTTCAATTCATCATATGAAGAAAGAGAACAAAGTGTAACTTGTGCAAAATATTTAAGCCTTGGGTTCAGCTTTACTGAGGATCGCAATACTGAAGCCTATTCCTTAAAAAGCCTTCACAAATACATTTTGCACCTTGCTCCACTCATTACCATTATTTTGCCGTTGTCAGATCTTGGTGTTCCAATACACACTGAAATAAATCCCACAATCCAGAAGTCTGCCCAGTCCTGCCTTATTCTCTGCCTCTGCGATGAACACCAACACTTTTGTGGTGTAGTGGTTAAGAGCGGTGGACTCACAATCTGGTGAACTGGGTTTGATTCCCCGTTCCTCCACATGCAGCTGCTGGGTGACCTTGGGCTAGTCACACTTCTCTGAAGTCTCAGCCCCACTCACCTCACAGAGTGTTTGTTGTGGGGGAGGAAGGGAACGGAGATTGTTAGCCGCTTTGAGACTCCTTCAGGTAGTGATAAAGCGGGATATCAAATCCAAACTCCTCTTCTTCTTTTGTTAATTTCTGCCTTTTGCTCCTTTCTATAGTACATTTCAGCCAGCAATAACAATACTCCAATTCACGGTTTTTACATCTATTATCGACCAACTGACAGTGACAATGACAGTGATTACAAGAGGGATACAGTAGAAGGTAAGGATACATCAGCTGGTTGGATCCCAAATGTTAATTGCCCCAAATAGTCTACTGAGGGCTTCTCCACATAATGGTATATAATGGTATATAAATTTAAATAATAATAATATTAATATTAATGGTATATAAATTGAAATAATAATAATAGGCATTTCCCAGCAAGTGGGGGGGGGAATTATGTTTGCTGTTAACTGTCCCATGTCTATATTGCTGTGTGATAATACAGTGATCCATTTATGGCATTGGGATAGAATAAAAGGAAAGTGACACTTGTGTGTATGTTGCTTCCTATTCAGGTGACCGGTACTGGCATTCTATCAGCCACCTCCAGCCAGAAACTTCATATGACATTAAGATGCAGTGCTTCAACGAGGGTGGGGAGAGTGAATTCAGTAATGTGATGATGTGTGAAACCAAAGGTAACTAGTCCAACACTATATTCAGGTATCTCAGATGCTCCTCCTCCACTTTGCGATATGAATAAGCTTGTGAAGAGATCAGGAAGTTTAGAAATATATTATCCATGGGTGATACGTGTGAGAAACTGATTAGGAGAGCAAATAATATGAAACTAAGGAAAGGGAGGAGTTCTGGTGATAAAAATTCATTCATTAACTGCAGAATTTGAAGGTAAGGTATAAGTCCCCCCCATTGGTGAAAAAAGTGACTCAACTGGATATTATGCAGTAAGTCAGGAGTGGGGAACATTTCTTTCTCCCATTCCCTTCTGAGCCACCTTATGGAGGCCATGTGCCAGCATTGGGCAGAGCAAGAGGCAAAAATGGGCTGAGCAATGAATCCAAACTAGGTTCATAAACTATGAAGAAGCTGCAGTATGTGGAGGCTGCCTTGCACCTTCGCTACATATCTTTAGGTGCTAGGAAAAGCATATCTCTTTTCACAGGCCTTTGACTGCTTAAACAGGCTATGGCCTTTTAAATTGGGGGGGGGAGTATTTTGTTTATTACTATGTTATGCATTTTTATGTGATCCTTGAATGAAGGATGGTATAGAAATTTAATAAATAATAATAATAATAATACATTGAGAGAATCATGTTGAGACTGAAAAATTGGGGTGGGCATGGAGGCTGTGTAAAGATCTTAACTATGCTTTTCTTTCTCTTGAAGCTCGCAAATCTGCAGGAGTGCCTGGTCACCTCCCACCATCTACAGTATCTACGATACATCACCCCCCACCCAACAGTGGCCATAATTTCTTAGGGGCAGGGGCCATGGTGGCTCGCTCCAGTGATCTGCCATACTTGATTGTAGGGGTGGTGCTGGGCTCCATCGTTCTCATCATTGTGGCATTCATTCCATTTTGCCTTTGGAGGGCTTGGTCCAAGCAGAGTAAGTGACTTTAACAAAAGGTACCTGTAACTCTGAAACAAAGGGCACACACACAACTTTGGGCTATAATAAGGGAAACCAACCCAATTTCATGATATTCCTACTCACAGGACATGTTGCGTGAATAACTCGTCCTCAAATAACTTCACATGTGCATGTGATTAAATTCTGACTTCCAAAAGTCATTTCATGAACATAACTGTCTGAATTGGCTCTGTGGCCTTAAAAAGCCCACTCATAACCAAGGCCCAAAGATATTCTATACTGTCCTCAGAATGTTTTTTCCTATTTTCTTTTTCTTCCCCAATGGCTATGTCTGCAGTGTTTCCAGTTATAGCAGCAGCTCATGTTATGTCTATGTTCAGTCTTTAACATGTATATTATTTTGTCATTTCAGAGCAGAGCATAGATCTGGGTTTTCCTGGTGCAGGGCTGCTGGTGTCCTCTTGCCAGTACACCATGGTGCCCCTGCAAGGGGTCTCCACTCCTCGAGCTAATGGGCTGCGTTATGCAAATGGCGTGCATCTGCCAGCACACCAGGGAGCCAATGGCCATTTCCCCTCAGCTACAATTGGATATCCCAACGCAAAGTCACAGGATTACAGCCCAGATGAGGTTCAACAGGTAAATTTATTTAGCAACAGCTGGGGGTGTTGAGTGACTTCTTTATCTCCTTGGCCTGAATAATGACTCACTGCAACGCCCAATGCCTAGCGTTCTGTTTCTGCCTCAGGAGGCAGAAGAGGAAGGGAAATGCTTTGCCAGAAACTTCAGTTCCCAGACTAAAATTTATTTAGAGATTATATACCCTGCTGACTAACCAAAGTTTTCAGCTTGACTTGCAATATATTTAAAATGCAATAAATTATGGCAGGGCAGCTATACTATTTATATAAGCTTTCCCCTAGCGACCACTGTTCCAGTTGCCACTCTGCAGCTGAATCTTCACATTTGGAAATGGCGGCTGAATCAGCCAGATGTTAAGTTCCTCATATGCCACGGTTTCTTCATTGGACTGTTGCCAGTGTTCCTTACAACCACAGCCTCTGGGGGCAGATGCAAAGGTGTTTTAAGCCTTCCTCCCAGAATGTAAACCTGGAGAGGTCAGTCTTGTTTTTAGGTCTTTTGGACAAGTGGAAAATTTTGAACCTATAGATTCTGAATATGATGCAATAAATAGCCTTTGAGCATCTAACTGGTTATTAATAAACCTTTTAAAGCATCACATCCTTTAAAATGCAGTACATAAATTCCCCATGGCAAAGTTTCAGAAGCCATTTGTATGCAAAGACCCAGAGACGCAGTACAGTCATACCTTGGGTTAAAGTAGCTTCGGGTTGAGCGTTTTCGGGTTGCGCTCTGCGGCGACCCGGAAGTAACAGAACGCGTTACTTCCGGGTTTCGCTGCTCGCACATGCGCAGATGCTCAAAATGACGTCACGCGCATGTGCAGACGCAGCGAATTGCAGCACGCACAGACGCGGGTTGCGTTCTCTTCAGGATGCGAACGGGGCTCTGGAACGGACCCCGTTCACATCCAGAGGTACCACTGTAATCCTATGGTTCTGGATCAATGTAGAGTCCAGTTCCCTAAAGCAGCTCAGTTTTTATAATCCTAGAAGCAGTAATGGTTCTGAATATCTAAAGCTGAACTCCTTTGGCATAATCCCATGCATTGGCTTTGGAATCTAGACTCTTTAATTGTCTTCTAGATATTTCTTTTTCTAACTTATTTTTTTATTCTCAGCAGAATGGGACCAATGCGTTTCTGCAGGGGAGGGTGCTGCAAAATGGAAATATTCCAGCTGAACACCAGAGGTATGACTCTAGCCATCAGGCTTCATGTGTAATGGCAATATGATGTCACAGAAATGATGGAAACGCCTCTTATGTCAGCATTTCTGTCATGCAAGATTGTCTTCATTAGGGCCGTAAAAAATCAAAGCTCATACCACGTTTTGTTCAGCAATCTGTTCCCTTAAAGTTTTATAGAAGTGAAATTGGAAGTCCTTTAATTTCATGGTACTGATGGCACAATAGGACTGATTCACTAATTGCTTTTAAACTGAGGCAGACAAAACAAATGTATTTTATGGTAGCAGGCCTGTGTGTGTATAGGCTCACTGCAGATTAAAGAACATCTCAGAATCAGATTAATAACCTAATAGGTAATTATCCAAACGTGTTTCAGCAATTTAGTGAAATATAGCCCCACAATTCTGCTCTCCTGCCTTCATCATAGCTCATGATCATTACCCAACCCAGTTAACCCTACCTTAACCCACCAAAATCAATCACCTATCATACCTAGTCACTGTCTGCTCCAAAATACATGGCAACCTCATCCTCTTGATAACCTCTGTGAAATGTAATGCTCAGTAATCACAACGCAATTGAAACTGCATACTATATTGTTGTGTAAGATTATATCCTACTAGAACCTAGAACAATGAGCATGGAAATGAACGTATGAAGTCTGCCAAACTGTGTCCTTTTTGTTTCTTCAATTAACTTGTATATGAAGTTAATCAGAGGATAATTGAAGATGATGTCCTCAAATTGCTTTTTCTCTGCAACTTAGGTCACCTAGTCCTGGACCAGAACAGAATTCTTTTCTCTATGGGCTTCCAGATGACTCCACACACCAGCTGCTTCAGCAACATGACAATTGCCATCATCGTGAACATTACCTTGACCTGTGTCACTCTGTGCCACAAGGCAAAATGGGCAACTCCGCTAAGGAAATCATGAAGGATCCTGTCTTCCATACAGGTCAGTGGGACATAAACCATAAAAGGAGATTTTTGCTGCTGTTGCTTGCTATGCATTAACCTTTGGAGGAAAGTTGCTGCTTTCTAAATCTAGGGCAGGACCTTGATGTGAAAAGCAGAGAGAATGGTAGGCATGGGCTTTCTATTCAGTTAAAGTTCTGCATTATTTGCAAGTTATATATGGTGGCATATACAGAAACTAATGTTCAAGCATTTGAAATATACGGCCTAGAAAGATAGATCCAATAGATCCAACTGGAGCATATTCAACTTTCCAATGACATTGCTGTGCCTCCAACCCAAAACTGCATGCATCTATATCAATTTCAGTAAATGTCAGAGAGTGAATTTTGATTTGGAAAATGTCAAGTATTTTATACTAATGCAGGCTTCTTTCACACAATCATTTTTGTGTTAGTGTCACAGAAATGACTGCATGAAATAACAGTGTAGCTCAGGTCTGAAATGTCAAAAACAATTACCAAAGGCTTACTTGGCATTTACTAATATGCCTTTTGCTGGCAAATGGAATAAATCAGAGTAGAAACTTGTCATTAATTGGTGATTTTTGAGAATTTATCAGTAATTGGCAGAATTTGCAGACATTTTCCACTGGCATCACTTTTACTAGAAACTCTTAGCATTTCAGTATATGTCACTTCGTTTTTTTATATTTTCAGTAATACAATCATAGCTTGCTATCTGACAAATTGTAGTAACCCTTCTGGATGATCTCCAGAGCAGGGATTTAAGCTCTTTTGGATTTTCATAGTGAATTCCTTTCAAAGTGTTTTGAAGAATAGTGGTATCTGACCAAGGACACACTTTCATTGTCCTTCCTTGTCTTCCCAGATTCTGCCTGCTGCCTTGGTCTAGTACCAGTTGAAGACGTAGAGAGGACAGATTTCTGCCAAGATGAACGACAAGTGTGGCCCCTAAACACAGTGGACACTTGCTTGGCTGGAAGCACAGAGAAGCATCTGAACAGCCTGCCACTGCATGTTCCCTTAGAGACACTTCCTGGCACCAGTTAGGGAACTAATTGCCTTACAAAGACTATTCTAAACAGAAAAGGGTTATTTATTTTTGTATTACATCTCTATTTATATATTTATGCACTTGTAAATAGATGTGTATCTGCCTTCTATAATTACGCTGAAAGAAATGGCATCATGCGCAAGAGGTGATAAACTGAGGCAACAGCATGTACTTCCATCAGATCACGACTTGGAAAGGGCAGCTTCCTACTCTCAGCAACAGAATAAGCACAAGGGCAAGAGCTGCATTCTCCAGCTGCAAGAAGGTGTCTCTAAATGGTGAGATTATGGGAAAGGGTCTTTACTTGCCTCCCAGCAGGAGGAATCTCATTGCAGAATGCCAAAGGAAAACAGATATAAAGTAGGTACCATATTTATCTGCATTAACAAGCAATATATACAAGCACAGATTCTGTGATAGTGTGCCTATATAATGAAACCAATGCCATGCTTCATCAAGTAAATAAAGACTGTTTCTTCCCTTTGACTGAACTTTTATTTAGGTTCCTTATACTTAGGTAAAGCCTCCTTTCCTCATGTTACAATCCCCTTAGCATTCATTTTTCACCAAACACACACCTCATTAAGATAATGGACAACACTAAGGAAGAAAGTTTAGCACTCAAAATGAAACATTTTAAGTTTCTGGTTTCAGTGCAAATTTAGGGGTATTATTAATGTGATTAGCTTCTAGTCTATAGGAAGATGAGTCATCTAGGACATGGTTTTTACCTATAACCATTTCATAAAGCATCATGAATATCTACTGGAGCAGACAGAGAGACCTCTTGTTTCTTTAAAGTAATAGCTTCCCTTTGAAGTTAGAGTCTGGCACACAGTGGCGTAGCGTGGGGGGTGCAGGGGGGGCCGGCCGCAACATCTGGGGGCACGCACTCGCACTCGCAGCTCTCTGCCCCCTGCTAAAATCCACGGGTTGGAGGGCGCAAATTACGTGCCTTGCCCCGGGTGCTGACAACCCACGCCACGCCACTGCTGGCACAGAAATGTTTTAAAAAGTAAATAAATCAATGCTAGTTTTTTTCTATATATACCGGTATATATAAAAAGCTGAGAATTCTCCAGATAGCAAGCACATAATTTGAAGCAATGCTGAGTTCAGTACAAAGTATAAGGTGAACAGCTCCAGGGCTGAATGAGGACATCAGAACAATTGCTATATTGACTCAGATTTTATTGTCAATCTCAAAAGTATTTATCAACAACACAATTCCAGGTTGAAAGTACAGATATGGAGACACATCTGCATCAAGATACTAATTGCCCGATTAGGAGGACAAGGCTGTATATCCATTGTGCCTGATCTTGCATATATTTGGATCAGGAAGTAAAACATCTATTTGAAGACTTTAAGACAGCATAGTTAATTGTGCCCTCCAGATGTTGGCCTTCATCAACCCTGACCATTTGGCCAGGCTGCCTGGGTTGACCAACACCATGTCCCCATGTGCCCAAAGCCAACAGGGTACACTAAGTAAAAGAGATAGATGGGGTTGCTACTGTTTTCTTAATTGTGCCTTTAACAGCCATATGAAAGACAAATTCAAGATCTGCAACTTTCTCCCATCAATGTATCAAATCGCTGAAGGCAAGGAAAAGTTTTAACATTCTGCCTGGCCTATGCTATTAAAAGGTCCAGAATTTCTGCCAAAAGGGGAAGAGCCTTAAGACCAGGACACATCATATGAAACTTAAATCTCAAGGGCTAGCTTGCTAATTATTCTCATGCAGTAGGATTGATATGCATAAAAAATGAGAACAAGGGAATGACATGAAAAGGATTTAATCCAGCATCCCACCTTGAGGATATCCAGGCTGAGATGGTGGAAAGATGCGGCCATCCTTCCTGCTTAGAAGAGTGATTTCTTCTTTCAGGACTTCAGCTTCTTGGGCTTGTAACTGGACCAATGCAATCAGCTTCTCCTTCTCCTCAATATCTGATTTGCGAGGCCCTTGGAATTCTGCTCCCTGAAGAAACAAAAGCCAAAAACTGCCCTCAATCACAGATGAAACAATGACATTACTTATAGACTCCAGGTACAGAACACTTACAACACTTTTGACCGTAATACTACCAAGGAGCTCATTCCCTTCTGGATGCTGGGCAAATTACTTTCTCTGGTGATTGGCTTGTGTCATTCCTGTCACCCAATGTGATTTAAATGCAGGCACACATTCAATACAAGGAATAAACAACAGAGAAAATGTGGATCAGGTTATTGAGGAACATGGGTAACACCCTCCCTGGGTAGGACAGCAGCTAGTAGGGTCAGTTTACAGTTATAACCTCTAAAGCAGCCCGAGAAAAAAGTTTATTTGGCTTGCTAGTCAGGAACAAGTGATCAAAGCAGCACATACCAGGTTATTCTGTAGTGCGTCCAACTTAGTTTCAAGTGTCATCTTCTCCATACAAAATGTGTTCATTTGCTTCAGTTTGTCAGTATTTTCTTGTGTCACCATCATCAACTCTTGACGCAGGTCAACAATTTTATCCTGCAACAGAGCAAAGATTTGCTGGAGTGATAAAAATATGAAAGCAGAACTATGAGAATGCCATGGTCTGGGAGTTACAGAGCCAGAGTAGTAGCAGCCAACAGGTCAAAGAACAACTGGGGGAGGATGGGAAGAAGAGGGACACATGGCTTGAAGAGCTGTTTAACCTTGGCTGTCATCAGTTTTTTGCATACTAACCGAAAACAAAATTCATCCCCATTAGCAGTTTTGAGTTAACAGAAGCATTGCCTTAGCAACACTGGCTCCCACTGTCCTCTGGATCTCACTGCACTGGATAAATTATTAGCCCTCCAGACGTTAGTTGGGCTACCACACTCGTGCATAGAAAATAACAGCAATAAGTAAGCAACCTTGCAAGTGCTTGAGATTACACTCATATTACAAATCCTAGATTCAAGGGCCTGGAGTTTTCCATATAAACTCTGTCTCTCTTATTCTCTGCAGTAGAGGAGTTCCTGGGTTAGCAACTCACCATGTTTCTGATTAGTTCCAACAAACCTCATTCAGTGCCACAAAAAACCTGTTGGCATCTGATAAAGAGAAGGAAATGTGTTTCTGCAAACACCATGAAGCATGTTGCAGAATTTGAGATTTTAAACAAGTCAGCTACCCTTCTGAGTGTTGCACAGGCAGTAGGAGGCAGGACCAAAATCTTTTTATACATAATAAAATACTGTGCTGGACTCTTGCCAGCAGGTTGGAAGTAAAGGTCCTTCATTTTTCTGGGTGTTCTTTAAAAAAAATACTTCCCCACCCACCAGAAACAAGGGGAGTGAAATAACTGGGACTGAGCTACATCCACTCGAGCTGGCTTAGTTCAATATCCTGTATGAGGGTATCTTGGTGGGGACCTCACATCACAGCCTTCTCCATGTCTTTTCAGGGCATGCTGCCAATCCACCCCTGACATAACCTCTTTTTCAGCCCTACTGATCTTGGAGCTGACATTGGTGGGGCCAGGACTGCAGAAAGGGGAATTAAACATTGGATAGCTCTCCCCGACTTCAGGGCAGGAGATCCAGTGCTTCCTAAGGCCGTTGTGATCCCCTATCAGGGGCCAAAGATGGTGGGCTAAATTATATATTGCAAGTGGTTTGGTTTGGTGTGGAGAGGGTAGATTTGTCTCAGTCTTTGCACAGAAGCACTGAAGTAAATTCTACAGGCTTCCTAACAGAAAGGACACAGTACCAAAATATAAGATAAACGATCCCTCCCTTTAAAGCTATCCCATTTTTTGAAAGAGTATCCTGAATTGAGCTTCTGACAGATGATCTGATAAGACTTCAGGGTAAGAGTGTTCTACAGTTTTGGGACAGCAAGCAAGAATAATTCACTGCACATTCTTGTTCTCCTAAATTCTAGGATGGGTGGAATACATAGTAAAAAAGGGGGATATGAGATGTAATACCTTGCATATATATATAATGGATTTATTAGATTATAGCAGTTATATGGTTCTGACATGCCAGGAAACATTTTCATAGCACTGCATACATGATTTTCCAGACTGAGCATTTGGATAACTAATATACCCTTCCTTTGTGTGATACTTGTCCAGGATATCTCACTCCTTGCTTGACAAGTGTATCTTCTAAATAATGATGATGCAATTACCACATTGTCTTCTGCCTCCTAACCAGGGTTTGAACTCTTTCCTGACTAAAAGGCAATTTTCACACAGGAAATCCTCATGTTATATGCCTATTATCCAGCCCTACCCCCTGGTCACACCTGCAGGCCACCTGGCTACATCACAATGCGATTTAGAACAAGTCTTACCTCCCATTTTCTTAATTCTGCGGCATGAGTTTGCTCTTTTTCCATCATCTTCATTTTGAGTTCTTCCAGATTTGTGTTAACAGAAAGAGTCTGCAGGGCTTCCAAGTTCACTAATCGGCCAAATTTCAGCATCATCAGCTCATTGCATTTCTCTTCCAATCCTGCAAGATGAGTTTAAGGCCTTTGTATTCTCCCTATCTTCCTTTTTTAAGATATGTATACCTACACACACAGAATACTACTGTGCATATTCAAAAATCCAATTCTAAACAGTGCAGCTCGCGGTAGCACAATCTGTGGGAGTGTGCAGGTAAATTAATTTGCATTGCAACAAAATAATGGATGAGGTGGCTTTGGAGAAGTTCTTTCCATCTCCAGAATACCACCAGAAAAGGTGGGTGTGGTTATTCTTTTTTGTACCAGATTTATAAGATACTACAATCCTACCAGAATGTTAGCTGTTGCGATCTTTGCCGCAAGAGCCATCCACAGGTCATCTGCTGCACTCTCAAGAAGTCTTTATTTATTTATTTCAAATAATCTTTATTGCTTTTAAAACTTACAATAAAAGAAAAAGGAAGAAAATAGGCGAAAGAAAAAGACAAAATAGAACAGAGAAGAAAAAGAAAAAAGGAAAAAAGAGAGAAAAGAAAAGAACAATACAATAAACAATACAAAACACAACCTTAACACATTAACCTAAACAAAGCAAAAGAACAACAATTTAAAAACATATACCATACCATTTCATTACTCTATCTTTCATTCCCTTATTTCATTGACCTCCTCTCACCTCCCTTTTTGTATTCCACTTCTATTACTTGTTTCAGCAATTCCTTTCCATCTTTCTCTATTTTTATCATTATGAATATCTTAACATATTTTATACCTTATTTTCCATTAAAACTGAAATACTTAATTATACCTAACTCCTTATAACATTTCTGCTAAAGCCATAAAATTTCATTCCAACAATTTTCTAATACTCATTAAATTTACAATATTTCTATATATAAACTTTAAACTTTCCCAATCTTCTACCACCATCTCTTCTCCCTGGTCTCGGATTCTGCCAGTCATTTCCGTCCATTCCATATAGTTCATCAACCTGGAGATCTTCTGTCCGAGGCTCTTAAATCTTTTCCAAGTCCCTTCTGCAGTTTTTCTTCATATTCTTTGATACTGAGGGTGCTGAAGCGCAGGTCTTGGGGGGGCCCCGATCCAACCATGCCCCCATTCCCTCTCAACAGACCAACCAACTCTCCACAGCTAAAACCAGTGTCCATACAATGTCTCAAATCATGTTTCAAGGCTCCTCCAGATCCAAAGGCCCCCACAACTCCAATCACCTCCTCACCCAAATTCAGGACCCAAGGGTCAGTAAATCTCTGCTTGAAAGAGTCTATCCAACCTTCCTTCTTCAATCCAAGCAGGGCTCCAATCTTCAAATTCTGACTTTTTCTATATTCATTCATAAAAGGCCTCCACTTATAGTCCTCAGTTTGCCTCTGTAAAACTGGGGCTTCCACTTGTATTATTTTAGGTTTAACAACACCAACATTCTCCTTCGTCTTCTCCCCAGTTTGTCCTGTCAAGGTAAGTTCCTGTGTCAAATCCTGAACAATTTCTGTATTAATGGTCACTTTTTGTTCCAAATTGGTCACTTTTTGTCCCAAGTTCTCAAGTTTTGTATTCATAGTGTCCGTCTTCTTGTGGAGCTGTTCCAACGAATAGCTTATCTTACATAATACAGTCACTAAGGCTCCTTCTGTCAACATTCTTAAAGTCCAAGGTCAATCTCTATTTCACACAGTTCTTATCTTGCGACTGGAAAAACCCCAGCTCCACTCTTGTAACAGTTTCAAAAGCTCCTCTAGAGGGAAACAGTCTCCACTTGTATCAATCCTTTCAAACACAATTTAAACTATAAAGTTAGTTTCTTTTCCCACGTTTTAAACGCAGATGAGTACAATGGAAACAATATATTTCTCTTATTGCTAGCTGTCAAAAAAACGTCACTCTTTCTGGCAGCCCGTTTCCAGGTTCGGAGCAGTGGTAATTTGGTTTTTCACTCTCTCCTGCAGGCTCACTAGGTCCAAAATTTCCCCCCTCTTCTCCTGCTTCCAAGGGGGGTTTAATAGTTTTAACTGATGGAGATTTAATCCTTTACAAAAATAAACTTTCCAAGGCTTTAACTTGCAACTTCTTTGCTTCAATCTGTTTACAAAAAAGGAAGGCGGACTTCCTGTTTAGAACCTTCCCGTTTCGATGCCAAATTAATCAATTTAAGGCTCTAATTTTCCGTTCTACTCACGGTTAGTTGTTTAAAATCCAATTGTCCACAGGAAAAAGTCAGCGCTCTCCGGCAACAGCGATGCGGCTTCACTCCGTGAAAGAAGCAGTCAATTCGAAGCACAGCGCCACTCACCCCACTTCGCTCCGGATCCCCAAATCAGGGTTTCCCCGCGAATAGGGGAGGCGCAAAGGGTGCCAGCTGAATCCCAAGTTCACAGGCTTCTCCCGCTTGTGATTTCAGTGGGTCTCCACCTTCGCCGTGGCGGTCAGACCCTAATTTCTGCGGAGCAAATTCCTCCCAATCGGAGGAACTCCGCCATTGCCTGGAGGCGCCAACCCGGAAGTCTTCTCACAAGAAGTCTTTATACCCAGCCCTGTGCAGCAATAAGCCATCACTGGCACAGCAGCAGTGACTATAGCCTCTGAAGTGGCTCTGACGTATGGTCCCAAAGTTGGCACAGCATAATGTACAATCGGAGTGAGGAAAGGGTCTATTCCTATGCACTGCCAAGCAAGCTAAGCACTGTTTGGAAGGATCATTTTCTCTTGCATATAACTGACTGATGCCCTTCTTTAGGTATCCACACACCATCAGAAATTAAGTGTGGTGCCCAGCTTATGGAATGCTCTCTGCAGAGAAAATCACCTGGCACAAAACTTTGTGACTTTAAGGCCCTGGGCAAAGACTTTTTTATCAGCTCAGGCCATTTTAAATGGTGATACTGTCATTTTCTATTGTAAGCTGCTCATCCTACCTGCTGTACTATTTTTTTATTTTTGAAAAAACAACAACAACCCACCTTAATTTGTAAGATGCCTTGGAAGGCCTTTTTTAAAAAAGAAAAGAAAGGTAGGATAGAAATGTTTTAAATAAAGGAAGAAACAAAGCAAGTTGAGCAGTGCACAGGGTGAGGTCCACAAGGTTCTCAAGTGTTTTACTTCCCTAGATTCATTTCAGGTTCACAGCAATCCTTTAGGTTGCTGCACACATTGAGTTGGGGGAAATAAATGTTTTCTCACATGGGCACACACCACGGGGAGGCATGGTCAACTGGGAGTTCTCAGTAGCATGCATTCATATTGCACATGTGTTTTACATTAGAATGCTACTTTTTCACCATGTATAATATGGAAACACATCAAATGTCTCTGTGCAACATTCAGCTCTCATTTTCAGAAGTAGGAAAAGATACACACTTCTTCTGAAATTGAGGCTTTGTGCCAGTCCTTTCATTTGTAGAAAGAAGCTAAGGCACTTAGAGTATACCTCCCAAGCAATAATTGTCAGTCATGTGTGATATGCAGAGAGGAAAAGCCTTCACACACCATATAAAAAGAAACTGGAAACCCAGCATACACTCACGGTCAATCTTAAGCATCATGTCCCTCCTGTCTCGAATGAGCTGTTTGTGCTGCTGCCGGGCCTTCTTATAGAGTTCTCTCTGCTCTAGTTTCTCCTCCTGCAGGACCATGATCCTCTGCTGCAAGTTCACCAAAGACTGGTTGGTAAACACCAAAGACTGTGAGAGGTCAGGAGGGATTTCTCCATTTGAGATATATTCCACCTGCCAGGAATAACCACAGAATTATAAACGTCTCTGGAGCAGAGTGTGTGGCATTGTTGCATCTATGAAATTCCTCAGAAGTACACATGGCACTCTTTGCCCATGAGCTGTAACCCTCCAAGGCTACTTATGAGCAATAGGGGTCCATGGTGGCAGGGGGAGCAATAATCAGACAGCAACTTCTCCCTGGATAAAATGTAATCCCCAGAGTTCCAGGTTTCCTTTTAAAAGAAATGGTAAGTTTCCGGCATTTGCGGAGCCTGAAACACAAGACTAGACAATTAGACACCATTCTAATTGTTTTGTGATAAACTAACCAGTAGTGATGTTTGGAAGTGAGAGCTGGACCATAAAGAAGGCTGACTGCCAAAGAATTGATGCTTTTGAATTATGGTGCTGGAGGAGACTCTTGAGAGTCCCATGGACTGCAAGAAGATCAAACCTATCCATTCTTAAGGAAATCAGCCCTGAGTGCTCACTGGAAGGAACGATTTTGAAGCCAAGGCTCCAATACTTTGGCCACCTCATGAGAAGAGAAGACTCCCTGGAAAAGGCCCTGATGTTGGGAAAGGGCACAAGGAGAAGTGGACGACAGAGGACGAGATGGTTGGACAGTGTTCTCGAAGCTACCAGCATGAGTTTGACCAAACTGCGGGAGGCAGTGGAAGACAGGAGTGTCTGGCATGCTCTGGTCCATGGGGTCACGAAGAGTCAGACACGACTAAGCAACTAAACAACAACAACAAACCAGCTTCCACCTTTCAGTGTTTTATCCAATGAATGAAGCCATAGCAATGATGGACGCTGAGGAGAGAGCCTAGTCAATGAGACAAAGAGAAGGCTAGACTGAGACACGCTTTATACAGACCAGGAGTAGCCAATGTGGTGCCTTCCAGATGCTGTTGGATTACAGTTCCCTGAAGACCCTTGGCTTATACTGGTTGAGGCTGATGGGAGTTGTAGTCCAGCATCTGGAGGTGACCATGTTGGCTATCCCTGAGCTAGACTCTGGGCTTTTTATTCTTTCCTGCTGGTCTTCCCTGCAGACCATAGAAAACAATTCAATGCCTACTGCAACTCATTGCAGAATATTTTGGTTATCAAGAAGTCAAAGTTGGAAACAGGAGCCCCGATTGATTTGTTACCTGGTGAAGTTTTAGAGGCACAACTACATAGAGCTCATTCAGTCTCTGCTGCTTCTCCCGCTGATAGGCCTCCAGTTCCCAATCTGCTGCATCTAGGCTGGCTGCTACTACTTTCACCTTAAAAAAATAAAATAAATAAAAATCCAAATTCAAGCAGCAAGACCTTGCCATGAAGTCCTAAATCAGCATGAAAGTGTGATGACTATGAGTTGCAGGGTCCAATCAGTCCATGGTTTCATGAGGAGTTGCTTCACATGATCCTTTTGGGATAGAGAACCATGGGCTGAATCAGAAAGTGTTGCAGTTCTGCCTTTGGCAAAGGACTCGTGTGACGGGTTACCCGCCGTGGCCACATCCCTCAGCAAAACCAGGCACCAAGAAATGGCAGGATTCCTGTTGGGTTGAACTGGAAAGAAGTCACTGTACCTTCTTGGCCAAGAAATCATAGTCTTTTCTGACATTTTCAACAGTTTTCTTTTCCTCCACCAAGGCCTCCTCAATGTCCAGCCGCTTCTCTCGGAGCTGGAGTGTGTTTTCAAAGAGTGCCTCGTCACAATCTGAGAAGAGGAACCGTCCGGATTAAGCAACTGCTTTGATTGGGTTTTTTGTACGCTTTGGGTTCGAGCTCCATGTTGGGCAAACAATTCCTGCATTGCAAGGGATTGGACTGGATGACCTCATGGTCCCCTCCAACTCTACAATTCTGTGATTCTACGCACACCCCATGTACAGCATGGACAACCACCACCACCCCAGGAAACATAAGAATCTGCCTTATACAAAGTCAAAGCATTGGTGCACCTTGCTGAGTATGACCAACTCTGACTGGCAAAAGCTCTCCAGGGTTATAGACTTGGGGAATTCCCAGTTCCACCTGTATTTTCCAGGAATGGAAGCAGAGAACACACAGAGAGATGAACACATCAGCAGTTGTGCTAGTTCACCAGAGCAGGGTTATTGTCACTGACAACAGCTGATCTGATTAGCAGTGTAATGTCAGAAGGTGGGATTTCTGAGATTGCAAGTTCTCCTCCAAGGTTCATGGAGACAGGTTGCTCAGCAATATCTGTGTATAAATATGTTGATTCAGAAACTGATTTACAAAACACAACTCTTGACAAATAGGAATGCATCAGCCCCAGTGTAACAGGCCTGTCTATAGGGGACTTGTGATAATGAATTACCTAAATCTGCATAAACAAAAATAGGTCACTTGTAGCTTTTGTGAAGATTTACAAACCTATTTTTGAGAAATCAAAGTCTGGTAACGGGACATTATTGCTTCATACCATTAGATGGCAGCAAAGAGCTTAGACCAAAATTTGAGCCACTAGGGATTCCTATACAGATAAGTAACACTTAGAAAATTAAAATTCAGTAAGAGTGTGAAATTCTTCCCTGGGGCTCCCCTGTCCTCTCGGGAAAAGACATCAAGGCTTCATATCATACATAAATTGGTATTTGTCTAGTGTTAACTCCTTCATATTGCTAACATACCAGCTACTATATTAGCAAAGCCACGCTAAAAATCCAGAGCTACTGTATATATCATAAATATGAAGGCGGCTGAGCTTCTGGAATGTGGCCTGTTCTTGATATTCTAAAGTTTACATATAAGCAAAGCAGATAGAAGGAGATGGCCCAGACAGTAGCAGCATCTCCTTAAATCTCAAGCGAATAATCTCTTTTCAAAGGCTGATACACAGTCATCTCCAAAGATGAAATGAAACTTGGTATTAGCAGGAGGAGGTGAACATGACTTACTTTTTGGACAAACAGAGTCATCAAAGACTTCATCCTCAGATCCCGACTCTTCCTCATCACTCTCCAAACTAGACTCTTCATCGCTCTCTTCCTCACTCTCTTCATCTTCATCTGGAATAAGAAAGCGCCATTGTCACACAGGCAACTCCTGTTGAAGTAACACAGCCCAGAGAGCAAGCTCCTTCATCATGGGGGCCACCAGGGTAATATTCAGAGAACACAACGCAGCCATTAAAATGGCAAAAGGAAGTGTCCAATACCAGCTGCTAATCACTGATCAGGCAGCACAAAGCAATTTGCAGAACCAACAAAGCCAAGGCAACTCATAGGCTTCTGTTAGAGAGGACTAGATTGAGGCTAAGGCTGAGATTACGGGGTGAATACACTGAGCAGAGGTCACAAGGTGGGACACGCATAGTTTAGTTCTGCCTCCACAGCAATGTAGAATTTGGTAAAAAGGTATACGGGGCAACATCGACATGAAACAGTCTTTCTTACCTCCTTCGCCTTCCACTTCTTTCTTCTTAACACGCTTGATCCTCTTCTTTAGGACTTTGGTGAGGAAATTAGCAAATTTGTTGTTTTCCCCCAAAGACGCTTGGAAAGTGGCATATAGGATCTTCTCTCGTTCCTGAAGCTTTGCAATCTCTGCTTTCTTTTCCTCAATTTGCGTAAGATAGCTATTTAATTTGTGCTTCAAAGAAAGAAAAATAGCATTTAAACTCCACGTGAGCAGCAATGGACACAACTATTACAGTCTGCTTTGCTACTGGGATGCAAGGAGGACTTATCTGTAAGAGAGGACAGAAGCACTTTTATCCCCTGTCTGAAGAGGCTCCTTGGCCAGCTACCTATAGGGCAGCCATTTGGGAAAATCATAGAATTGTAGAGTTGGAAGTAACCACAAAGGCCATCTAGTCTAAACCCCCTGCAGTGCAGGAATCTTTCACCCAATGTGGGGCTTGGACCCATGATCCTGAGATTAAGAGTCTTATGCTCTACCAACTAAGCTATCCTGCCTACAACTCCTTCCACCTGTGCACTTTTTGGGGAGCAGAAGTCTCCACTGATAAGGGCTGTCCCTATCACATCTAGAATGGCCCTTTAAAACCAGCAGAGGAAGGTCTCTTATCAGGAACTGTACAAAGCCTTTTATATTCCATGCATACTTGCATTTCCTCCTCCTCACTGGAAAGGCTGTTGACACGTTCCTGGAGAATGTTCTCATGTTTCTCAAAGTTCTTCAGGAGAAGCAGCTCTTGAAACCAAGTGATGTGGCGTAGGTCAGCAGTTTTCATCATTATGTCCAGTTTCAGTTTTTGGTGACGAAGAAGGCGAAGCTCAGCATCAAAGGTAATCATGAGCTCATGAACCTGTAGAGAGTATTAAGTCAGAAGTAGCACTCAAAAAAGGAGTAGAAGAATAATGTCAACAATACTACTGTATTACATGAACAGTTTTAACTGGGCCTCATTACTAAATTAACAGTTCCCTGCAATATTGTTGTCATTCTAAAATAGTAATCAGTGAGGCTAAAGAACAGTCCGAAGCCATTTCCTTCCAAATTGACATTTGTCCAAAAAAAGGCAAGTATCAACCTAGGAATAAAGTTTTTCGCCTACTTCTGAAGCATGCATTCTGACTGGTGGCTGGGTCAAGAGTATAAATCCTCCCAAGTTCACGCAGTTCACTGATGTGGGATTAAATCAGAGATTTGAACATGAAAATCCACAGAATTTTTCACAATTGCTAACATAGTTCAACTTTACTTTAGAAACTGGATAGGAACGTTACAATCATGATATGCTAAATAAAGGCTAAATACAAAATTCTCCTTGCTTTCAAATTATCATTAGCAGAAGTGGACCAGTTGCCTGACGTATCAAAGTGTGCAAAAATTTGGGACATTTTTATTTTGAGATGCTTTTCCAGCTGGGTGAAAAGGCATTGATTCTGTAGTGTTTTTAAACCTACATTTCATTGCATGTAGTTTCGGTACCGTTTTAAAAGCTATTTTTAGTTGGTTTGCGCAAATTAACTTGAGACCAATAGGAAAAGGGATCCACGAAGGAACAAATTTAAAAGACTTCACTTGGGAGCAGAGTACGCCCAGTCGGCTTTGAAATATTTTCACTTACCCTCTTGACCAAAACCTCTTGCATATAAATGTTCCGAATCTCTGCCCTCTTTTCGATTTCCAGTTCCAAGTCTGTAGGCTCCACTGCCTCAAACTCAAAAGATTTGACTGCCTGCGCTGCAGTTCCAGATGCTATTTTCATCGATTTCAGACTTGTCGACCGCATGGCAGTTTCTATGTCCTTTATTGAAGGGGAACGGTAAAAGCCTCCTCCGAAACCCCCTAGACCTCCGCCCTCTCCTGAAGGAGCTACTGGCACCGTGTCCTTGAGCCTGGCCCGCTCTTCCAGGTCATGTTTGAACTTCATGAGCATTTCAGTGTCATACTGGAACTGTTTCTCTGGAGTCTCTTCAGGAAGGAGTTGGGGAATTGGAGGAACAGGGACGTGTTTGGATGGGTGGAGAGATGATTGGATTTTTTTCAGTTCTTGCACCACACACTGGATCTCTTCAATAATAGCCACCTTGAGGTCTCGGAGGGACACGATCCATTTGTTCATTTCCAGCTTCTTATCGTGTATCTGAAAGGAGGAGGGTTAGAACAAGCTTGCATTGAGGAACTCGCATTACGTCAATATTCATGAACCCGTCCACCAAGACACTCTGCTTCCGCTCTTAGCACTCCCTGAGCAAAATAATTTCAAAAGGAGACTCCAGTGTGAAACTGCTGAATTGCAATTCATCAAAACACTCAAGCCATTTGGGTCTGAATAGAGACAAAAGTTTGCTTTCCAACTACAGATGTTCATTTGCTCAGTATGCCAGAGTGATTATTTTATCATCTATAACTGCTGTTGTATAATGTCACCATATTTATTTTGTATACATTCTAACTGAAATTGAATTGTCACTATCTGTACATTTTGCATTCCATTTCTATCTGATCTCACCACGTACAACCCCCTCCCCATTTTCCCATGTGCATATATACTGCTACAAAAGAGGATCTGAATAAGTAAGTGGACTCTAGTCCATGTAAGCTTATCCCATAATTAAATTTGTTAAGTCTATAAGGTGCTGGAAGACTATTGGGTTTTTTGCTGTAGCAGACTAATACAGCTACCACTCCAGATATTGCATTAAAGATGACTATTTATAGTACAGAGGCAGGATTACATGGGGGGGGGAATGGGGGAATCCTGTATTCATTCATATAGGCACCCTGTTATCTCACTCACCTGCCTCCTTTAGCTCAGTCCTAGAAGCATTAATAAAAATAACTACTACATACCAACCCAGGCCTCAACTTCACACCTGGACTTTGGCCTGCCAGTTGTGGCTCCCTTCATCCAGTTTTCCATTTTCTTGCTCTCCAGGATCAGGCAGCATTTAGTGGGGAGGCTTTTTCTCTAAATATTTTTTGAACTTCTGTGGAACTCAGGCTTCCCCCAAGTCTGCTAATACTTCTGTCTTGTGCATGGGTGATACGATTTGAAGTAAAGAAGCAACAGCACTCAGAAAATTAAATCAGGAATGGGATGATTTAAATAGCTTTTTAAAATTAATTATGTTATGGTTTTATTTGTTGTTTAAACTACTTTTGAGTTATTTCTTACAATCAAGTGGAATATACATTTTATGAAATTATGCAGGAACAAAGTTTCTCTGCCTTCCAGTGCAAATGCTTAGGAGAGGACAGAGGGAATCACACAATCCAAAGGGGGGAGAGAAGCAGAATCTACTTACAGCCACTTCTAAAGATGCCAACTGATGAGTTTTCTTGTCAGCATTCATTCTCATGTGTTCAGGAATTTTGTAGTTAGTAGCCGTTTTCAATTTGAAGTCCCCCATATTCTGTTGGGCCTCTTTGATATTTTCTACATCTTGGGGGTCCTCATAGTCATCGCTTGGTTTGCTCTTGAATCTGACAAGCATTGGTGAAGATAAAAGCTATCAGTCCAACAGGCAGCATCAACTCACTCACTTTATAGTGTTTCATTCATCAAAGAAGCTGTGGCACTGTAACTGCCCAGCTCTCATCTCATGCGGAGGCAGCAGGAAACAGACTGAAACCCTTTTATACTGAAGGGAGGAAATACAAATGGCAACAGGGAAGAGTGCTGTTGTACTGAGCTCCTGCTTCCGGGCTCTCCATAGGCATCTGGTTGGTCTGTAAGATGTTCTAACTCCCCTTCCTACTAATTCACATGGAGGCATTACTGGAGAACAGACCTAGAAGAGGACTAAGCCCAGAGGGGATGGTTTGCACCAGCCTGACCCTTGCCAGGTCTGCTCTTCCAGTAAGCAAGTCTGTCTTTCTTGATGTAATTGCCACCTGCCTGCAAGTAAGAGGTTTGTCTAGCTGATTGCCGGGGGGGGGGGGGTGTTTGGATGCTGGCTGAGTGGATACAGCTAGGCTGTGGGTGTGGTCAAGAGCCTGCCTTATAATAAGGACAGGCTTTGCCACTAGCAATGGGGTCACTCCTTTGGGTCTCCACTTTGAGGAGGTATGAGTCCATATACCACTCCACATGGTCCTACCGTTATACCACATCATGATAACATTTTGAAATTTTGAAGTAATATGGGCCAGGTATGACTACTATTTGTTTATCAACAACATCCATCAATGATGAGCATTTAAAAAGTCCTTTGTTTTCTTCTTTTTATTCTGACTCACAGTTCATCCCATTCATTCCTTCTTTGTTGGATCTTAGCTTTGGCTCTGTCTGCTTTTTCAATAATTTTTCTAAGTTTCTCCATTCGATTTTCAACAATGCGGCTTGCCACCGTGTGTGGGTGCCCCTTTTTTTGCAGCTTTTCTGAATCCACTTCTTCTTCACTAATAGAAGCCTGGGTTGGAAATTTTGGCTCTGCACAAATGCGAAGAAAAATAAAGTAACATGCTTCTGTCCATATCATCCTCACAGGGTTGTCTTAGTAGAGTACTGCATTTACACCCACTTTGACAAAAATGTTGTATCATGGGAACAGTTTCCAAATTCAGCTTGCTGAATACCAAACTGGTGCTGGCCCCAAGGGATTTCCTCGCGAAAGTAGGTTTTAAATGACATCTTCTGATATTTCCTGCTCTTTGCGAAGGCTAGTGTGGTAGCATCTGAGGAATTCTCACTATGGCCCCTCAATGTTGTAAAATGCAAAGCCACCTAAGCTTCTGTGTGTAGGAGGGACTTTGCCCCAGATTTTATCTTGTGAACCACCCTGAGATCTTTTGATGAAAAGCGATATATAACTCTAATAAATAATGCCTAAAACATTATTTCAGCATTAAATGTTAAGAGAAGCCATTGTAATAATCCTTCTATATAAAAACACCACCACCTTTACTGGTTGCCTTCAACCTAAGCTAAGGAACGAATTCTCCACTTTTCTGGCCGGTGAGAGTTCCAGGGGCAACACTTTATAAGTTGGCTTCCTTTGAAGGAGAGAGCACTGGAGGCGCACAACATACATTTGGTTTATTAACAAACAGACAAAAAGCCCCTAAATGGAGGCAAGCAGCAAAGCCATTGCCTTATTAAATAGCAGATCAGCTACCCCACATCACATCACCAGAGAGAGGCAACCTTTATGTGAACATTCTTTTAGCCTTCTGCTAACTTTGTGCTTCTCTCTGCCCTTCTTTTTCTATACACAGACAGACAAACATACATACAGATTTTACATTAGCACCCTCATCTTAGCTGGTGTGTGTGTGTCACTTTCTAAACTCTGACAGAATTCAAACACTCCAGCAATTTCCTAGCTCCCATGGAGTAACTATCCATTAGACATTCCGGACCACTTAAAAGACATTTCCCTTAAAAAATAAAAGCAAGGTTTCCTAGGCACTGTTAATAATAATTATTATCTACTAGCCTGTGATATACAGTCCCATGACAGTGTTCCACATGTGTTAGCACTATATAGAAAAACTAAATAAAAAATATGGGTACGATCGCACAGCTGGCAAAGAGTCACATATTGGCATGGAGTCTGCCCTCAATAAACACATACAGTACAATTTTGACCGGACAGCACTTTCTTATAAATCAGAGTGCTAAAAGCTGACAAGACAAAGGCAGCTCTACCATCTGCTCTGATAAACTGCAAACCCAGTATATTTCTGAAGAACCAGCGACCTACTTGCTTAGGCACTTGCTACTCCACTATATTAAAAAAAAAATCACAGTATTTCACCAAGAAGCAAAATAAAGTATTGTGCTTGTGGAGGAAACTGTTGACATTCAATGCAATGTGGGGAACTCTGTTTTTGAGCAGCGTTAGGGAACTGCTTTTTGAAATATAGTGCGAGGATACCATCTGACAAACCCTCTGGTATAGAACCATAACAAGTAATATAAGATGAAGGCTGGGGAAAAAATATTATCTTATGGTTGTGATAGTTCTGCCACAATGTTTTCAAACGCTTACTGGCATCCTTTTGGGTCTCTGTCCTTTGGTCTGTGTCTTTTCCTTTATGGTCGTACTTGCTCTGTCTTCTTTTCGCTGCTTGACTTTGTTTACTGACATTGTACAATTTTTCTGAGATTGACAACAGTCTGTACGTGGAGATTCGGTGGTTGCTTCTCATGGCACAGACCACAATGGTGTCATATTCCAAACTGGCCCGAAACCTGAGGAATCAAAGCAAAGATCTAATTTTTTAAATGCCACATTTTCTGCTCCATAAAGTTGTCTCGGCAGGGATCAGCCAAGCAGCAACAGCCTCTATGCCAGGGTCTACAAACCATTTTTCTGTCAAAGGCAGCATTCCCTCCAGGTTAATCAGTCAAGAACTACATGGCAGCTGCTGGGAAGGGCTAGAGCTAAAATTAGATGGAGTTTGCAGCATTGCGTAGTTCTCTCTTTCTCTGTGCCACCCAAAGAACTCCCTTCCTGGTCTGTAACTGTCAGCTCAGATCCCTTTAGCATTTATATGCAAAGTTAGGGATTCTTTGCCCCAGTGTGCATCATCACTTTACACTTGCTTACAAGTGTATCAACCTGGTGTGAAGCAGCTGTGAATAAGGCAGATTTTATGTTAGTGAACTTTAGGAACTTTAGGAAACGGGCTGAAAATAAAAAACAAAAGGTATTTGTATAATAAAGGTAAGGATCCCTGAGAGCTAAGTCCAGTCGCAGCCGACTCTGGGGTCGCGGCGCTCATCTCGCTTTACAGGCCGAGGGAGCCGGTGTTTGTCTGCAGACAGTTTTTCCGGGTCACGTGGCCAGCATGACTAAGCCGCTTCTGGCGCAACGGAACACCGAAACCAGAGCAGCGCACGGAAACGCCGTTTACCTTCGCACCGGAGCAGTACCTATCTACCTTCATACAAATCTATGGGTGTCCTTGCACTTGGAATACCATGTACAGTTCTTGATGTTGCACAGCTGGAAGAGGGTCAGAAAAAGGACAACCAAAACGATGAAGGGGATGCAGCTTAGGTCTTTTTAGTTTAGGAAAAAAGGAAACTAAGGGGCGACATGATAGAGCAGGCTTCCTCAACCTCGGCCTGCCAGATGTTTTGAGACTACAATTCCCATCATCCCTGACCACTGGTCCTGCTAGCTAGGGATCATGGGAGTTGTAGGCCAAAAACATCTGGAGGGCCGAGGTTGAGGAAGCCTGTGATAGAGGCACCTAAAATTATGCCTGGTGTGAAGAAAGTGGACAGAGAGAAGTTTTTCTTTCTCTTCCATAACACTAAAACCGAGTGAGGGTCATCCAACAGAATGGTGGGAGATTCGGGACAGACAAAAGGAAGCATTTCTTCACAGAGAACATAGCTAAACAATGGACTCTGCTACCACAAGTTGCAGCAAAGGCACAAACTGGGTGACTTTAAAAGGGGATTAGGCAAATTCATGGAGAATAAAGCTACCAATGGCTATCTGTCTTGATGGCTATATATTGCCTCTAGGATGAAAGACGGTATACCTCTGAATACCAGCTGCTGGGCAACAGGAGCAGGAGAGTCCCCAGATCCTGCTGCTCTGCCTCCCATAGGCATCTGTTTGGCTCCTGTGAGAACAGAACACTGGGCAAGAGAGGCATCTGGTCTAATCCTACCCCGTTCTTCTCTTATGTTCTCAAGCAAAATGAGTAATACCAGAATGACTTCAGTTTTCAAGGGAAAGTTTCCAGCTTTTTAAAAATAAAACAAAAACTTTGCTTAAATATAACATCTTAGCAAATGAAGAATGTCTCCCAAAATTTGAGGACAACGGGAAATGGCACTTGCCGATTCTCTACTTTCTGCAGCCCAATGCGATGTTTCTCCTGTTCCCAGGCCAATTCCTTTAGGACAAGCCGGATCTTATGCGCGGTCTTTCTGTCCATCTCTGCACGGATTCTGCGGTCCAACTCAAATTGCTGCGTATTGAAAAAGGAGCGTTTCATTTGATGGTGGTTACGGTCATGGTTTGTTCATTTGCTGGATGTCTATTCTCCTTCTCAGCAGTGCTCCCGGATGCTGGGATGTGATGGATCATGATGGTCCAAGGCAGAGATGGGGAAACTGTGGCCCTCCAGATGTTGTTGGACTCCAGTTCTCATCAGCCCCATCGAGAATGGCCAATGGTATGGGATAATGGGAGCTGAAGTCCAAAAGCATCCAGAATCAGAGGTACCCCAGCATCTGTTTACAAACAAGGGGTGGCCCATCCCATTTCATCACCTGAGGCAAAATGGGACTCTGCTGTTCCATGACCATGTTGCCCACCCCCTATTTCGCCATCACCAGAATGCACCTCTTCTCCTGAATAGTTCTACCAAGGGCAAGATGTAATTTCTGCTCCTGTGCTACATAGATTGTGATGTTATTTTGATCTTTTTGCAAGCTGGTTTTTAGAGCCTTTTGGAGCTATAGAGTGAGAGAAGCGTATTCTAAACAAAATAAATGAAGAAATAAAAATACTGGTGAAATCCTAACTGCCATCAGCAATTTGCCTAATTTAGGAACAGCCAGTCAGCAACCTTAACAATATTTTAAAGCAGTCATAGTCGAGCCTCAGCTAATTCATTTCTCTACTTCCAAACTGTTCCCAATGATGTCCACTTGTAAGATTCACTGTTCAAAGCAATCACCTGAATGTATTAGTCAATCTCTACATATACATGGAACCAAAGCTAAATCTTGTAGTTCTTAATCTGCTTTACACTTTACATGCATGGTAAAATGACATGAATACCCTCCTAATTTACTGGTATTCGGTGTTCCAACAAGCTGTTCCTTGGGGAGTACTGGACTAAATACTTTAACCATGGGGAAAAGGTTGGAACCACCTTTATAGGACAAAGCAATTCAAACACACTGTGAATCTGAAAACTATCAAGATAAACTACGAAATGCATAGAAAGCACAACTATAAAAAGCAAAACAGGCATTTTTCTTTTTAAGAAAATAGCAGGCTTCGTTGTTTCAACTATTGGGAGTGAACACGGAAGCAGTGGGCCCACTTTCAGCTGGTTGTTTTATTTAAATTGCAAACTGACCTGAGCCCTTAGCATAAATACCCTAGTAAAACAAAATAAACATTGACCCATTACAAAAATACAAGCCACACTAAGGCATTAATTTGTACCTCTAAAGAAAGAAAAACCATACATACTGCTCTGTGAAGTTGCATGTGGGATGGCAGCTGACGGTTCATTTGAAGCAAATTCTGAAACTCCTCCCTTAGAGTGCTTAGTTCTTGTCTCTTAATAGATTTCTTCTGTTCTGCTATCCTCATTATATAATCGTGTTCCTTTTTTTGCTTCGCATTTTCAATACTAGAAATATGAGAAAATAAAGAGAAGATGGAGCAGTTTAAACCTAAACTCTGGAAGTGGGCCTACAGAAAAGAATAACATTTCATTATGTAATAAGGGTTTTTTACAGCAAAAATTACACAGCTTGGGGTCCCCTGCAACTCTACAATTCTATGATTCTATCTACAAAATATCCAGTTTTGCAATATTTGGATAATAAGCCTCTTTGGGACAGTGTTGTATAAACAAATAAATTTGTATAGAACTGAACTATTAGATGGAGCTACCAAATGAATGATTAAAAAGCTGACAGAAGCTGCACCACAATTATCCTGACAAAGCCAACAGTGGCTTTTGAGGTGGGCTGGGTGGGTCTGAAAGCTTTATGCATTAAGGAACTGTTTCAACAGAGCAGAGAGTGCTTATCTAGAAGTCATCTAGATCTGACCTCTTAATTCATACTGGCATCCCAGGCACCAATCGAGAAATGAGAGAGATATTTGAGGGGAATAGCTTTAGCAACATGACTTGTCAATATGCCACACTGGATGAGGGTGCACTGCCATTTCAAAGAGGCCATTAGTGAAACCTGTTCCTCATGAGGGATTCAGAAGTAAAGTCTATCTTTCAGCAGCTTTACCTGTAGGCAGTAGGATCCTCAATATCTTCTGCTGGTCTCTCTCTTTCAAGGCCTCTCTGTGGAAGAATGTAATCAAACAATTGATGGCACTGTCAACAGTTGGCATGGCTGTTCCTGAAGTTAGGTTGGAATTGCATGCAGCTCCTCACAGTACTATAATTCATATAGGACATAAAAGACACAATGGTGTCTTTCTAGCAATCTAGCAACCTCCCTGCTGCCCAACCCTAAGGAGACTGGAAAAAAAATGTTCATCAAGGAGAAACAGCTGAAAGTTTCCCAATAATTGTGCACTTAAAATATGAAGTAAGGCCTATCTTCCTGGCTGTTACTTACCCTTGGAGAGGGCACCTTAGCCTTTAGCACTTTCTTAACCTCCTCAGCTGAAAGGATGTTATAAGTAAAGATATTGCCATCTGCTCCACAGGTCACAAGAAACCGATCATCAAAACTGGGACAGATGCCTTGAATTTGCCCATAGTTATTATCATGCATGCTGTATGACCAATATCCAGCTATATTGTCCTTTGAGAGCCATTTCTCATGGAGAGCGTAGATCCGTACTGCTCCATCCTGCATGCCACAGATCATTAGCAAGCCAGTGGAGCTGTGGAAGTAATCAAAACGTAAACAGCTGAGGATGATTACTTTCTCCACAATGCCCTGCGAAATGGATATCTAAGGGAGCAATCCAAACCCAAGATCTACTGGTATGTGCAAGTTAGGATTCAGAAATTCAGGCTCAGACAACCGATTCCTAGCACAGCCAGGCTAGGTTGAATCCTGGTTCAACCAAAGATATGCCAGCATAACTCCCACATCCAAGCTCAGCCAGGATTTAGTCAGCTGAGCCAAGATGGACATATTTTACATGGCTGTAAGCCCTGGGTGGTGCTGTGGGTTAAACCACAGAGCCTAGAACTTGCTGATCAGAAGGTCGTTCGTTCGAATCCCCACGATGGGGTGAGCTCCCGTTGCTCAGTCCCTGCTCCTGCCAACCTAGCAGTTCGAAAGCACGTCAAAGTGCAAGTAGATAAATAGGTACCGCTCCAGCGGGAAGGTAAACAGCATTTCTGTGCGCTGCTCTGGTTTCCCAGAAGCGGCTTAGTCATGCTGGCCACATGACCCGGAAGCTGTACGCTGGCTCCCTCGGCCAATAAAATGAGATGAGTGCCGCAACCCCAGAGTCGGTCACGACTGGACCTAATGGCCAGGGGTCCCTTTACCTTTACCTAAGCCCTGAAAAATGGGCGTTCTGGGGAAGTGGTGGGATGGTACCAGGCAGAAGGACTTGAATCCTAACTTCTATTCAGTTCAGCCACATAACCTGCCAGCTTGGCAGGACTCATGCTGTTATGAAGACAGTGTATGTCAAGGTCTGTTTTTCCGTTGCCAGGCTTACACCAGCTGAGCCAGCAGTAGTCCTGCTCTCGAACAGAGTTTGGAACAGCTCAATTGAAGGCAGTGTAAGTTCCACTTGCCTCCAATATTTAGTATTGTTCTGTGAATCCTAAGAAGGCCCAGGTAACGTGAGGCATCCAAAGTTCTAGTAGGAAAAAGGTAATGCTGGCAGAGGTGTTTTCTGAAGCTTTTGACTAATGGATTGAAAAAATATCACAGTGTTTCCTCAATTCTAAGGGAAGCATACCATTTGGGCTTGCATCCACACTATACACTTAAAGTGCATGGTTTTCTCCAAATAATCCTAGCAACTGTAATCACCCATCACATAGCTACAATTCCAAGCACCCTTCATAAACTACAGTTCCCAGGATTCTCGGAGGGGGGATCTATGTGCTATGAATGCATGGTGTGACTGTGACCTGTGTCACATTTTAGGATTTTACCTTAAATGGGTATATGAGCAGAACAGGTGGGTTGGAGGATTCTGGAGCCTTTAACATCTCTTAAATCCAGTTTGAGTTACACATAAACTGATGCTTATGAACTCTTTGCATACAAACTCACTGCTAGCTTCAACACTTTGACTTCTGGCTCTTCCTGGCATCAGCATTGGCCAGCGGCGGAGCAAGCCGATCGGACGCCTGGGGCGGCACGGATGCCCTATGCCAAGGGGTGAGGCTAGCCGCCCACGGAGGCACCATGGGGCCTCCGAGGAGTCTGTTTGCCTCATCCCACTCAGCCGCCCTACAGCTGAGGGGGAGGTGGTGGGCGGACCATTTGGAGCACCCAAGCCACCTCATCACTCCCAGGAGACACATGTGACTTGGGCACGCTGCAGGCCCCGCGGTGAGTGCCACCCAGCATTATGTCACCCCCCCTCACTGGTGGCACCCGGGGTGGACCGCCCCTACCGCACCCCTCTTCCTCCACCCCTGGCGTTGGCACAGATGGACAATGGATTCATTATTTTCAACAGGGTGGCTACCACTGACAAAAGCCAATGCACCGCAATGGCCACACCATCCCACCGTCCTCTCAATCCCTTGTTTCTCTCTTTTCCATATACATACATACAAAAGGGTATCTGAATTCATCCCAACCATCACTTCATTCACCCTTGCATCTTGGATCTTGCACCTGGGGCCTGCTCTACCCTGATCTCTGCAGAGAAGAGGCAGCTCCTCCACGAGGATACACATTTAGTAGGGGACCAGCTAACCCAGTGCTGCAACAACCCACCTCTATATCTGCATGCATGTAGTATACATATACATAGCATATACATTATGAGGGTGAAAAGAGAACCATTGGGTCAGTGGGAAGGGGCCCCCGAGCTACTCTGGAGCCACATTTGCTACTGGATGTATGGAAATCATTTCAATCTTTTAAAATCCAAATGCTTGGCTTTTATAAAGAAGGGTATGAAAAGGAGAAATTTATTTCTTGCCCTGCTATATGCCCTAACCAGGATGCAAAAGTAACAGCTTAAACTAATTCAGTATGTCTCAGTATGTCTAATAGTATTCCATAATATTTCCTCAACATACTACTTTCAGGGGGTGACAGTCATGGAGTGCTAACCAGACTGCCATTATATCAAGAGATCAGCTCCTGCAAATATATACACGGCATACAATCTATAAAAGAAAAACAAACAAACAAAGACCAAGTGTTTCACACTTATTTTAAAAACCCAACTCAACCCATGAAACCAACCAACATACTGTAAAAGCTGCATTACCAAAACACAATCCGTCTAATGGCAGTGTCTTCTGTATCTTCTAAATGAATATAGGCAAAAGGTTCATCTTTCCGAGCCTCAGGTTCTTTGTCGCCTTGCTGACGAGAAAATGCACAGTGGAACAGGAATCCAGTATCATACTCTCCCTAAAGGAAACAGTGAGTTATGAAGAGTTGTTAACTTTATTTCTTGATTCCTTCTTTCTCCTCTTCTCCCCCCCCCCCCATTAATCTGTTACAGTTTGGAAAATTCCAGACTAAAACTTCCTCCTTTCCCAAAAATGGTTTCATCATCAGTTGTATTTCATACCATACTATAGGCAAACACACTTCATTTCTATCTCCAGGTAAAGGGCTTCCTTTGAAAAATAAGCCTGCAATTCTGCTTAAAAATTAAACAAAAGATGGGGAACAGCACTAGAATGAAAAGAAACAAGAGTGAAAACTATGCTTGCATGTTTAAGACACATCCAGAATCAGCATGACATTCTTGCATCTTGTAGTTTTTACCTTTTGCATTTTACCATTTAGATTTTAATCTCGCTTTGCATCTGAGGTTGGCAGGAAGAGTGCCAATCAAAATTGACAATGGGAGGGATGCCACTACTGAAGTCCTGAGAGATTGCTATGCAGCCCTCTATGTGAAACAAAAAAACTCAAACCACTTTCAAATAGAACTGAGACCAAGGTGAAAGCGTACAATGTGAAAAGCCAGCTCCTTCGGCCATTTAAGCTGCATTCTCATTATACTATAAAAGAAGGGAGAAACTACTCTCCTCATTTTGTTACCTGCGAGAAAGAAAGATTGGCTTACCAACGACAACCAAAATTTCCCTGGCCGAGAGTAAAACCCACACAGGATGGGGCTTGGAGTCTCTGGGATGTAGATTTCAGGCAGTGGTTCCTCTTCCACAGCTTCTTCCTGTGGAAATTCAATTTCTTCCATTGTTTTCCCCTCATCCAGTTGCTGCTTTATCCACTGCTGCTTTGCTTTCTCCTTCTCTATTCTCACTTTTTCTCTGCGTTCAAGTTCCTCTTCAAGCTTTTTAAAAGAGCCAGTAAAAAAAGAGCATTAAAAAACTACTGTGTTGATCACACCAAAATCCCTTCTAGTCCAGCATCCTTATCCCACTGGCAACGTCTGCAAAGCCCACAGATAGGACTTCATTCACTAACTGTGTGTGTGTGTGTGTGTGTGTGTGTGTGTGTTGCTTAGTTTTATCTGTTTGGGAATTGAGAGCAACAGCCCACATCTGTCATTGTTCTTTAGCGGTTGGCATTCAGAGGCAAGGCCTCTCTGATCCTGGAGGCAGACACATTCATAATCAACACGTGCAGATCCTAATACTTTAGGAAATAATTTCTGCTGGGCTACAAAGTCCTTAGCTGCAGTCTTACATCCAGGACCACAATAACTAACGAGCTCAGCATTTCTTACTTCAGTATTCTATCTTTCCTTAGGATTGCATTTCCTTATTTGCATGTGGTGCTTTACCAGAATCCGAGATTTTATGCTGCAGAAACGAAAATATTGTGTAGGCAAGTCTTTTATTCTATAGGTCGTTGCTGCGTTGTAATTCCCAGGGTCTGGAGCAGGAACCTGAACAACAATGCCGTTCTTGCAGAAAATAAGTAGCGTGCTCTCAGGCTACGGAAGAAGGACATGAAACACAAGTGTCAGGCACGTGTATGGTGCTGAGTTTTGACGATGATGGTGAAACATTCTTATGTTCTTAAAAATAGGTCAGAGCTCAGGGACAACTGTTGCCAAAATGAAACACAAATTTTGTTGTAAACAGGAGGGTATGGAAGCGGCAGATCACCCACCACTTCCCTGATGGCTCATGTTGGCCAAAGTGAGAGGTGCAGAAAGTGGGCATTATATATTTCTCATGCAGATTTTGAGATACTTTAAATTTCACCCATTGCTGCCAAAGTGGGGTGGGTGGGGGTGGGAATTAGTTACCCCAGCTCCAGGTTGGCATAGAAAGGGAGTTGAATCACTGGGGCATTCCCAAAGAACAGAGGGACCTTGGACCCAGTCCCTGCCCTGCCCCAGAAATGCTTCATGGGAGCGGAGTGTTAAATGCCAGTTACTGATGACAACATAACCACCAATGGATAAACACAGTATTGCAATGTGTTACAACACAAATCATGAGATGCAAATACTACGAAAAACACCGCTACTCACATGAGAAAGAGGAGACCACTGCAATGCCTGAACAGGCCCTGGGACAGAGAGGAAGCCAATTGGCTCATATTTCTCTTCAACGTTAAAGAAGAACACAGTTTTATCGTTACTCTGGGAAGGAAAAGACGGAAGAATGAATAAAGCCATGCATTCCACAAGAGTAGCCATGCTAGTCTGCTGCTACAAAGAACAGAGTCCCACCACAACACAATCCTCTGTTTTAGCATCAACCTTGATATACAAAAGCTGCACCTAGTGTTATAAGGATGACAAGGAACAATTAATGAGTACTCTGTGGGTTCGGTCAGTCAGCCAGCTACAAATTCACCTAACAGTTACCTCGTTCAACCCACATTTTACCAACTTCCTCGTGAGAATATCATGGGGGACTTTGTCAGAAGCCTTACTGAAATCAAGATAAACTATGTCCACAGAATTGCCCTGATCCACCAAGTGTCTCATTCCATAAAAAGAAAAAAAGGGGGGGGGGGGAGAAATCAGATTGGTCTGGCATGACTTTTGAGAAACCCATGCTGGGTCTTAGTAATCGTAGCATTCTTATCTGCTCTAGTAAATCATCATCCAAGTATTCAGTCTGGCTTGGCGATCTATAGCCAATACCCACAATAAGGTCAGTAATGAATCTAATTAAGAGAAAGGGCTTTAAAAAACTTTTAAAAATCAAACAATTCTTACATAAGAAGAAGATATGGTTTAAAGCACAGAACATATACAAAAACACAACACTGATGATTTTAACACGTAAAATCAAATCTAAAACCTTTCCATGAATCCTTAAGGAACAAGCCTTTCTTTTAAAGTCTCAGCCAAATGTTCTGTCTGAGCTGGGCCTCAAGGGAGCAGAGAAGAAGCTAAGATGATGTGAGAAGCAGAGGTGTCAAAAAATCTCCTGAATAATTCTCTGAACTGACTCATTATACACTGAAACTTCTATGGATCAGCAAAAATCTCTCATTTCAAAAAGGTCTTGGACCTTAATTCTTAGGTAATGAACAATCTGAAGTTCAGTTTGATCATCTACATCTCAGCATCTGCAGCAGTAAATTTCCACTAACATTCAAAACAAAACAGTTTTTAGGTTTGGTTGAAACATACCCCTGTGGCAAGCAATTCTCCATTACGCTCATAGGCCAAAGCTGTTACTATAGTAGTATGAGGTTTGAATGCCTGTTTCAGACGCAAGGCTGCAGGCGCTCCTTTGTCCCGTCCAGATACAACAGGAAGTCCCTTTGGATCAAAAAGTTCAATAACGCGTACAACGCCATCTTGAAAACCTACAACCATTATGCCTTTCTTGGGATTTACCTTCAAGAAAACAGAATAACATTGCGATTAAGAGCTAATTTAAACCCTGCCCTATACATCGTCTCCTAAATCTATGTAACGTATGTAATTGTTTGTACAGAGGGAAAATAAATCATGTTGTGAGTAGCATTTTCTTCTCAAATACCAATACTAAACTATTTTCTTTCACTGTCACCGGAAAACTCGGGAGGGGGCGCAAAAAACAAAATCCGTAAAAGTTAAATGCTTGCCAAATAATAAATATGAAAACCCATCAAAACAAAACTGACACTCTCAGATGTTATGGACTACAACTTGCATTCACCCCAGCCAGCAGATCTCTGCAGCTCAGAACATCTGGAGGACATCAGTCTGTGAAACTAGAGGAACAGGAATGAAGAACAATCCAGACAACCTGCTCCTCAATCTCATTATGCTCCATCTTAAGAGATGGGCAGTATAAACCCTAAGCCATTTGTACATTAAAACAGCTAGGCTCCAGCCATGGATGTCCCCATTCCGTCTTGCACTATCATCCACATACTTCCTCTTTCTATCTTGCACTACTTACCACGTTTGGTGCCCAGACCATTGCTGTTCCTCCCTGTTTAAACTTCATCTCAGTCAACTGCACATTGTCAATGAAATCAAAGACACGAACTGAACCTGCGTTAGATGGTTAACGGGATCAGGATAAGAAGGAGGCTAGATCTCCGTTGCTTTCTAAAATTTAAGCCACACATTTTACATGGGGGCACTGAAGAAACAAAGAAACTACACCATTACAAGTGATTTGTGGATTATTCCCCAAACGTGTCTACTTAACGTAACTAATTTTAACCTTGAAAACTGAGTGTGGGAGGAGTCAGAAGGAAAAAGTTGTGTACTTACGGTCAAGACCAGTGGTGGCCATGATATAGGTGACTGGAGATACACACATGGCTTCTATCTTTCCTGAATGAAAAGTAAAGAGGCATTCTGGATCATGAGTCTACAGGGGGGAAAGAAATAAAATGGGTTTTTTTTCAGAGGCCTGTTTGTAAAAGTATTTTAAAGGTTTTGTGTAACAGGGTCACCTAGGGACATATCATTAAAACCCCTCTGAAAATTTGATCTCTAAAATGCATTGGACATTCAAACTGGGGTTCCTAGTTTTCAATCTAGGGCACAAATTGAAGATCAGATAAACAAAGACAAAAAACACTGATATCTGTTCATGGTTTTAAACAGTGCTCTTTTTCTTTTTAGAAAAAAAAGTTGCTGGTGCTCACCATGAAGTTATTACAGCACGTGCCACACTTTTAACATTTGGGGGGGTGCTGGTACTACACACCCTTGAGTACCCCCAGAAAAAGCACCAGTTTTAAATCAGTATACTTTGTATTTTTAAGGAGGAAGCATCAGTGGTGCCTTATATCTGTTCTTTTGTAGACCTTGCTTGTTGAACGCTTAGGGCCAAGCTAACAAGACATGAAAGATCTGACCGGATCTCCCGCTATGTTTTTCTGTTCCTGAAAATAGCCATTAGGAAGCCCAGCTTGGATTGGAGCCAAATTACATCCACAGAAACAGCGTGAAGTCTGGGAGGGGGGCTTTAAATACAAAAGAGGGAAAAGTGGGTGCCTCACCTTGCATGAGTACTTTCCACTGAGGCAGCAGCACCATTGGAACCACAAACAACTAGTACTGACATTTTTGAGACCATCTTTTTCAAAGTAATAAACTACAGAAGCTGCACATCTTTTAAAGATAAAATATTGACTTCTATTTAACTATCAGGTATAACTCAAGTACAGTGGAGGAATGACTGAGAGGGGAAAGCAGGGGAACAAAACAGAAAGGAAAACTTACAACATTTGTGAAACTCAAATCAAGCTTCCAGATGGCTCCATTGGCATCCTAGAGAAGAAGAAAAACACACTTAGCTTTTGGCTATCACTTCAAACAGTATTTACATCCCTTTCCGAAACACACTGGCTTGGATTCAGAGAAATTTAGCTGCACTTTCCCAAGCAAATCAACAACTAACTTGTCCCACGTCACTGTTTTTAATTTTTTTGAAATCATACACAGCAGGCACAAGGAGGCCCGACTAGGACAACGGTGCACGAGGGGCTTAGCCTTTTCTCCCTGCCAACAACAATCAAGATTCCCATCCCTGTAGCAACTATTCTTACATCCTAGTGGTGCCAATGCGAGGTTCCCCCTTAGGGTTAACAGGAACTATATGAAAGGAAGTGAGAACTGAACGCTCAGCCTTGCCCTTCCTCCTAGCTGCAAGGTCTGGAATAAGATTCATTCATGCCCCTGAAGTTTTATTCCTTCCTTCCATTTTTATTTTTTGTTTTGCCCGACAGTGGTACTTTCCTAGTTTGGTGGCTGGTTTTTTGCTTTAGCTTCAAATGTTGCCATGACATCATCACATCCTACACATGAAAAAGGGTTGTGTGCATCACTGAATCAGGGCACACATTCTCTACTGACTAATGCGCGTCCTAAAAGATAACAGCAACACAATCCTATATACCACAGGGGAGGACTAAAACAATGCTTACCTGAGCATACCAAAATGGTTCTCCACGTTCATGAATTTTCACCATATAGTTCAGATTTACATTTTTGCCAACTAAAAGTTCGTTAATGTGTTCCACCTCCAGCAGTCCAGTGTCATCCACAATATCAGCTGTATCTATTGTTTCAAAATCCCAAACCTTCATGGAGTTTGGAAAAGAAAATATTATCTATTGTTGCCAAATGCCAGTACCAATGCATTAAATGTGAAAATTTGGCTAATATGAGCAAACCTAAGGTTAGGAGCAGTTCAAAAGGATTTTTCATTCACATGTAACTGATGGGAAGGGATAGTTTAAACCTGCCTCTCCCTACCGTGCTTCTTACAAAAAATGGCCTCTTGAAGATGCTATCTGGATTTCAAGGGAGGCCTCAGCTGATGTCACTGGTGTCAACTGATGTTTCAAATGCAGAAAGCAGTTTCAGAGAGGCAACTTTTGTCAGGACTGTGACAGGGAGAAAGTTAAATTTCCCCTCCCTCCCCCATATTTCTGAGGCTGTGCAGGCTCTACAGTTGCCATTTACACAAGAAACAACAGGCACATTAACCATCACATCTATTTGGGTTCTTTTCACTGTGCATTCTTTATTATGCGTGCTCATGTCACTATTGGGGTAGTCATAGGTCATCCCGCATTCAAAACTATTTGTGCCTGCAAAAGTTTTAGGGTAGCCATAACCGCTTTAATCCCAAGCTATGCACTTCCTGCAACTTCCTATTTCACAACTGCCCTGGTGGGTTTCTTGTCTCACTTTTGTTGTGCTATTGCCTCTCTGACAGCCATCATGTGGTCCAACTTGGGAAGCATCACAGAATTGATCAAGAAGGGTAAAACCATCATTAATGCGCTACTATTGTGTCAAGAACATGTTACAGAATACACCATCAATCAAATAAGATATGTTTAAGTTCGAAAGAAAGCCTTAGCAAATGAAGAAGGAAGCAATGTTTTCATATGAATAGCATTTCTCAAATCCAGGGGTCAGCAAACTTTTTCAGCAGGGGGCCGGTCCACTGTCCCTCAGATCTTGTGGGGGGCTGGACTATATTTTGAAGGGGGGAAATGAACCAATTCCTATGCCCCACAAATAACCCAGAGATGCATTTTAAATAAAAGCACACCATGTAAAAACACCACACAGGCCCCACAAATAACCCAGAGATACATTTTAAATAAAAGGATGCATTCTACTCATGTAAAAACATACTGATTCCCGGACCGTCCGCGGGCTGGATTTAGAAGGCGATTGGGCCGGCTCCGGCTCCGGCTCCTGGGCTTTAGTTTGCCTACCCATGCTCAAAGGTGTTGAACACATTACATGATGGATTATGCTGCCCTCTTTTCCCAAAGACAGGAAATGCAAACAGGTCTTTGTCAGTACACAAGTCTGCTCCAGGCCAAGACAGGAAATAGATTAAGGAGGAAAGAGGTGACTAAAGGGCAAAGACCTGTCTGCACTTCCTGTCTTTGGGCACAGGAGGGCAAGCTTAACTCACTACCTGTTTGTGTAGGTACTCTGATTGTGAAATAACCACCCCAAGCACACTTATAATAAATCTCATTCAGTCTCAGCACCAGGTTAATGAAATATTCCAGCAGGAATCTCATTAGTGAAAACCAGTGGTCACTGTTAATAAAAAAGGTAAAGGACCCCTGGACGGTTAAATCCAGTCAAAGGAGACTATGGGGTTGCAGTGCTCATCTCGCTTTCAGGCCAAGGAAGCCAGTGTTTGTCCACAGGCAGCTTTCCAGGTCACATGGCCAGCATGACTAAACCGCTTCTGGCACAACGGAACACTGTGGCGAAATCCAGAGCGCACAGAAATGCTGTATACCTTCCTGCCACAGTGGTACCTATTTATCTACTTGCATTGGTGTGCTTTCAAACTACTAGGTTGGCAGGAGCTGGGACAGAGTAACGGGATCTGATTCCATTGTGGGGATTCGAACCACTGACCTTCCGATCGGCAAGCCCAAGAGGCTCAGTGGTTCAGATCACAGTGCCCACTGTTAATAGTTTGATAAAAAGTGCAGAAGAGTAAACAGTACCATCAACCCATGAATAATCCTGGGTACACTCAAATATTAAGTGTATAAAGAAGAGACATATTAAGAAAACACATACCCCCACCAAATAAAGACTTAGGAAAATACTCACCCTAATATATCCATCTGATCCAACAGTGACCACCTCTCCCTCATCCAGAACTAACTGATTAATTGGGCCGTTGTGGCAATTTTTACGGCCAGGCCGGCAAAGTTCCACTTTTATGAGGCCCCCTTCCCAGAGCAACAAGTTGCCCCATTCTGACCCTGAAAGTACCTTTCATGCAGACAAAACAAAATGCATTAGTATTCTGTCATATTGATGTATATCTGAAAAGGGATACAGGGAAGGACACATTACGTTTGAAGTAAGTTACATCCCAAGTTTTCACAGACAACAGATACATTTGCTAGGAAAATGGCAAATGAGGCATGTTCATAAGACCAAGGCTGCAGGCACACCATACATTTGAAACATGCTTCCCTCTCAAAGAACCCCGGGAACTGTACTGGGAATTGTTGCTATGTGAAGGGTCAACTACAGATCCCAGGTTTATTTTTTTAAGGTTTTTGTTTTTTTTTGCAATGTTTTGGAACAATAAGTTCAATGATAATGTCCAACCATATGCTGCTTTCTAACTGCTGCAATAGTGTTTCTTTATGCTCTTTATCTTTGATTTATTTTGTTTACAGCTAAGTGGTTTGCCACAAACCATAAGAGGGATGGGCACTGCATTATACAAGGATGTGCCTTTAAAAACAATTCAGAAATCTCAATTACTGCAACTATTGATCGATATCAGTCTATGGGAACATATCCCGCCAATTCTTAAAACGTATTCACTGTTTACCAGCTGCTTTTTTAAAAAAACTTCATTAAAAACAGAATAAGCTCCTCATCATTTTTAGAAGCAGCACACACTGGACAGGCTATGCCTTTCCACACAGCAATGTCCTGTAAATTTGTGTCAGGGCAAATGTGAATAGAGAACAAACAAAAAAGTTTGAGAAGATAGAAATGTTTCTCACCTTCCCATCTGGCAGCTCCACATATCCTTCAATGTCTGTCAATGCTGTTTTTCCAAACCTACCCAGTGCTCCTTGTAGTTTCAGACCAGTGAAAGTAAGCGCCATCTTCCAAAACCTGGTAATATAAAAATTAAAGCTCTGTTAGTGTTTTCGTGGGGTTCTTTTGGTCTTTAAACAGACTGTTATCAACCTTTCACATGCACTAATTGGCTGCATTTTGATACAAATCACAGTTTAGTGCTATAAGGATGAGTCTGGGACAGGGGTTAGCAAACTTTTTCAGCAGGGGGCCGGTCCACTGTCCCTCAGACCTTGTGGGGGGGGTCGACACATCCTATTCATGTAAAAACACGCTGATTCCCGGACCGTCCACAGGCCAAATTTAGAAGGCGATTGGGCCGGATCTGGCCCCCGGGCCTTAGTTTGCCTACCCATGGTCTGGGAGGTCCTTAGGACTGCATACTCTCCCACTTTCCTCTTCTCCTCCGGCACAAATGCAAGGAGGAGCTCTCATTTCTGTTTCCAACTAACCACTGCTGTTACTTGTTTCGACTGAACTGAGGTTAGTGCTAATTACAATTCAGGGACGCAACCCAGGATTATAAGCAATGAATGGTCTGAAGGTGGACTGTTTCTAAACCACAGGTAAGCCTAACTACTGATCTTCATTCAGATGGAATGAGCGACTGGTTAGTTGAAAAGGAACATGAAAGCTTGCAATCTACTCCTTGCTCTTATGCCAGAGAGCAGGGTAAAGGGGAGCACACAAACACCCAGGCTCATGCATGTAAACCCTAAACCAGTTTGGAGTTATATGTGAACCAAACCAATTTGTCTGTGGGAATTATTGTAACTATTGTAAATTTATGCAGCTTCAATTCAAATAGGTGGAAATTAAGAAGTCTCAACTGTGTGATAGACTGCACCTTATAACTATAGTACAGGTGGACTCTGACATATGTAATTTATTGGATAAGTGGATTTTTTTATCTGGGCATTTAAGTGGTTTTTAATCCGGACATGTATCTTTATACACTTTGGTTTATTTTAGTTAGGAGAAGGATAATTCTGACATTGTCCAGAGCACATTTTATTTGTGATATTGCCATCCATTGCCCAGCCACCCCATTTTGCTTCTAATGACACAGAATTAGGTAAACTATTCCCATAACATCGGGGGGGGGGGGCTCAGTTTATGTTGTGGTCATCTGCTGCGTGCTCACCTACTGTTCTGCTGCTTCAATTCTGGAAGTGGGAAAGAGGATAAGAGTAAGGCTTCTCTTTCTCTCCACCTAGTGCTTCCACAGCAGGAAGCCAGACGTGAGGAGCACCGTGTAAGAGTACTGACAAAACTACACTTTCCAGTGCTCCTAGCTCACTGCAACAGCACCATCGAGCACCAGAAAAAGGGTGCAGCGCTCAAGGGCAGCCAATTACACAAGAAGCCAGTCAACATGGCTGCTTCTTTTCCTGCTTTCAGAAGATATTCACGGCATTTCAATTGTCTGAAGATTATAAATAACTATATTACAACATGAAACAAAAATTAGGACACTGCCAATCCAGTGCAGAAGGCTACCTTGATTTTAAAATAAATAAATAAAATGCACATCATACTTGCAATGTTTTGGGGCAGCTAAATAAAACGTGGTCTTCACTGAGTAACAGGAATGTTTTAATACAGATAATTAAAATTTCATGTATAGTTAAGGTAGGTACAGCTTTCTAGTGTGATGCATTTGCCGATGAAATATTCCTTTTAGTCAGCATGCATGTATGCCTCTGTGGCATTCTAGTTCCTTGAGATAAAACTATGCTACTTGCTGGCTTACTTTATGTGACCTGAACCAGATGTGGTGAGTTGCTCTTCATTTTCTGGAGAAAAGGTCACTCTAAAAACATCTTGGGAAAATGCTTTCGATCTCAATACAATCTTTTCCTGCTTCCAATCCCAAACTGTTAACATATAGTCAGGGCTGCTCCCAACTGTGGCGATCAAAGTACCCGAACGATTAAAGTCAGCAAATGCATATGCTTCTTCAGTTCCACCTGGAAATAAGGTGATATAACAGGTTTCTTAATGCAATATAAATGTTCACGGGAACATACCAATGTGCTAGCCAATCAACTAGCGCATATTGTAAATTATTTTTTTTTGAAGTAAGTATGAAACAGATTGCTTCTATTTTAAGTACATTTAAACAGTACAAAGCAACCATAAAATAGAGAACAATAAAGACAGTCTGTATGAAGAGAGAGAAAACAAAGGCTTCAGGTGATAATCTATCCTTGAGCCTTCAGGTCTTGTAGAAATTCTGTCTCTGAGTCCCAGATACTAGTATATACGTGTGTGCGTGCGTGTGTGTGCGTGCGTGCGCATCATAAGCCTTTCCTTTCCCCCACAATGAGTACCGTATTTTTTGCTCTATAACACGCACCAGACCATAACACGCACGTAGTTTTTAGAGGAGAAAAACAAGAAAAAAAATATTCTAAACGAAATAGTGGATATATGATTTTTGTGGTTCATGCTGTGGCCACAGACATGTGATCTGACAGTGAGTTTGGAGTAGCTCAATGCAAAATCCTGAGGATCCATGTGGATCCATGCTTTGTAACCACGGAGGAGGGAAGGAAGGGGAACCATGGATCCTCTGCTCACGACTGCAGCAGATCCCCCCCCGCCACCCACAGGCATTCGCTCCATAACACGCACAGACATTTCCCCTTACTTTCTAGGAGGAAAAAAGTGAGTGTTATGATGCAAAAAATACGGTAATTTCACATTGCCAGGATACTGAAATCACATCAAATGTAAGAGATACCACTGAACTGATTTGTCAGCTTTATTTTTTTTTAATAAAAAAACTCAACTCAAAAGCTATTGAACTGCATTTAGGTTCCAGAGTGATAGCCACCTAATAAAAAATAAACCAGTAATGAAGAATAGAATTCCTTTATCATCCTTCTTTCAATACTTGGCCATTTAGCCATGCATCCATTGCTTTTTCTCGAACATGAACACAGAAAAAGGGAACATGGCATATGACTCTGAAAATAATAATGCCAATTCTTCTTAATCACTTGCAGATATTTAAAAGAAAGAGAATGACTACTTACAAATCTCCGTGTAGTCAAACAAGAAATATCAAACAGAAAATTGCTTCTATTTCTGTGACCATTAATTCTTCTGCATGAATCTGAAATTGTGAGACGGCTTATGTTTTAACATACCTCGTAATACTCTGTATGGCCTTAAGGAAGGGTATTCATAGATAATCATGTTTGGCTTCCATCCTTTTTCTCCTACTGCAAAGTAGGTTTTATTAGGATGTACCTAGTAGAAGCAAAGACCTTTTTCACTCTGCATTTATCCAGTAAAGTAATGATTTGCTAGTTTAGTTCATTTGACTTCTATCCTACATTTCAGTCCAGTACAGCCAATGCAGTGGCCTCCAGATACTGTTTGACTACAACTTCCATCTTTCACCACTGGCCATGTTAGCTGAGGCTGATGGCAGTTGTAGTTCACCATCATCTGGAGGCACTGCCTGAAACAAATATGGTTGCAGCTACCCCTCTGGAAAATGGCAGCATATCCTCAACCCCCCATACTGTGTTCCACCAAGACTGCAAGTCTTTCCAAGTCTAAGGACACAGAGAGAGGTGCAATAGCTTGGGAAAACAGTGTCCACTTTGTTAGAGCTTTTCTTTAATCCAAGATACCTTGTTACTGCCTGCATAACATTTGAAACCAGCCTAAATGAATGAATATCAATAGGACACCCTAGTAAGTATTGCTATTATAAAATATATATTTATCTCACACAGTACAAAATTAACTCAAGTCTTAGATAACGGCAATAGCTAAACGCACCACCTAATGTGTGAAGAAGCAGCCAAAATATTTCTCAGATTGAAAGAGAGATTCTCATAATCCAAGAGCCCTGTTTATTTTGCTACCAAGGAAGATCTCAAGCAAAATACTTTACAAGATAAAACAAAAATGCCATACCGTGATTACTCCAATCCCTCCACCGCATGTGCTTCGGAGATATTTCTGAGATTTCATTAGCAAATTCAGCAGTACGAGTTGGTTGCCAGCTATGTAGAGGAGAGTGTAACTATCCAATATCTGAATGTTTGCCCGTCTAGTGCAGTCATAGCCAAAAGAGTGACTGAAGAACACTCACTAAGGAAAAGTGATGCCATCACGGGGTTTATTTTGACCATGTAATAACACTACCACCAATAAAAATCCAGAGGTCTCCTGAAAAGTGCAATGCACTGTATTGTAATTGTATTGGGAACACAATAGGGGCTTTTTATATAAATGAGAGAAAAGAGCTGAATCTCTAGAAAAAATGTAGCCCACCCATCCTTTAAAAAATTTCAGGCTTAACCATATTGCCAATGTAGGTCCCTGCGGCCCTCAAGTACTGTGCAATTTCTAAATGTTTTCTATTAAAGGAAAGGCAAAAGGCAAAAGATCCCTTACATAACTGAGAGAACAAACCACAGCAATAGTGCAGGCCCTGTTATTTTGCCAATCTGTTGGGAAATACTGGGGAGGATGTAAAATTTCTCACTAGTATGGCCTTATTATATTGTTACAGGCCACTCCAATCCCTGCCAAGCCATGCACGGGATTCCAGAGGTCTTGGCCCTCAACCAGGGTCTGTGCTCCTTTGGAAAACTGAAGACATAGTGGAGGCTGTCATAGCGTTAAGAAATATGATTTATTCTCATATTTACACCTGAGTTTAAATAGAGGTAGCCCAGATCTTACAGCATAGTGGTCTGAAGAGGGTCTTGTTCCTGCCCCCCGCCCCCCAGCAGTGCAATGATGGAGACAGAGGCCTCTCTATCAGCCTGCCTTCAGTCAGTCAAGATGGATCTGTCTTTTTTTCTCTCTCTTCCTAGCACACCTTGCTAAAAACAGTCTTTTCCTGTCACCTCACACCCAGTTAACCTGGCAACCTTTCAAATCCCCAGTCTCTGTTCACACCTCAGGGCAGGGGGAAAGGACGGTTCTCTTGCATTGCCAATGACTCTCAATTGTTTCTTAATGACTGTAGCCTGGCCAGGTCGGGGTTTTTTGCATTGGCTAGCCCAGGAATTCCTCTGCAGCTTGTATTTCTCCCTTCATATCCCAAATAATCAAAATCCTACCATTTATTAATTTATTAGCAAAAGTGGATACATGAGACTGAGCATGTCAAGCGGAATGCCAGAATCTGGAGTCACAAATGGGAGTGCACACAACTCCTCATAGTTATAGTAGAAGTTTTCAGAGATTTTCTTCTCTACCTTTACTTTCTTCTTCTTCACCGGTTCTGGAGGCTTTTCAAGATGTATTGGCTCCACTTCCTCTTCCTCTTCTGGATTTCAAAAACATCAACAATAATTTTATACATGCACACACACACCACTTTTCAGTCTACAAAGGCTGAAAATAAGAAGAAAGGCATATAATTTTCAGACAGACAAGATGGTAGCATTTGTGGCCAATTATAAAGTGACGATTGTCACCTTTGGGCTGAAGGACAGGAGATTAAATAAATAAATAAACAAACAAACAAACTCAGAGCTAGCATAGCCATTGTAGTCAGTTTTTAAACACAGAGGTTGAGCTGTCCTGTAAGCAATATCTTGCAACCAAGAATTCCATCCTGCCCAAATCCCAAAAGTTAGTTCTATATTTAATCTGATCACCGCTGCATCTGATCACTCACACTGGCCAGAGTGGAAGGCATGGGGAGTGTGTCAATTTTTCATTTTCTTTCTTTCTTTCTTTCTTTCTTTCTCTCTCTCTCTCTCTCTTTCTTTCTTTCTTTCAGCTGTGCTAACTACGGGCTGACACAACTGAGGAGCTCATGGATCAGGGTCCTCAGAGCTGTGGACTCAGTGAATCTAAGGCCATCAGCCTCCTGCCCAAAAACCAAAATGCCCTATTTCAGACTCACCAATGGCTCCCACCAGTGGGAGCACTGGCACCAGCAGCCTTCCACTTGCTAGGGAAAACCTTGGGACTCCATGGAAAAACCTATCATCACCATCAACACTTCTCTTTGCCAGTGGAGGCTGGTGAGAAGGCAACTAGGCGCCATCCTAATCCTACCCCATCCATCAACATGGAGGCAGTAGGAATGCTCTGTCAAACCCAAAGATTGCTAGCAATACTTGCCTTCATCGCCATAGCCTTCACTACCTTCTTCATCTTCAAATAGCTTTTCTTCTTCCTGAATTGCAGGAGATGGGGTCTTTTCTGCACACAGAAAATTATGTTACTTTCCACTCTACTTTATTTAAATACATATGCTATAATGTTTTCCCTGTTTCCCTAAAATCAAATAATTAACTGATATCAGAAGAGCCATCTGTATCATGGAGCAGAAGGTTACATTATAAGATACAGTGAATGCTAACGCAGGTAAGTGCTAAAGCAGTGACAAAACAAACTCCCAACAGGGGCTGCCCATAAAATGTGCCACACTGTGAAACCAAATGCTCTACCAGCTGAGCTGCTATACTCAAGCAGCTGCTAGGTTTAGGACCTGGAGAATATAAACTGCTTTTTGGAGGAAGTTCCTAAAAGAAGAAAAGTATCATTTTAAATTAGATAAATGAATAGATAATTAACATACTGCATAGATTCTGGTCACGCCCAATAAGAAGATATTTCTGGACAGCAGTATTAATGGAAGATGAGAGTATAACAGGCTATGCCTTAGCAGTAAATCCACTTTTAAGATACATAAAAGATATTGTCCTTTCAGAAGATGGAAAAATGATGGGGGGAATGTACCTCTTAACTGAAGTTTAGGTTGCATGCACACCATATGTTTAAAGCACATGAGCTCCACCAAATAATCAAGGCAATGGTAGTTTGTTAAGGGTGCTAGGAATTGTAGCGCAGAATAAAACTAAAGTTCCCAGGATTTTTTGGGGAAAGTTGTGGTTTTAAATGTATGGTGTATGCATAGCCTTAGTTACAACTGGAGGGAAACTGATGCTCCTATACTAGATACATGTTGGAGCAAAAAGATCTTAATTTCACATACAACCTCATAGGGTCTGAATTGGAGGGGACAGACCAGGAGCAAGACCTTACGGTCATATTAGATACCTCAATGAAGATGTCAACCCAGTGTGCCATAAAGAAGGCAAATTCCATGCTAGGGGTCATTAGGAAAGGAATTGAAAATGAAACTACCAATATCATGAATGCTGCCATACATATTGGGCAGGCTTCCTCAAACTTGGCCCTCCAGATGTTTTTGGCCTACAACTCCCATGATCCCTAGCTAGCAGGACCAGTGGTCAGGGATGATGGGAATTGTAGTCTCAAAACATCTGGAGGGCCGAGGTTGAGGAAACCTGATATTGATGGTGCAACCACATCTGTACACAATGAGTACCATGTACAGTTCTGGTTGCCTCATGCCAAAAAGGATATTGAAGAGTTGTAAAGGGTTTAGAAAAGTATGCATGGCATGGAGAAAGTGAAGAGAGAAAAGCTTTTCTCCCTCTCTCATAACACTAGAACTCGGTGACATCCAGTGAAGCTGGATGTTGGAAGATTTAGGACAGATAAAAGAAAGTACTTCAAGCAGCGCATTGTCAAATCACTCCCCCAGGAGGCAGTGAAGGACACCAACTTGGATAGTTTTAAAAGAGGACTGGACGAATTCATGGAAGGAGAGAGCTATTAAGGGCTACAAGCCATGATAATGCTCTGCCACCACAATTGGAGGCAGCAATGCTTCTGAGTACTAGTTGCTGGAAACCACAGGAGAGGAGAGTGCTGGTGTGCTCATGTTCTGCTCCCTGGTTCCCCACAGGCATCTGGTTGGCCACTGTGAAAACAGGATGCTGAACCAGATGGGCCATTGGCCCAATCCAGCAGGCTATTCTAATGTTCTTATGATGTTCATGTGTTCGTGATGGCTGGATTAGAAGAGTATGGGAAGTGGTCAAAATGGTGATACAGTGGTACCTCTGGTTAAGTACTTAATACGTTCCGGAGGTCCGTTCTTAACCTGAAACTGTTCTTAACCTGAAGCACCACTTTAGCTAATGGGGTCTCCCACTGCTGCCGCGCAATTTCTGTTCTCATCCTGAAGCAAAGTACTTAACCCAAAGAACTATTTCTGGGTTAGCGGAGTCTGTAACCTGAAGTGTATGTAACCTGAAGCGTATGTAACCCGAGGTACCACTGTATCGGCAAACATCAGTATAAGAGAAGAAAGACAATCAGATAACCAATTTATTGAAAGATGTAGCCCCTTTATTATACTGGTGCAATAAAACACAGGAAAATCCAGATCCTTATAAACTGTAAAAGCACCATATATTAAAAAGCATGAGAGAGGGAAGAGACGTAAAACCGGTTATAGCATACAGTGGTACCTCAGGTTACATACGCTTCAGGTTACAGACTCTGCTAACCCAGAAATATTACCTCGGGTTAAGAACTTTGCTTCAGGATGAGAACAGAAATCGTGCTTCGGCAGTGCGGAGGCAGCGTGAGGCCCCATTAGCTAAAGTGGTGCTTCAGGTTAAGAACAGTTTCAGGTTACGAACGGACCTCCAGAACAAATTAAGTACTTAACCCAAGGTACCACTGTACTTTATTTCTCACCGTAAAAAGATATATGTTGTATGATACAATGTGTTTTGTAATATACTTTTTATTTGTTTATTGGTTAAATTTTGGGGCCCTCAGGGGGCTTGAGGGCTGATTCTAAATAAGTATACAATATAAGGACAGATTTAAACTATTGATTTTTGTCCTTTGACACCTAAACATTGAACAGTAAAATTCCAGAACAACCCCCTGGAAATGTTTCTCTCCCAAACACAGAAATCACTACACATTCTTATCTATCATAATTTGAATGTGCAAGCAATACTTACCATCAGCTACCTTCTTTGCTTTTTCCTTTTGTTCCTCTGAAGGTGACCCCTTTCCTTCTTCTGAATGTTCATTCTGGCCTGCAAAGCAAAATCATAAAGTATGGTGGATCTTCCAATTGGAAGTACTGGGGCAAACTGAAATGTAAATTTCTCATGCAAGTTGGCAGAATCATGCCATGCTTGCTTCATCTGTCGCAGCAGTTTTTATGTTATTGCAGTTTTATAAGAGTATATATTTAAAGCAGATGAATAAATAAGCAAATTAAGTTAATTTGGATATGCAGAAGATATTAAAAATAAATAAGGAACAACAGAAAGAGGGGGAAGGAAGTCAAGTTTTGAAATGTTAAAATGATTGTAAAATTAGTGAAATGTGTAAACCTGAAAAGCATAAATAAAATTTAAAATAAAATAAAATGTATGTTATTGGAGACACCTATCCTGGTTTCTCCTTCTGTCCTAGACTACTGCGTTTTCTTACCTTACAGCCTGTAGAGGGGAAGAATATTTGAAAGTTTTCTAAAACAAGAACAGAACTGCTTCAAGCAGCAGCGTTTCTACATTAGAGGAAATTCGAAAGCTAACAGCTGCTGGCAATAATGGATTGAAACCAGAAAGCGGCGTGAGCAAGCTTTTCTGTAAATTCACCAGAACACTTCTTCAACCTGAATGATGCTTTGCAAAAACGTGGGGGGAAAGAGGGGCATGTTGAAATTGCAGTCTGGTACCCCCCCCCCGAGCGCCCCACTCCCTTTGGCGCCCAGCTTGAAGAACCCTGGTGACCCCGAAAGCTCGCGGAAGACTTCGTGACGCTTCAGTTTCGCCCTATAAAAGTATTTTCCCGACTGTTTCTTTAAAGTGTGCCATACTAGCGGAGTGTTGCCAACGTTACTGAGAGCAAGGGGTAGTTTCGAGGGGAACCCCGTGGTGGCAAGTCTGGGCAATGGCTGAAGGCGGGAAATGGGGGTACCTTTTGCGTCTTTCGCCTCCTGCTCCCCCTTCGGCTCCATGGCAGGTGTACGCCGGTTGCTAAGCAACCGAATGAAAGGCGCGCCAAGATCCCTGGGAAGTTGAGTTCAAAACCTGCTTCGGCTCAGAGCGCCTGCGCAGCAGCAGCAGCAACAGCAGCATAGTAAGAAGTAATATCGATGAGTAGCTTGCTCGTTTTTCTCCTCTCCCCCCTCCGATTACTCTAATACAATAATATACGCTGCTGTGCACGATGGAGACAAAGCTACAAATATTTAAGGAATTCCAGGGGGAAGGAATTATTTATTTACTTTAGTCATTGCCATTTGCAAATGTATATAACGGGTAACATTGGTTTCTCTCCGTGCGTGTGAAATCGGGGAGTCCTATTGAGTTCAATGGGCTGCCTCCCAAGTGTGCCCGCTTCATTTAAAATAATGAGGATCGCGCCTTTAATAATTGCATTAACAGGGCAAAAGGGTTTTTTCTTCCTGGGTGTGTGTGTGGGGGGGAGCCTTCTTTGCTAACTTTTAATTGTTACAATGCCTGCCAACATTTTTCTGGCAGGTTTTCTGTGTGCCGAGCAGAAATTCTGCCGGTGTGGCTACAGCGAGGGAAAAAGACGGCACCTGCTGAATTTCCTCTGCGGGGATCTTCCAGGAGGAGCAGGGAAATATCCCTGTTATGTGGTTGCCAAATGAGTGCCCGTCCACAGCTCTCCATTTTCTAATACCTATTTTGTTTTATTGGTGGGACGGCCGCATTGATCCAGAGGAGCTAATATCTGCCCGATCCTATACAGTTAGGTTCCCTAAAATCTACATAGGATCGAGCTGTTGCAACGCAATATGTGCCTGCTTAGATCTGACCCCAATATAATTTAATAGTGTTTTACTACATGTTTGGGGGGGTTATTGGTTCGTTTTGCTTTTGCTCTTGTTTTTATTACGTATTTTGTGTGTTTCTATCTTGTATTTCTAATGCTGTCAACCCCCCTGAGATCTTCGGATGAAGGGCGGAGCACTAGTTTAATGGACGATAATAATAAAGATGGTGTTTTCTTAACGACGCTTGAACAATGCAGCCCACTGATTTTAATGAACTTGGGCGCACCTAAAGCTGCACAGGATCGGGCTGCGCACACAGGCAAAACCGCCGGGGGGGGGCCTCATTCATTCATTAAAAAACTTGGGTGTTAAGGCAAGCCTTTCTGAACATAGAAGAACTTCCTTCAGAGATTAAACTGCCAGGGGTCATCTGGCTTGTACAAACGAAGTTTCTTCTTCGCTCTGAACTCGGAGAAATAAAAACGAGAGGAGAGGCCTGGCGAGGAACCGCTGCAGGTAGCGAGGCGGGAGGCGGAACCCGTCCTTCCTTGCAGGGGGAGAGGCGAAGCACCTGCCGGAATGCGCCTTAGGGCGCAGCTGGAGGAAATGGGAAAGCGCTCCAGCAACAGGTGCCGGGGGAGATCGAGCCGAGGGAGGAAGGGAGTTGCTTGCATCGGCTCGCTCCTTTCCAGATAATACTAACAATAATAGTAAAAGGCGAGGCTTCCCTTCCCAAGCGGAAAAGCAAGGCCAACACCTCCTGGAGTTAGGAGTAGAGGGTGAGGTTTGTTTGCGCAGAGGGATCCGGCCGGTGGGCGGAGGAGGCGGCGCCATGGCCTGGAGCTGGCGATGGCAACACCTAGGGCTCTTTCTCGGCCTCAGCTGGCTCCCGACAGGTGAGTCGTGGGGGGCGGCGGGGACCGGAGCTGGAAGGGGGAAAGGTGCTGCCTCCCGATCTCCGTAATCTTTCGTCTTTTCCTTGCTGGCGGCAACTGGTTTTAGTAGGTGATTGTCTCCTAAAGTTTCCTCCCGCCCAATTCCTTCCTGCTCCTTCGCTTGTTTACAGTACTTTCCTCAAAGGCAGGTTTCCGGGCTAATCAGGCATGTTTTAAGTATCTCCATATTGTTTTTATTTTGATCTTCTTGGTCCCAGGGTGGAGAGGTTGTAAAATTGCCCAGCAATTTTGTGTATCCCCCCTTTTAAAATCGTATTGCTGTAGTTGTAAACTTACATGCACACAGAGTGGATACATATGTAAATAACTTATGTCCTCCACAAAAATACAAGTAAGAAAGGGTGGAAATCTATGTACTAGCTAACATTTGGTGTAAACAGTTTAGCCACAATTCTATTTACTGTACATATGTGTAAGCATGTGAAAAGTTCACTAGTTTATCTTCCCATTTCCCTCCTAGATATTAGGTGCAGCATACTTTAAATAAGATGTAGATTATTATCCATAGGACTGTAGCTCTGCTGCTTTGGAGGAAAATGCATGTACAGTGCAATGTGTGATGGCAATGAATTAGACTAGATGGAGGTTTGCCTTATTGGTTTCAGTAAGGCTTACTTCCTGGTAAGTATAATTAGAACTGCAGTCTAAATATATTTCTCGTGTCTATAATTCAAATGTAAATTGTATTTTTAAACAAGTGTCTTCACATTCTGTCCTGTATTAACAGTGCTCACTTGAACACACAAAATAGAAGTTACAGCCGTGCAGCCAAAGATAGGTTGAGCCCGGTCCTAGTTTAATTTATTCCTGAGTAAATACATTTAGGATTGCAATAATAATGTCACAGCCACAAAAATAACCAGTATGTGCACTTCTTAAGCCCCTGGCCATTCATTCTTGTAAAGGCACTTCATTCCAACTAGGTGCTGTCAAGTGTGTTTGAGTAATTCTATCTAACGCAGTGTTTATATTATGTTATCTCAAGTACTGTTGATATCTTTGGTATTGTTAATGTCTTGAATACTTTTCTAGTATTATCGTGTATACCTATGATAGGGAAAACACAGGAGTCTGGCTAACCTAATGTGTATTTAAAAGCTGTTTAATAGTATTAAATAGTATAGCGATAGTATTAAATTGTATTTGGCTATAATTGAGATTTTCTTTAGATTTAACAACAACCCTTTCTCTCTTTTCCGCTTATTTCCTTCTTGGTTATGTTTTGTCTAATGCTGTATATTGTTTTCTTGATAAACTATTCTACTTTTCATAGACTGTTAGCTGTCCCAAAAACATTCATGTTAATAGTGTGGAATTAATAGTATATATCTTATTTTTGTGGCAAAACCTACACACAAGCCTGCAACCTCCCTATTGCATGAGTCAGAAAAAAATATTTGTACTCTGTTAAATTCAAAATGCTAGAGAAGTCTCAACCCTGATTTATCTATTACAATGGAATCATGTGTGTCAACTCACAAGTAAGAGCCATTAAATTCAGTGAGTCTTGCTCCCAGTGATAGGATTTCAGCCCAATTTTAATTATTGTAACCCACCCTGGGACCTTAGAGTGAAGATTGGAGGAAGAAATTAATAGTAAAGCTCTGTTTTGCAAGGGCTAGCGTACAGGCCCCAAAACTAGCATGTTTTCAAAAATATACAGGTGCACATCATGTGTAACCTAGGGATATAGCCCAGGTAGTAGAATGCCCTTGCAAGGTACAATGGTACCTTGGTTTTTTAACGTCTCCGTTGATGAACATTTCGGTTTCCAAACTCCTTAAATCCGGAAGTAAATGCTTCGGTTTTTGAACACGCCTCGGAAGTCGAACATGCCATGCAGCTTCCGCTGAGTGCAAAATCCTGAGGCCTAGCTGTCGGCTATTGAGTTTTCGGTTTTCGAACGTTTCAGAACTTGAACAGTCTTCCAGAACGGATTATGTTCAAAAACCAAGGTACCACTGTACTTAGAAGCAAGCGATAGATACAAGGCCAGAGCTCTTCCAGAAAACGAGTTATTGAAAAAGTTGAACTAAAAGTAGTGAGGGCTGTTCCAAAGAAGAAGAGAGATTGGGGATTGTTAGTACCAAAAATCCAAAAAGGTGGTAGAAAAGGGAAAGTTTTCTTTGACATGGCAAACTTTACTGAGTGGACATGATGGAAATGGCATGTGAGAAAGGCATAAGAGGTGCAAGAAGGACACAGGGCTGTAGCTCAGTGGTAGAATGTCAACTTGGCATGCCAAAGATCCCAGGTTCAAACCTTGGCTTCTCTAGATAGGGCTGGGAGAGACTCCTGCCTGAAACCCTGGAAAACTACAGCCGGTCAGGGTAGACAGTACGGAGCTAGCTGGACCAATGATCTGACTCCGTATAAAACAGCTTCCTTTGTTGTTAACGAGTACCTAACTGGGAGCCCAGCAGCCAACCAGCCTGCAAGATCTCCTGAAAGAAATCCAGAAAACCCATGGGAAACCCCATAATAATAATAATAATAATAATAATAATAATTTATTATTTATACCCCGCCCATCTGGCTGAGTTTCCCCAGCCATTCTGGGCGGCTCCCAATCAAGTGTTAAAAACAGTACAGCGTTAAATATTAAAAACTTCCCTGAACAGGGCTGCCTTCAGATGTCTTTTAAAGATAGGATAGCTGTCAGTGTTTGTAAAAAGCAAAAAAAAGAAGGAAAGGGTTCTGACCTCCCTTTGTCTCCTCAGCCTGGTCCTCGGACCCTTGTCTGCATAAAAGAGTCCACGAGAATATCCTTGCAGAGTTTTATTCTTAAAAGTCTTTGTGCAAAACACGACTGAATAACTATACACACCAGCACCAACCAACCCAAACTCCAGCCTCAGCACAAACTAACATTTCTCACTTTATATATACAACCTGCTGCAGGCCGCTGAGTCATGCTGACCCAGCTTTATTCGCATTAAAGAAACAGTGGCCATTTTAGCCGTGACAATAGCTGCTTATTTCCTTCACATCTGAAGGGAGGGTGTTTCACAGGGTGGGCGCCACTACCGAGAAGGCCCTCTGTCTGGTTCCCTGTAACCTCACTTCTCGCAATGAGGGAACTGCCAGAAGGCCCTTGGCGCTTCCTAAATTAGGGTGCTTGCTTAGAAAAGGCTTTCTTAGTTTAGGGTGCGTAAAACATCTAATGCATGGGTAGGCAAACTAAGGCCCGGGGGCCGGATCTGGCCTAATCGCCTTCTCAATCCGGCCCACGGACGGTCTGGGAATCAGCGTGTTTTTACATGAGTAGAATATGTCCTTTTATTTAAAATGCACCTTTGGGTTATTTGTGGGGCATAGGAATTCATTCATTCCACACACACACCCCAAAAAAATACAGTCCAGCCCCCCACAAGGTCTGAGGGACAGTGGACTGGCCCCCTGCTGAAAAAGTTTGCTGACCCCTGATCTAATGGATTAGCAAACAAAGACCCACAAAAGGGTGTGCTGGTTTGGGTCGGGTCTTTGAATGGATTGTTTCCAGGTGAACAAAAGAAATGTGACCACCATTTCCTGCTTGGCGAAAGGAAAATGAGTTTCAGAGTAGAGCTGTAGCGCAGACTGTAGAGTTCTTTGTTAATTGTTTTATAGTATACTTCTCGTGGAGACTCTGAAGGCTCGCGTACGCTTCTGCTTGTCAAGTGCCCAGAAAGCATGAGTCCAAGCAGTTTTCTGTTTGCCCTACTGCTTTCTCAGGGAAAACCCCACTCCTTAGCACTGAAACACAGCTATCTGCAGAAAACCAAATTGACCTTCACTCCGATTCAGCAGTAAAGAGCGTGTTTTCCTAGGTGAAAGCGGAACTCTGGATTAGCCCTCACTCTCAGGGTTTTCAATAGCCAATGGATTGGCGATGTAACATTTCTTTGATTGAAATCACCCTATTATATGAGGGATCCTTGTGCTCCCTTTTAGTTTCACTGGAGGGTGTTGGTGGGAACCTTTGTGAACATTTTGTCCTAATTTGCTTTTCAGATTACTCTCCCAGGCAAAATTGAGACTTTTAAGGCACAGTGCTCATATAGGGATATGCAAGCATGCTAGTTACCTCTGGCATCAAATGTGACTGAAACTATCAGTTCCCTGTAGGTTGGATATGGATCTTCTCTGCTATAGCAGGGAGTATAAAGTTCCAAACATAGATTTCCCACAGACTTGGCCAACCTGAAGAACTCACATTCCCCATTTGTGAAACTATTACGCCTCCCCTCCCCTTATTGTGAGAGGTTACAAGGCCTGCCCTCATCCCAACTTCTAGGACATCCTGAATAAAGCTGTCGTTTACACAGTTTCTTCCCTATGACATTTCTTCATCTATCTTACACTTGCTTTTGCTGCTGGTAAATTCAAAGATTATGGCACTGCTGTCTTCCAAAGCCCTATCAAATCCAGAACTAGGAAAAACTAAGTCCTGTGGGTACAGACCAGACGCAAACTGTAGAATATGTCTGCACAGTCACACAAGTAATGAACCAGTCCTTTAAAAAACTTTATGTAACTTGATTTTTGGTTTTTTTTAAAAACTAAATCTCTCTATACTTAGTTTGCTGTCTGCATTGGTAGATTTTTTCCACCTGGGGCATAGGGGTGCTTTTCATATGCTTACTGATAGCTGTTGTTCGTGTTCTTCGTTGCAGGTTGCTTCTCCATCCTGGTGACTGTGCCAGTTGCTGAGCGATACACAACTTTATTTGCCTCTGTGACCCTCAGGTGTGACTACAGTACCTCTGCTCCACTGCAGGATGTGCTAGTTACTTGGCGCTATAAGTCCTTTTGCAAGGATCCCATCCTTGACTACTACAGTGTTGGTGAGTGCCACTGATTCTTGCGGCCACCACCAAGGATTGCTCTCCACACACATGAGAAGAGGCAGGAAGGAGGGAGGGAGCCCCAGGGAAGACAGTTGTTTGACTTGTTGTTCTCCAGAGCCAAATAATGGGGAAGTTGATCTTTTCGGTCTCTGAACCAAAATGGATGGAGTGAAAGCTAGAAGATTCTGCTTTGGGAAATGACTGCTTGTGCTTTCACTTTTCAGACACTGTGTTATCTTCGGAATGCATGAAACCCTAGAGGGCTCTGTGGTTTTAGGAAAGGTAGCCTTTCACTTTCAGTCATGCTCTCCTTTGGTTCTAGCACTTTCAATTCAAAAGGAAAAATCTGAAGTTTAAGACTAATTTCTCCTCTAATACTGAGCTCAACCAGAGAGTGCCGACAAATTCAGGAAGAGGATTGAGACTTGTGTTGCACTGCACTGCACTTTGGCCTGTAGTCTGACATGGATGAACCCCAGCCCACCTTCTAAGTTGGGGGGCAGGGAGGGACTGTCTTTAACCTCACACCCTATTTTCAGAGGCACCCTAGAGCCAATCTGGAACTTGTTGCGATATTGGAGAAGGGATTATATCCCACATTGAATGAGGAGCAAAGGTCCCTACAGTCAAAAATGCTGGCAGGCTATCAAGGCTAGCCAAAAGTTGTGAGCCTTTTACCCATCTTCCTTCAGTCTGGATAGGCTTAGTGAGATGCTCAGAGTTCTTGCAATCTGAACCATGAATTATAGCTTTCACTATTGTAAAATTAGATTAAAAGTATTGGGTTTCCAAAGCATTGTTTTGGTTATCTGTATGGTCTAATGTCCACCAATTTTTTCTTCCCTCTTTGTGCCAAATCCTGATAGCTTATCCTTGATTCAGACTGTGAATGATGGGCTTGCCAACTTTTTCCAAATATATCCCAAAGTCTCATCCCACATTGTTTCCCCATATGCCCAGCAAAGTTTGCAGTTCATACAGCATCAGAGCTTGCTGTCTCTGGAAGTTAATTGACTCTTTGGTAATTTCTCCTCTCTACCCCCATAATTTTTTTCTGTTGTTACCAGTTATAAAGGGACAGGTAATAAACATAGTGTGATCTTTCCTCACTGGAATTTTAAGGAGCGCTATTATGAATTTAAAACTTTGGATTTAAATAAACTGGCATTCATTTTGTAATTCATCCCCTTTGTTTATTGCAGCCTATCAAGCAGGCCTAGCTATTGGCCAGGACCCTTCCAACGACTGCAATGACAATCAGCGGGAAATACGCATTGTTGCTCAGAGAAGAGGGCAAAATGAACCTGTGCTTGGTGTTGATTACAGACAGCGGAGGATAACCATTCAGAACAGTAAGACCATTTGAGCAGGGGCTGGGAAACTGTGGCCTGTAGAGGTCTCATTAGTGCTAAGGAAACACAGCCTTAAGCAGCACAAAGTAATTGTATCTTATGGAGGTGTAAATGACTCGGAATGTAGTTTCAGCTCTCCAAAAGTCTGTTTGCACAATAATTTATGCAATTCAGGAATGTGCTGTCATGGTATGAGAAGAATATCACCCAGTTGCCTACTTTCGCCATGCTGTGTTTTTTCTTCATAGAAGCAGATCTCCTGATCAATGAAGTGATGTGGTGGGACCATGGAGTATACTACTGTAATGTTGAAGCGCCAGGAGATACAAGTGGTGACCCAGACATAGAGGTCAAGCTCATTGTTCTCAGTACGTAGCACTGTTCTATTTTTTAAAATTTTATTTTAGGGTGACTTCTCTTCATTTTTTTTCTTACCATTTATGAAGTTTTAGAGAACAAAGCATGGAGCAAAATGAGCCATGCTCTGATCCTAAAGATGTTTACTTCCAGGGTTATCGCTTATTTCAGTCCACATATTAAAAGGGGAGAAGAAGACACCAGCAATTCCTGATCTTGTGTTGCTGGAATGCAGCCTACTGTACAAAGACAAGAGCCGTATCTCTTGCTTCTGGCCCTTCCGAGCCCTGGCATTCAGTTCTCAAAAGGCTACCTCGAGATAGGAGGACATTATTTCTGTATGCAGCCGCTGCAGCAAGGATCCTACTTGCAAAAATCTGGAAGGGAAATTACAATGGATGCTCGAGTTGCGAACGTGATCCCTGCGGGATGCATGTTCGCAACCCGCGCGTCTGCGCACGCGGGGGTTGCGATTCAGTGCTTCTGCACATGCGCAAAGTGCAATTTAGCACTTCTGTGCATGCACGACCGCCGAAACCCGGAAGTAACCCATTCCGGTACTTCTGGGTTTCAGCAGTCCGCAACCCGAAAAAACGCAACCTGAAGCGGCTGTAACCTGAGGTATGACTGTACATACTGACAAAGGAAGACTGGCTAAACAAGCTTTTAGAATTTATTGAACTGGCAAAACTAACCACAGTAATAAGATATTAAACAAACCAGAAATTAAGATCACAATGGAAATGGTTTGAAGAGTATATGAGCAAACTGTGCTAAAGACAACATGCTGATTTGTCTAGATTAAGCTGGTGAAGTTGATTCAGAAAACAAAATATTAGTTAAATAACAATACTAAAAATGAGTTACAAATTGCCATATAAATAAGAATATAATAAACATAAGAAATGACAAACACTGGTGGAGGAAAGTCACGGAGGTGTAACATTTATGTTTGTATTTTTGTATTGTTGGTACAGTGGTACCTCGAGTTAAGTACTTAATTCATTCTGGAGGTACCACTTCTTAACCTGAAACTGTTCTTAACCTGAAGCACCACTTTAGCTAATGGGGCCTCCCGCTGTCGCCGCACTGCTGGAGCATGATTTCTGTTCTCATCCTGAAGCAAAGTTCTTAACCCGAGGTACTATTTCTGGGTTAGAGGAGTATGTAACCTGAAGCGTATGTAACCCGAGGTACCACTGTATTTGAATGGTTGTAGTTTTAATGTGTGTGCATTGTATATAATAAAATATATTTTTTTTAAAAAAATGCTGCCCATTATGCAACGAGCCCTTGGACTGGGTTTCTCTACCCCTGGAATAAACAAACAGTTTTTGTTGTTACGTCTGAATGCAGCACTCTGTGTGAACGCCATGCCTGTTTTGGCCAAGCTGTCTTGTGAGGGAAGATTGCAGAAAGCTTCCTTTTTGGTGCAGGAAGCTCATCGTACAGGCATCTAGTAACAAGAAAAGCAAGGTGATGGGGGATGATAATAGGTTTGAATGTCCTCTTTCCCCCACCAGATTGGCTGACTGTCGTCCTTATTGTCCTTGGTGGCCTCCTCCTCCTCATGCTGATAGGGGTGTGCTGGTGCCAGTGTTGCCCTCAGCATTGCTGCTGCCATGTGCGCTGTGCCTGCTGCCCAACTCGCTGCTGCTGCAATGAGAAAGGTAAATCGGAAAGCAGGCTGTCTGCCCCTTGCATTTGTTCCCAGGGAAACAATAACAACAAAACAGGTGCATTAAATCCAAAGTGCTTTAACAACAAGCAAGCCACTTGGACGTCCTCTGTGGGATTTCAGGTGGTCGTGGAGGGGAAATACCGGTACTGCTCAGTTGGAAACCTGACTCTGCGTGTTATCCAAAATGTACACAAATAGGAGGGCCTTCGTAGTTTCCTCCAAGTAGTTCACGGTCATGTTTTATCCTCGCACCAAGCCTGTGAAGTAGATTAGAATAAGAGACCATGATTAGCCTAAGGTCACACAGTGAGCTTCATGGCTGCGTCAGGTTTTGAACCCTGGTCTCCCAGGCCCCTGATACGAAATTCTAACCACTATGCCCCATCTCTGACACCCCTTTCTGCCATTTGCGTTTACTCTTCCAGCAATGTATAAATGCTCTCTTCATGGAACATGCCAAAGTAGACCATGATTTTGTGTTAAGGGCATTGTGTAGGACAGAGTTTGCTAAACTTTTGGGGCCCATGGACACATTTGTGAACCGGAGAAACTGTCATGAACACCTTGTGTATTTATTAGATTTATTTCCCACCTTTCGGCAGCACAACACACACACACATAAATATAATGCAAACTACTCTATTGGCTACAATAGAATGCTCCTTTTGCGCCTAATTTCAGCAGGGGGAGTGGAGTCTGTGGGCGCCAGGGAAGTCCTCTGCCGGTGCTACATTGGCAAAGCCCCGGTGTGAAGGAATTCAGAATTGTACTTTCAATGTTAGAAAATGTGGTTTCTCCAGAGTAAATATCCGTCTGAAATCAAAACCACACATTTGTTGTGGACAGACTGTATTGTTTCATGCCACCCTAATCTTAGTGGTGCAAGATTCCAGGGGTTCAAGGCATTCTAAATCAAGCAAGGAGGAACCTCCCTGTCACTAATTTTGGTTTCCAATATTGCTATTCTATAAAATGGAGAGAGAGAGAGAAAGATCTCCACAATGCTTGAATGCACCTGTATGACATCTCTTGCTTTTTCTGTCCTCTAGTGCTGGAACGACATCAGTTTATGAAACAGGCTCAACAACTTTTCCCATGGATGACACACCACTCCCAGTCATCTTCATATCAACTAAACCCATTGCTACAGAGAGGTAGGGCTGCGTCTACAAGTCCCAAGGGAGTGAATATATTACAGCAGTTTAATGACTTGGATGCTTGTGGTTTGGCTTGATGGTGATGCTTCTCCCAGAGGTGAAAGAGCATCAGAGGCTACCAACCCAGCTGCTCAGAGGTGGTGAGATTCAGGGCTGGTTTCATTTGTTACACTGGCAAGTGGAAGCATGTAACCTGGTATCTGTAGAGACTTTGCATCTTGTTTCCCATAGTGACAAACCAGTTGTTTTGGAGAAAACCCAACAAATGTTTCTGGGAAATCCACAACCAGGGGGTGAAGAAGAGAAACCTCTTCCACTGTTTTGGGGGGTGTTTCTTTTTTCATCCATCTGCAAACCTTGAAGTTTCCCAGGCCTACCAGTTCCTCTCTTTTTGTACACGAATGGAGCAGCCCTGGGCTCCATGAGGATCCACACTCACAGAATTAGATTTCTATTTGCATTTAAGAAAGATTGCCCCTCTGTGGATTTCTTTTTGTAATCCATTTTTTAAGCCATCTAAGCTATTCGCCATCATTACATCTTGTAGCATAGTGAACTCCACAGATTAATTAGGCCTTGTGTGGTGATGTACTTTATCTGTCTTGGATCTACTGTCATCCAATTTCATTGGGTGATACACACACACACACACACACACACACACACACACACACACACACACACACCGAGAGAGAGAGAGACCACTTTTCTACCCTAGGCAAAATTTTACAAACTGAGTTGCTTTTGTTTTCTAAACAATTACTGTTATTTATTAAATTTATATACAGCCCTTCACCCAAAGATCACAATGTAGCCTTTTCTCCTAAGGAAGGTCCTCTACTTGTTGATTTCTTTGCCTCCCATTTTTCTGCACTTTTTGAAGCTGTCTTTTTGGCAAAGGGATGATCAAAGCAGGTACTTGCCAATGAGGTCACACCCACTGTATATGCATTTGGAGCAGACGAAGTTTAAACAAATTGATCTGCTGCTACTACATTTAGTTTGAGTCTCTGTCTTAATGCTAAATTGGAAGCCTTTACTTCTGGGCTAGCAAATCTGTCCCCCCCCCCCCCGCCCCAAGATGCTGTTGTCCTCTAGCTCCCATCAGCCCAAGCCAGCATGGCCATTGGTTAGGGATGATGGAAGCTGTGGTCAAGCAACAGTTTCCCAGTCCCTCTTGACCTGGCTTTCTTTCATGGCAGGTGTCTTTATTCCCTCTACCCACCTTCTGTTCCATAGATATGTCTCTGCAGAGCAGTCAGCCACGGATGCCTCCACTTACCCAGTTGCCATCCAACAAGCTCTTGGAGCAGCTTGAGTCGGAGGTCAGGAACCTTGGCGTTTCCCAGCCCATGATACCTCCACACCGCGTGGAGAGCAGTCGTCATCCTAGCATCCTCTCCTCTCTGGGCTCAGAGATTGTGGAACGCAGAGTGATCCAACTGCCTCCCATCATTGAGCGCATCCCATCCTCCCGCAGAACTAGTGGTTCATCACGACCACGGCGCTCGACATATGCCTCGCGACCCCGGAGCCAGGCGAGTGACGACGAGAGGGAGAGGAGGAGGAGGCGCTTGTCTTTGGACGAAGAAGACGATTCCTACTCCAGTTACGACCGGGAAGTCCGGAACAGACCTAGAGACCGCATAGTCGAGAGGCAGAGGGCTGGCAGCCATTATGACAGGTCTCGGAGTTCTAGGCCAGACTTATCTCCCATTTTGCATGGTAGGAACAGTTCCGATTCGTATCCTGAGGAGGATAGAAGGGAGCGTTCCGCACGGCATCCCTCTGACAGGAGGTATTCAGGGCAGCGGGCTTATCGACCTCTCAGTCAGAGGAGCAGGGACTCTTATCGCCAGGGCCGCCGCCGCCGCCATCGCAGCTGTTCTCCACCATCCCGCCGGGAGTCGTGGAGTTCATCTGATGAGTACGAGCGCTTCCAAGGGAACAGCAGGCAGCATCGCCAGCGCCGCTCTCCAGACTGGCCAGAGAAACCCCCTAGTTACCGCTCGGTAGAAATCATCCCAGCCAAAGGCGACAAAGCCAGAAGCCTTGCGGAGCAGCAATCGGTAAACTAAGTGTGACAAATATTATCTTTCATAATCTCATGGGTTTGTAGCTTTGCACCCTGCTGCAGGCTACTCTCTGGCAGAGGCTGAAGACAGGAACCATGCAGAAAGGGATGCCTTGTGCATTTGCACAGGGCTGCTTTCTAAAACTCGTGCCCCTGTTGAAAGACACGTGAATAGGCTCAAGAGAAGCATGGTCAAACTGATAGCTATTTCTGAGCAAGGCGAACCAGGCCATGCTTGCCTCTAGCCTACAAATGCTTCTTCTTTCCTTGCCCCGACAAGGGCTCAACAAGTTACCAGGACTGGGGCGTGGCAGTGAGTAAGGAAGGGAGATAATGGGGAGGTGCTCTGGGGTGGGGGCAGGGAAGCCATCAGGCTGAGAACAGAAGGTGACACATCTTTTAAGCCATTAGGGTGCTTTTTCCAGCTATTGGTATGTGGGAGCATCCATTCTAGCCCAAGAGCAAATAACAAAGCAAAGCACTCCAGCCGAAAATCTTCAGATTCTCTTCTTGGCCAGCATGGTGTTGCTATTCTGGTCTGGGGCATGGTTTGAGTTCTGGTTTCTGGTTTGAGTTCCATGCCCCCCCCGGGGGGGGGCGTTGGACTTGCTGGCTTTTTATTATTTTTCCAACCTGGCTGCCACTTCTGCATTGCCTTCTTCTGCTGCCCCAACCCTCCCTGGTAAGTTGCTGAGCCCTTGCAAAGAAGAGAAACAGCAGCTCTAAGTAAGACCACCCAAGCATTTGCATGGAAGCACAGTTGTTGTTTTTGCACGTGCTCACTTGGAGCACATGCAAAAATGGAGCCCCTTTTAAGGCAAACAGTAGGGAAGCCTTGCGCATCTTTAGAAAGGAAGCTCTCAGTGGTGTTTGTCTGCAGCATGCTAGTCAGTCAAACATTGATATGGCCTGGCCCAGTTGATGAGAGTCAAAACTGCACATGACTCGTCTCATGTAGTTCTCCTCCTAAGAGAAAGGTAGTGGTAGTTGTGGTTTTCACAAGTAGCAAGCAAGTGGGCAGGGGTAGGTGAAAATATGGATTAGAAAACTGTAGCATTAGGGTCAGATCTGGATCAGATACCTTTCCACTCCTGGTCTGATCCGAGTCAGGGGCTCCACATTAGCATTTTCAACGGAACCTTTTTATGCAGTGCAAATTATACATGCAGGCAGCCCAAAGGTTTACAGCCCCCACCTCCTAATTTAAGGCCCTAATCTGGATCAAGCCCCCACAACAACTTATTTGTAAAAAAAACAACAACAACAAAAAACCGTGCGCACTCCAAAAACAAGACAAAATACCTTGCACACAGAGGTGAGGCTGTGAGACTAATATCATGTGCAGCTGGGCCTTAAAGCACCCAGCTGCAGTGGCACTTCGTGTCCCAGCTGAAGGAGGAGAAGACACCTGCTGTGAGACGAAAGGGGCAGGAATGGTATATTCCAGCTTGATTCACCAATATGTGTTAGTCATTAATATCCAAAGTTGTAGATGGGACGCGGGTGGCGCTGTGGGTTAAACCACAGAGCCTAGGACTTGCCGATCAGAAGGTCGGCGGTTCGAATCCCCCTGACCGGGTGAGCTTTTGTTGCTCGGTCCCTGCTCCTGCCAACCTAGCAGTTCAAAAGCACATCAAAGTGCAAGTAGATAAAGAGGTACCGCTCTGGCGGGAAGGTAAACGGCGTTTCTGTGCGCTGCTCTGGTTCGCCAGAAGCGGCTTAGTCATGCTGGCCACATGACCCGGAAACTGTATGCCGGCTCCCTCGGCCAATAAAGCGAGCTGAGCGCCGCAACCCCAGAGTCGGTCACAACTGCACCTAATGGTCAGGGGTCCCTTTACCTTTACCTATCCAAAGTTGCATTGATGTGAACCACCCTTCTGTATTGCATCCGTCTTTAACCAGAGGGAGCTTCATGAGTGCTATCAGCCCCAAAGGTTCGAAATTGTAAGGTTCGAAATTTTGGAGCTAATTAACAGCATCCATAGTTCGGATGAGCATCATTCAGATCAAGCAGCCTCAAATGAGACTGTGGTTGGGTTAGCCCAGTAGGGAAGGTATTGCTGTTTAACAGCCTGGGAGGGAGGGAGGGTGAGAATGAATTATCAGTGACCTGTTGCACTGTCCCCCGTTATAGCTGCTTACCAGCTGCTTACTAGCTTTCTTTTTCTCTTCTAGGAAAAAGGCAGTTCTCGCAGCGGAAGAAGCGTTGTCATCTAGCCTTTTCATCCTGCTATTGTAAAAAAAATGTCTGCCAATCAAAACAGTCATTAGGTGTTCAGTGTAGCAGCCAACAAAAGAGGAATCTGTTTCATCTCAACCACGTTCCGCCTGGATTTCCTCATCTTGGACACTTTGATTTCCAATGCAGTGGTTCATGAAAAAGCATCGTTTTGCTGATAAAGCAGGAATGAGATGGAACTCCTTTTCAACAACATCTAGTTCCCGACATCCCTGCTCTAGGGTTTGCTAGACAGTTGGCTTTTAAAAACACGCTTTGTACAGGAATAATTTGTACAAGATTAATTGCTTTATTTTTGTACAAATCTTGCAACTGCATACCCGATACACCTAAGGTTAATACATGTTGAAATTAACTGATTGCCAATGGCCTGACTCAGAGCCTGACGAAAGTAGCCTTGGATTGCATCAGACTTTGCAATTTGATATTTACATGAACCGGTTACTGAATGAACTGTACAAGACAGCTCAGTTGCTGAGCAATGTGAGCAAACAGAAATTAACCAAGATAAACATTCTGAGGATTTGGTATTGTAATTCAGGTAACTCACAACTTACGTGCATTTAACTTAAGCACATTCAGCTTTACATGGTTGGCAATTTATAACAACAACAACAACAACAACAACGGGGCGGGAGTCCAGGAAAAAAGACTTTGGCAATCCCACCTGGAATTGAACCCAACACGTTTTGGCAATATGTGATTTTAGCTTTACACGCTATCCCTGGAACATAACCCCCTGTGTAAGTTGAGAGTTGCCTGTACATTGATCACCACTGTACAGTAGGACCTAAGGCCTGGTTCATAGATGCTCTTTCATCACTTGATGGCCAACAGATGAACAAACTCCCATTGACTTGTGTTCAAGGAGACTTGTGTGAGCCATGAGACATTTTTGATGGCACAAGGCAGCCGTGCCAAGTTCTTAGGAGTTTCTTGTCCTGCTGCAGGGCCCCGTTTCCCCATCTCACTAGCAATCTTCCACCCTCTCTGGAGTGGCTTAGGGAGGCAGAAGTAGAGGGGGAGCCAGGAGAGCTCTATTGTAGCAGTGGCATCCCACTATTTCTCCTCTGGATCCATCCCATTGAGTTTGGCTTGAGGGAAAATGAAAATTCTGTTTAGAGCCAGAGTGGTGCTGTGACTGCAGTGTTGGACTTAATACCATGGAGACCCAGGTTCAAATTTCTAGTTGGCCCCAACACCTAAATCACCTTTGGCCACTCACTTCCTCTCAGACTAACCCTTCTCACAGAGTTGTTCTAAGGACATAATGGGTGATATAAAGTATGCTGCTCTGAGCTCCTTAGACAAAAGATGGGATACTAAAATATGTGTGGTATCATTCAACAACACAGGTTATATGACATGGGGAACAGGCTCAAAGCAAAGTAGATAAATGTGATGTTTTATTAAAAAAGACTTCCTAAGGAACCCTTCTTTGTAGAAGCTTCCTGTTTTCAGATGATGTATAGCAGAATGAAAGGTGCCCATAGCAGATATTTGCAGATAACCAGATCACACCCAAATGGAGACTGAAGGTTATCCATTGCGTAATCATTTGATTTTTTTATCACAGACAATAAATGGGCACCCAGATAACTGGTGTGCCACAAAGTGTAAAAAGTAGCTAACAAAAATGTTTGTTCTGTTTATCATTTAACTTCTGTAAAGTACATTTACCTGTTTTCTGAAATGTAATTGCATCTTCTACACTGTACTAAATGTGAAATAGATTGTTAGAGACTATCAATTATATGTAGATTCAACAAGAGAACACCTAGTCAGTGATTGGTACAATGTCTGTATTTTCCTTTCCTTTCCTGTTTTTAAAAATATATCCTGGTGGGTTTTTTTTGGGGGGGGGGGTTGGGGGATTATTACACAATCGTTTTTTCTTTCTTTTTTATCACTTGAGGCAGTGATATGTCACCTCATGATATGTCTGGGCTTCTAGGAAGAAGGAACCAGATGACCACAAGGCCCAGTGCTAGCACCTGGCAACTTGAAGCAGTTGTTGGGACTCCAGCGGCTGGCAGGCCTCCCCCATGACTGCTATTTGCGCCTCTGTGCCACCATTTCAATTTTTATATTTTTAAGAAACAAAATTTGAATTCCATTTAAGAGCTTGGGTGTTACTGATTTTTAAATGTCAAATAACAGCAAAAAGTACAAAAACAAATAAACAACAACCCAAAAGGAATACAGGGTATTGACAAAAGAAATAAAAAATCAGTTAAGTGTTTTACAGCAAATATAAACTCATAGGGGCTGCCCCGCTTTTCACTGCACTTGCCATCCTCACATACCCCTTTGCCAACAGCCCTTCCCTCACACCTGATCAACCCCTTTCCCTTTACATTTTACCCATCCCCTCCCCTATTCCCCACAACTTGCCCTAGCTCCTTCCCCAAGCCCCACTTGCTTTTAAAGGAGGGGAAAGTAGCATGCTGCAGAATGTATTTGGAGGCTCCGTCAGGCCCCCAAACTTGGAGTTAACAACCCCTGGAGTAAAGGGTTAACTAAAAACTTTTACCATGTGATTCATCATATTGTTTTCCTTGGGACTCCACACTTCCGTACCTATCTATTGCAAAAGAGCAGATGTGGAGCAAGCAGAGACCTATGACCCCTTAAATACATCTATATGAGACCAGTGAGTCTGCTTTGCTTTCAGAGGTGACATCAGCCGCTGCTAGTGAGAAAGGTAAGTGAAAAGTGGCAGGATTTAAATTGAACAAGTCAAAAACCAAGGTTTTAGAGAAAAACTTAGCATCGTTTGAAAGAGAGAGGTTTCAGAATGAGACAGGTTTAACAGTGGTTAAGAAAGTTAAATACCTTGGGATTAACATGACAGCAAAAAATGGGAATTTATTTAAAGACAATTATGAAAAATGTTGGTTGGAAGTGAAAAAAGACTTAGAAATTTGGTCAAATTTGAAGCTTTCACTGCTAGGCCGCATTGCTGTGATAAAAATGAATGTATTGCCTAGAATGTTGTTTTTGTTTCAAACTTTGCAGATCGTCGACAAAATGGATTGTTTCAAGAGGTGGCAGAAAGATATTTCCAAATTTGTCTGGCAGGGCAAGAAGCCCAGAATAAAATTTAAAATTCTAACGGATGTAAAGGAAAGAGGCGGATTTGCCCTGCCAGACCTTAAACTTTACTATGAATCAGCAGCTTTTTGCTGGTTGAAAGAATGGCTACTTCTTGAAAACACTGACATTTTGGATTTGGAAGGTTTTAACAATGTATTTGGATGGCATGCATATTTATGGTATGATAAGGTCAAAGCACATAAAGCATTTAGAAACCACATTGTCAGGAAAGCGCTATTTAATGTTTGGTTAAGATATAAGGATTTGCTAGAAAACAAAACCCCAAGGTGGCTGTCACCAATGGAAGCGAAAGCCTTGAAAAAGGTCAATATGGAGGTCAAATGGCCGAAATATTGGGAAATTTTGGAACAAGACGGAGATAGACTGAAATTGCAGAGTTTTGAAAAACTAAAAAACAAAGTGCGAGACTGGCTTCATTATTATCAGATAATGGAGGCATTTAAATTGGACAGGAAAATTGGCTTCCAGGTGGAAAGATCAAAATTAGAAACAGAATTGCTAGAACCCAAAACTAAGAATTTGTCAAGAATGTATAACTTGCTGCTGAAATGGAATACTCAGGATGAAATGGTAAAATCGGCTATGATTAAATGGGCACAGGATGTTGGACATAACATTATGTTTGCTGACTGGGAACAGTTGTGGACCACAGGTATGAAATTTACGGCATGTAATGCCTTAAGAGAGAATATTATGAAAATGATATACAGGTGGTACATAACCCCAGTCAAGCTTGCAAAAATTTATCACTTGCCCGATAACAAATGTTGGAAATGTAAAGAAACTGAAGGTACATTTTTTCACCTTTGGTGGACGTGCCCAAAGATTAAGGCTTTCTGGGAAATGATATATAATGAATTAAAAGGTATTTAAGTATACCTTCCCTAAGAAACCAGAGGCCGTCCTCCTGGGCAGAGTCGGCCAAATGGAGGTAAACAAGGATAGAACTTTCTTTATGTATGCAACAACAGCAGCAAGAATACTCATCGCAAAGTATTGGAAGACACAAGAACTTCCCACGCTGGAGGAATGGCAGATGAAACTTATGGACTATATGGAACTGGCGGAAATGACTGGTAGAATCCGTGACCAGGGAGAAGAGTCGGTGGAGGAAGATTGGAAGAAATACAAAGACTATCTTCAGAAACATTGCAAAATTAAAGAATGTTAGAGTGATGTTGGACTGAAAATAAGCGGTTTCCAGCTGTACAGGTTAAGGTTAATAACAGACAAAGACTAAAGATTAGGATTAAAGACGTTTAATGAAATGGAAATTTGACAATTAAGAGGTAAAATTTTAATGTTATATTACATTACATTAAGACTAAAGATTAGGTTTAAAGAAGTTGAAGTTATATATTTCAATATTATATTAAAATTAAAGATTGGGATTAAAAAAGTGGAAAAGAAACTGCTGGACAAACAATTTGGATTGGAATACAAAAGAGGGAGGTATGAGGAAGTCCAGAAAATAAGTAAATTTAAAAACGGAAATGGAAAAGAGATATTGTTTTTAATTGTTATGTTTTTTTTTTAATTGTTGATTCTTGTTTTTTGTGTTTTTTTTATTTTCTCTTTGAGATTTGTATTGTGTATTTGTGTATCTTTTTTGATGTTTTTCTTTTCTTTCTTTGTTGTTTAATTTTTGATTGAAACTTTAATAAAAATTATTTAAAAAAAGAAAAAAAAGAAAGGTAAGTGAAAAAAGACCTGTCTGTGTGTATAATGCAGATCAGTTAGGGGAGATATTGAACATGATACATTTCAAGAAATTTAATGTGGAGTGCACCATCTTGCACTGTTTTTCATTCAACAATATGTCTTGGGTGGGCTGTGGGGATATTGTCCAGTACAGGGGAACCTCAGTTTTCAAACGTCTCGGCTGCTGAATGTTTCAGAAGCCGAACGCTAAAAACCCGGAAGTGAATGCTTGTGTTTTCAAACACCCCTTGGAAGTCAAACGGCTTCGGAGGTGCGTTTCTCAATTTTCACCATAGACTTTGCCGCCAGCCCTTTGATCCTCAGTTTTCGAACGTTTCGGAAGTCGAACGGTCTTCCTGAACCGATTACTTTCAGAAACCGAGGTTCCACTGTATTTGTTACAACTTTTGTGCTAGTACAGTACATACAGTAAGTATATACTTGTTGGCCACTGATTTGCGATTTTGTTAGGCAGGTGATTTTATTACTGATTTCAGGCTGTTTGTCACCATGTTTTTTTTTTTCTTTTTAAAAAAATGGTATAGAAAAATAATAACATAAATAATAAGAACTTGCACAAACAGATCCTGTGAACGGCTGCCGCAGAAGGGAAAAAGCAAATAGAAATTTGTAGCTGATTTCAGCAGTGCTATGTGTATTTGGTTATTGGTCTCTATTCAAGTGTGGCAGTAGTGTCGCATTTTCCTTACAAAATACTGACAGAGTGCTTTCTTTGCAGCACTCTACAACTGTAGCATCAGAGTCTTCTGAAACAGTGACCTGGATCATGCTTCAGTATAAAGCTTGGGCTGTCACTCTGATCCTTCTCCTTGCAAATACCCTTACTGGTAAGATCTAAAGTGCTTTGATCTGGCTTCAGATATGCTTTGCTTGCTGAATATAGGTTCCTGCTATCACCATACCCGGTTATACTGTTGAACTAAACAGGAGTCAAAAAGTCATTGGGAAAGGGGGGGATAATCTAGAGTTCTTAGTGTATTCTACAGCTCAAAGTCAAATAATTGCAACTCCAAATACTCCACTGTCCTTAGACATTGGAGAGAGTATTTATTATTAAATCTGTCAAATGATTAATTACTTTAAAAATGTAGTTATTCATCCAGTAGGCTGATTCATTTAGGTACTGAAAGGGCCATGTTGCATTTCTTTTCATCAGATATTGTGCATTAGATGAATGCTGTATCTTGCCATCCTATACAAGATGAAACCCTAGTTCCAGGGTTTTGCTTATGTGGAGGTTTTCTCATAGACTGACAGACACGCCCAGTTGATTGGGGCAACTGGTTTGAGTACAATCTTTAACTCACAGCTAATAAATTAAAGCTCATGGCTTTAAATTCTCACCCCCACCCTTCGCTCAGAAACAAATTCTGCATAATAGCAGATTCAGAAATGTCGTAGTACAAGGGATCTATCATTCCTCCTGCCTATGCTATTTACAGATCTTGACAATGCTGTGTAAACATGTCTGTGTACACACACACACATACCCAATATATGTGCCTTGCTTCTGAGTTCTTAGGCAATACCTGTATCCAGCTGGACACTAAATTACAGAAGAGAATTTAAATTCATTTTCCCCTCCCCTCCCCTCCCCTCTCTAGAAGTTGATGCTAAAGCCATCTCAAAGAGGCATGTCCGTAATGATTGGATGGTCATACCTGACGCAGTTGCATTTTATGTGTTTGATGCTGTGAACAAAGTGTCTCCTAAAACTGCTGAGTCCTTGTATGGTGCTTTCCAGAATCCAATCATTCTTGAGACAAGGTATGTATGGTGATGATGACACATTTTTGTCATTGGTGGTGGTGGTTCAATTGTGGAGGTTCAAGCTACAGGAACAAGATTATAGAAATAAACCAGCTTTACAGAGAAAATATGTACTTGGGATATATGTCTCTGCCACTAAAGTGTGGACAACGTGTGTTTGTACTGGACTGGTTTACAAAAAAATGCTATATGTGTGAACTTTTCTCTTTCAGCATTGCACTGCTTTTGGCTAAGAGTATTGGCAAACTCCAGTGGGTGGTATAATTGGTAGCATATTGGCAGAGATGGGATTCACCCGCTGTGTGTTTTGCCCAACCTGGGAGGCCAGGTACAACCTAGAACCTGCAAAGCACTTGAAAGTAGGGATGGGGGACAAATTCAATTCAGTTTAAATTTAAAACCAAACCTATCAAATCCACACTTTCCAGAACAGTGCAGAATGCAAACCTTCAAAATTCCCATTTTGCCATTCTCCAACCAACCAGTGCCTACAAAAATGCATATCTCAGGGGAAAGTGTGCATAAGAATGAAGGTATTAGTGAAAATAACATACAAAAAATGTGTTATATTAGGGGAAATTGCTTCCAAAAATGTGTGCATTAGTCAAAACTACACATAAAAAATGTATGTGTTGGGCTAAATTTTCACTAAATTGCCGGTGAATTTTCATTAGTTATTTTTTTAAAAAATGCTGCAGAAATGTGGAGAACTGAATTTAAGATTGGAAAAATGAGAAGTTGAGACAACTGCAGTTAGCAGGTCCTTCCATCCATACCAGAATGGGTTTCATATGAATGCCTGCTACCTTCTCCCACCCCCACCCCATCTTAAGGCTGCTACCAGATGCAGACAAGGATGGCTCAAACAAGAGCCTCCTCCCTTGCATTTTTTTCCAGCCTGGTGAAGAGTTATAGTGAACATAAAAGCTTATTGTGGCATTCTGGTTGGCTTAATAAAGGATAAGAGCTGTAGAATTTCCTGGGAGCTCTGAAGAACATGGGTGGCCCTCTATAAACCGAATGAGGGAGCAATATATCTTGGGAGGGTTCAGGTTGTGAAGCTTCCACCCATGTCCAGCCTATATATGTGTGAACCATAAGCCCTGCATCGCAAAAATGCCACAAGCCTCCAGTGTCTTCCTCCCAAAGGAAACAGATTTAGGGTACGCGGTGAATCCCTGGAGTTCTCAACACTCAGAAAAACGAGGAAAGCATAAAAATACTGTGTATGAAATGTCGTCTAGCATCTCATCATTACAGGTTTCTATTTCCTTGCAGGAACTTCTTGATAAAGACAACAACTGAAATCAATCGAGCATTTCAACAACTGCTGGAGAATATAAATGGTTTATGGACAAAGGAAGAAGCAGAACCAGCACAGCACTAGGACCTAAACGAATCTGTGGAGTGGCCTCTTCCTTGTATTCATCAGTGGATCATAATGTGCAGAGGGTTATCTTGGTATAGTTTTTATTATTATTATTTCATTTTATAATGTATATAAAACAGACAACAATTATACCAACAAAAAATTAAAGATGAAAAACAAAACTATAAAATAGGCATATGGAATGAGTAATTGGACATGAGTTATATTAACAAAGTCCAAGTAAAGACTATCAAATTTACCAGATCATTAAGTTCAGTTTCAAATTTGCCAGGCTTTTGATGACGGTTATCTTGAAAATGATGGCTCCACTGTATATGTCATAAAGGAATGCCAAATCATATAAAAAGTTTCTGGAGGTTCTAGCACTCATCGAAATCTCCAATTATGCTTGATTTTCTCCTTTATAGCTATATTCTAGAGTGAATGGTACCAAGCGTCTAGTGTAAGATTTTGGGCTGTTTTCCACTGAATTGCAATTATTGTTTGTGCTGCCAAGATCTTATATAAGACCAGTTCTTTTGGCGATATATTTACATTGGTATCATCAAAAAATATTCAGTCACATGATTTCCAGTGCCTCACAAAGCATCACAAGTCATGTCCAAGGCTTTGTGGGGCCTTGGAGGTAGAGTCTGAGGTTTCACAGGGCCTTGGACATGACTTCCGTGGTTCCTAGGCACCGCTGCAGAGCTCACAAGGTGATGTCATGGCTCAATGTGAGGTCAGTATGTCACATTATGTCATAGACCGCTAGGCACCCGTAAACTGGGGCCCAAGTTGGCACCCCTGGATCCAACAGAAGTCAAGCATGGCTCTCTCTCTTTTCCCAGCCTGCTTCCAACTTCTAACATTTAGCTCACATAACCCAACTCTCACTCCTAGCCTTTGTCTTTCTAAATACCAGCAAGTTGGGGGAGAGGGTCCCACCCATTTGTCATCTCGCATAGAGCCACTTCCTTTGTTACCTTAATGACCCATACTTCAACAATTACCTCATCAGGAAGTTAGCCTGGCTTTTCCAGGAATTGAAATTGGATCCAGGAATTTGAAAGGCGCTCAAGCATACAGCCTATGTCTCCTAAACTCAGAACAGTACAATTTAGAAACAAATTCATTTCCCTCTCTACCTGTTGTGTTTAATAAATTGTATTAAGGGTCTCAGAGCTTGTGTTTTTACATGTTCTTTTATAATAAAACTATAAATTTGATGGAAATAAATCCAGTTTGTGTTAAGATTTGACGAAGTTTATTTTATTTGGTTACTGGCTACAGGCTATAGATAATTGGTATAGAAATCTCGTAATGTGTATACAAGATTTGCAGTATTCAAATTGCTTATCTCTCCCTTGCTGGAAAAAAAAAGCTGGGTGAGTTGATATTGGAATTAATGGAAAAACAATAGATGCAAATTTAGGTTGCCATGTTTTCCATATCTGAATAGTACAATTAGTAAATGGATTTGGTATAGAGTTCATTAGATCTGGTTTAAGATTCTCCTAGCAAGAGATGTTTAGAGAGTTTGATTTCCCAGTGTTTATTCGGTTCCTCTTTGATTATATATAATAACCGTCTCAGTTGAAATGCAGAGTAGTAGAAATATAAATTAGGTATACCCCATCCATCGAACTGAGCTCTGCGAAATAAGAAGTATTGACTTAGTCTAGGTTTTTTTCTTTTGCAAAATAAAATTATTATTTTAAGTTGGTATGTTTTCTCATGCTGCCACCAGAGGGAGAGAGTAGCCATTCTTCAGCAATGACAGGTTATGAAGTCTTTCCACAAGTCAACGATCACTTCATGAATCATTGCAAGTAGCACAGCATATGTGTAGCTCCAAACTCTTTGGAAGAAGAGTGTGCTTTTAAAAATTAAGTAAATAAATTGAATGCCTCCACATAATAAAATGTTATAGATGACTCACAATTATTAGGAGCCAGAGAATTTAGCAGTTTCCAGCATCTCCTGCAACAGCTTCCTTTGTGAAATGTGCTGCATGGCTGTAGAAAAACCAAATTAATAATGGATACAATGTCACTTACATCTGTATACAGGGACCTATATTTTGGTCCTGTGGGGCAAACCCTCTTCTGGATATAGCCCACAAATCAGTCAGAAATGTGACTGAAAATTTGCCTTGGGGAACTCTTTTCAGTGAAACATTTCTTTGAGATTTCCTTAAACTATAAAATGACTTTGCCTCAGGTGTGCTTTTTTTGGTACTTGAAGGATTAGTGCACAGCATTTTTGTTAGTTTAAAATCTGTGGTGGATTCACCTTATAATCCATTTGCATGAGTCACAGCATATTTCTTCAACAGTAAAGGGAAAAGGACAGTTTTGGGTAACTCCTTCTGGTGTATTGTCATCAGTACAGCTACTGTATGAAACAAGTGAATTTTACATTCAGCAGGTTAAGCCAATTCAGTATTGGAAAGTTTTGGATATCTTATTTTGCAAGATGGATGCAAATGCTGGTCTGCGTCGGTCTTTGTGTGAGGAAACTGCATGTGGAAAGAGAGATTCACTGTTCTGATCCTTTTCAGATCCCAGGAAATTCTCACCATTATGAATGTTAACCGCACTATCTAGATCCATTTGCTTCATCAAGTACATCTTCATCAAGTACACCACTGGTACAAGTTTTGCTCACTTCATAGAGGGATCTTCCTTCCTTTCTGTGTGTTGATATGTATTGCTTTGGTACGGGACTTCTGGGGAAGTATAGGAATGGTGCCATACATCAGGAAAGGAGTTCTATGACAGTTAGCAAGCCCCCTCCACTTTTCAATTTTCACTCTCCTGAAAATTAAGCTGAAATATGCCCCACCTTTTGCCACCTGTAAATGAGGTTGTGAAATAGGGAAGGTTTGGCTCAGTCCTAGTATTACCCTGGGCATCAAAAGAGTTTGAAGAATGTAGAGACACTCAGCAAATCTGCCAGGTCACTGCCAGAAACAGTTTTCTAGAACAGTGGTAGTGTCCACTGGGCCAGTTTCTTCAATGACAGGTGACTCTAGACCAGCAGATGCATTCCTAATCTCACATTTGCCTGTGAAATGTTAGAGTAATACAGCAACACTGCCATCTTTGAATCTTGAAAGTTTTGCAGCAGCACTAATGACCGTAGCAATATTATTTTAAAATACTACTTTTCAGTGTACTGTTCACATGTAGTTCACTTGTCATGATGAAAAGGAAAATATTGCACAAGAGGCTTCTCACTAAAAAAAAAATCCTTTGAAAACAATTACGGATAAAACCCAACATTTTTTCTGGCCCCCCCCCCTTTTTCTTTGGGAAAGGGGTGTTTTTCCAGTGTTTATTATTATGTGGCATCACTAACCTGCATCATGTAAGCCTTAGGAATTGGATCACTGCATACCTCACCCATTACATTGCCTCTTAAGAAAAGGTCATTCTCTAGTATTATTTGCAGTGTGGCAGTCAAAACACTCCACAAACAGGAATTGTCTATACGGTGTACACGCTTCCTTCAGAATATTGTACAGAAGTAACTACCTTGATTTAATCTGTCTTCGTCTTAAAAAGGACTGAATTATGATACACCGTAAAGTATAAGAAGACAGATTTCACAAATGGAGTAAGTAGTTTTGGGGAAAATACTGCACTGTATATACTGTATGTACTTTTAAAAACTTGTCTGTAGATTGGCATTTGCTATTTTAGACTTCGGATTTTCCGCTAATGTCCTTATTAAACGGCAAACTACCGGTATGTTTCTTGGTGATATACCAAACTCTGGCTGCCCTGTGGCTACAACATTCGCGTTCACACATATGCAAATTTGCCCATAAATAGAATCCGATTTAGCAGGCTTCAGTTTGTGGTAGAAGACGTTCACCACATTCAAAACGCAAAACATCAGTTACTTCCACTCTGACAGCAACATTGAGAGTATTAATCTGTTTGTTTCACCAAGTTGTTTTCCTTAGTAACATATTTGACAGTTTAAATAAATGTGTGTAAAGCCACAATCACTTGCCAGAAAGTAAGTACCCTTGATCTTAATTGCTCACAATATTTGTGTATGTGTGTGCTGGAATTCTTTCTCAGCAATTAGTCTGAGCAATATCATTATCAAGATGAAGAAAAGTGACACGTCTAGCATGTTTTCACAACCATACATTAACCAAGAGCAACCACACATGGCATAAACATCAGCGAAGAACTTCGTCAGTTTGGGAACCCATGATCTACATGTATTTTGCCATCACTTATCTCTACCCTATTTTACCCTACAAAGGAATGCTTAACACGCTAGAGGTTAAAATATAGGAAGCTACTTTATACCACATCAATCATTAGTCCAGGCTTCCTCAACCTCGGCCCTCCAGATGTTTATGGCCTACAACTCCCATGACCCCTAGTTAGCAGGACCAGTGGTCAGGGATGCTGGGAATTGTAGCCCATCTGGAGGGGCGAGGTTGAGGAAGCCTGGACTAATGGTCATTCTCCTGGACTAATCTAGCCCAGTATTTACACTAACTGGTAGCAATACTCCCAAGGTTTCAGAGAAGAATCTTCATCAGCCCTACTATGGATTCCAAGGATTGAACCCAGGAACCCATTTCCCACAGAAAATATGTATCCTATCACTGAGCCACAGTCTTTCCTTTATTTAAAATATTACTGTATGTCTCATCTCTTAATCATAAGGATTCCTGAGACAGCAAACTGGATAAAGCCACCACATTAAAATGACTAAAAAAAAATGTAAGCAGATTAAAATACCCAAAAAAATTAAACAATAGCTGTAGCACCAAACTGTATTAAAGCCCGGATGGGGGTAGAAGGAGCAGCATCTTTAGTTTATTTCTAAAATCAATAGGGAGTCTGGTAAGAGGTGGATTTAGGGGAGTGCAGCCAGTTCGTTCACACTGGGCACTGAGCCACAACAAAGACTTAGAACGGAAGGTGAGAGTTGGGGGTGAGCACTGAATTTTGGCGTCACAGAGGGTGCCACTGAAATTTGAAAGC